TGATAAAAAAAAATGTGATGTTGTTAAGGAAAAAAAAAGTAGATTCATCTTTGAGTGAATATGAGGACATTGATAATAAGCATCATGTCAATGATAACATATCATTGATCACCTAAGATCCAAGAGTTGTTAGTGTTCATAGACCAATAAAATGATTATTAATATGATAACAATAATAATATTATTGCTTCCCATGATCAAGGGTAAACATAACAATCAAGATGATCACAATTAAAATCAGGAAATGATTGTTCATCTATTGTCACAAATCTTATGCAACTAATTTTTCTTTTCACTTTAATTATCATTTGTTTGATAAAAAGGGAAAAAAATGATTCTGATGAGAGACATTTCCGATTGAGAAAGAGAGAGAGAAAAAAGTAAAATAAAGAAAGATGAAGATGAAGATGAAGATACTAATGATTATAATGTAGATAATGATGATGATGATGAGAAAGGGAGAAAGAGATGAAGATGAAAATAAAAGTAACAGTGAATATAAAGTGATGTTGATCATATGCACATGGACACACATTCAACATTCAGCTTATATTGAACATTATGTATTATCATTTTAGCTTTGATTCATTGAGATTAACAAAAGACTTGAATTCATCATTGAGATTACTAAAAAATGATATTATTAGTTACTGGTAATGGAAACCTTGACCACATACACTTAGAAAATCAATTGAAAAACTAATTGTTGCTCTATTGTTATCATTGATTGATTGGAAACGAGCAACTCACATTTTCAAATCACAACAATCATCGTAAGTGTAAATTGGGTGTTGGACAAATTAATCAAGAGTGTTGATTGCAATTTACTTAAGGTCCACCTATAAGATATTCAATTCAGTTTCATGTAAGTTTATTTATCTGTTTACCTCTTTAAATAATAAATCTCACAGATATTCAAGTTTCTTGTTGTTATTTTTTCATATTTTTCCCCAGCATTTCGAGTGAATTTTTAAATTTTCATGAAACAAACTGATGATTTATTGTTTCTACTTGTCACATAAGTAATGATGATGATGGTTATCATCATTACCTACGATGATCATCATCAAATTTATGGTGAAATATGAAATTCTTAGGTAACTCTTTAACAAGAAAATTGAAGTTTGATGCTTATCCATGAACAAAAATTGAATTAACTTGATTAATTGAATCAATTTTCATGAGAATGAATTTATATCTACTTGATTATCAGAAAATATCATCAGTATGAAAAGATAATCATCAACATTTCTGATAAACTGGGTGAACCAAAAAATAGCCTTTGTTATTGTATCTTAAAACTAATCAAAAATTAATCTAAATCCTAACATTTTACTCAACATAATATTTATGATGATTATATATAAATAACTAAAGACTTACCAATGTCCAGTTTCAATCATCATTGAGATAACATCACCATGGTCATCATCATCATCATCATCATAATCATCATCATCAAGATATCAGGAGTAGTGACATTGTCTTGTTGAATGTCCATTATTTTAAATTGAATGGGAATTACCTCGGACAAGGGTCATTAAAATTGCATGAGATTTTATTACAGTTTCTGAAAATAAAAGAAAACTTTAAATCAACAGAAAATCAAATAAAATGGAAACAATTTTGCAACTATATCAAGTTCATCTAATATTAATCTACAATCCTTATCCGTGAGTATCTGTCATCATGTTATTCAATGTTTCCTATCATTTAATAGACTTGGAAATGTTCAATGAAAACAACAATCAGATTAAATCAAGTGTTGATCATCAAATTGAAAAGGATTGAAATGATTACATGGTTTTGACAGATCAACTTGATGGGATAAGAGGAAAAGGATTGTCAACAAAACTCAGAGATTAATAATATTTGGACAATGATGTTATTGTTGGTCACCCTTTTTCACATAATAGTATCAACACAGGAAAAGGAAAGGGTAAACTTACATATAGAGTGTCCACTTGAAAGAAATGTTGATTTTGTCAGTGCTTAAATTACCCCAACAATTTAGATCTGTAAAGGGAAAAAACTAAATAGAAACATTTTACTAATCTCGAAACTACAGTTAATCAAATCCTTTTGGTTAATAATTTTATGTCTTTTCTAATACATGCAAATAGTATTGAAAATAAATGAACTTTTGTCAACTTTTCAATGGTTCTTGGTCCCTCAGGGTATTTACACTTTAGTTAAAAGGGTTTCAATTGATAAACTTTTTTTTTTACTTTGAATCAACTGGAACTTTAATGCAAATCATTTCAACTATATTTTTACCCTGAATTCACCATTGCTCATTAATCTCTGGTGCATTTTAATCAAAAATTAATTCGATTCCTCATGATTATTGTTGTTTGATGTAAAATTAAAGTTTGACCATCGGTTATCAAAAGCTTACCCTTTTATTTGATAGCATCTTCCGGGGAAAAGGATAATCAAGTTGCATGTTAATTGGAAGTCTTAATTAAATTGTTTTCCAGTTTTCGATTATCTTTTCATCAACAGGAATTACTCTAATTGTGCCAAAAGGGTTTACAAGTTGAAGGGACAATTGTTGGTGAGAAAAAAGTGGCTAATGTCTGAAACAGAAATGAAATTAACGAGAGAAAAAAAATTCGGAAAAATTAGTTAATATATTAACGAGTTAATTTTGTTGTCTACCTTCAGGTTAATTGTTGTGATCAAGTATCATGTTGATGACAGTTGATTGTCCATTTTTTTTTATGGTGAAATTTATCATAAACTGTTGAGATTTTGTATATACTTTGGTCAAGCAATTTTTTGAATTGATGGGAGGATGGAAAGTGGAAACCAATTGATTACAGTTGAATGGTCATCTATTCAACTGACCAATAAAATATTGTGACAAGTAAAATGTTTGAGAGATTAAACTTTTTCTACAGTTTCTCTTTCTCCCTTCAAAGTTAATAGAGTGAGTTGATGATAATTTTGCTAAAAAGTGTCAATTGTTGAGAAAGAAAACAACAATTGCAAAAGAGAATAGAAAACAAATTAATCTTTTTGGGAGAATCAATTGTGTGGGATAATATTAGTTATCCTTTTGTTGATTGTTACATAATCATCATCACCGTCGTTGTCGTCATCGTCGTCGTCTTGTTTTTCATTTCTTCATCTGATTCCAATTTCATGGTGAATTAGATTTCAATTGTTAAATTGAATTCGCTGACCACTCTCATGGTCAATAGTAAATCTATTATGTTAAATGTTCAATTGAAATGCGAATTTGTTTATTTGCTTCTCCAAGGAAACAACCATGTTAACAGTTGGTCAGAGAATCTTTTATGGAGAAACTGTTTGATGACAAGATGAGATTCCAAGTTGAGTAATTGATCTAGAAGATGAATTGTAATGATAAATGGAAAACAATATTGTATTAACATGAATGAATAATTTTAACATTTTAAAATATTCAAAGGCTCTAATTTTAAATGCTTAGTTTTCATCCTTATCCAATAAAAAAAATGATTGTGATAAATGAATTGAAGGTGGATTAAAGTTGTTGCTCCTTTTTTTTTAAAAAAAAAAGAAACAGAAACATCATCAGGTTGATAATCGATTATCAATTTAAATAGAAAGAGCTTAAAATGGGATAAAGGTCAACTGGAAAAATAGGTAACATGGTAATAGATCAAAAAAGACAATTAAATGTTTTCTCTTTTGTCATATTTTATCCATTGTTTTCAAATGTTCCTATTGCCTCTTCATCACCCACTTTTAATGGTTTTCCAGTTTGAAAAGTTTCTCCATCTTCCTGTCGCTGCTTCTCATCTTGTGAGGTGTTTTTCTACAGTCAGTCCAAAAAGCTACTCTCTCTCTCTCTTGGGATTTTTGTCTTGTTTTCCTTTCTTGAAATAACTGTAAAAAAGAAAAACATAGGGAAGTAGAATTTAAGTTCTTTATCATCTTCTTGTCACTGGGATGGATATCAACAGAAGAGGAAGATAACAAGGGAAGAAGATTCTTCGAGTCTCTATCATTTTTTTTTTGAGAAGAGAAAAAAAATATCGAACTCTAAAATTGATGATGTTAAAAATGTATGAAGGGGAGAAAATGAGGGTTACGGTGTATCTTTCACTTACACTCCACATGAGACCAAAAAGCATCTCTAAAAAATGGAAGAGAGAATAAAATTAAATGTATCGAAAGATGCAACTGACAAAAAGGACACTTATTCATGGAAAAAGAGTTACCTTGATAAATAGATAGAAAAATGCTGAGACTTTAAATACGCAAGGAAAAAAGAGAATTTATCAAAAACAAATACTGAGAAAAAGGAATCACCAAGCAGAAACTGTTATCCCTTAAAACGAGACTAAAAACATTCCAAAAGCGGAATCGAAATCCAAAAGAGTCTTATCATCTTAATTTACGAACTTTTAATTTAAATGAATAAATTTTTCGAAATGATAACAATTTAATAAAAAAGTTCTTAAACATAACTGTTGCCATCTATTGACTTTTGAAAGAAAATATAAAATAAAATTCTATAAAAATAAAAGTCAATCAAGAACAAAGTTGAAGTGAAAAACTTTTTTACTATTAACTGTATTAATAATATCTTTCAGCTAATACAATTTCAGATGAATTAGACAAGGGAAATGTCACTTTGCTCGTAGTTTTTGATTATCCGATTGATTGTAACTCTTTTATTAATAAATTGTATTCTCACATAAATCAACAATCGGAACACAAATATGAATCAATAATAGCACAGTGGTCAACTCAAGTTGTTGCTGATGAACTTTGGTGAGTTTACAAAAAAAAACAACATGAAAAGGTCGAGAAAATCAAGAGATTTAAACTCAATCACAAAAACACAGAAATAAACATGTAGACATTACATTATCTAAGATAGATGGTCATCTCCAATGTAAGGTAATCTAATCAGTTACCAACAAATTAAGTGAAACAACTTTTAGAATCAAAATGATTAACTTTTTTAGTTAACCGTTAATCTTAATTCAACGTCCGAGGGATTTTCTTGTCTAATTTGAATTAATCTTCACAAATCTACTCAAATTGTAACGTTTTAAATCAACATTGACAAACAACTTGATCAGGTTAACTTTCAAATTTAAAAGCTAACTTATGATTATATTAATCCAAATGAACTTAATTATATTGATCGATAGTAATCAATGTAAAGATTGACGATTAGTGATCATGTTGATCTTAAGCTTCTTTTTAATTGATTATTTTCAATCTCCTTTTCAACAACTAAGATCATTAAGACCACTGAATAATTATCTCAACAATTTAAACCCTTCTTTTTATAACTCATGGAAATTGAATTGTAATTGATTATCTTGGTGAACTTTTTTTTCTCTCCATCTTTCCATTACCAATACGAAGGCAAAGAGAAGAGGAAAAATAATGGTAAGTGATAAAATCAATTTAACAACAATTAACATATCAATTTAATTCTCATTTACAACTCATCAACATCTTCCTGCTTCTAATCTACTGTTAATGTTACATTTATGTAATCACAACCATTAATTTGATGTATTTGTGAATTAACCATTAACCCTTTTTTTTGTATTTCGCCTTTGACAGGTTATTATGTGTTTGCCCTTCTCTTGGGACAAGACCAATAATAATAAATGGAGTTACCTTTAGATTTGCTTGTTACCTTTATGTGAATCGAGGTGATAATTTGAGGAGGAAACCATTGATTTAATTAGATGTGTTGTCAAGTTAATTTACTTACAATCCTTTACATGATGATGATGCTGATCGTCTTTGAATGTGTCCTGAATTTTTAAAAAGCTTCATAACCCTAAACCCTTTTGTTATTGTCCCATTGTTATGGTTTAACTTTCTACTTATCTTTTTTCATGGTAAATCTAAATTTTATTAACTACAATGGACACACACACATACACATCACAAACGGACAAAAAGGATGAGGATGAAATAAAATTGGACAATAAACAAATTCACCTCCTCCTACTGCTGATACACTCTCATCATCATCATCATTGACAATTCACCAGTGACAGTTACAATAATTACCATCGGATTAAAGAGGAGAGAGAGAGAGAGAGAGGATGAAGATGGTGATAAGCTAAATAATTTGTGTCCATAATATTTTATTGTTATGATATCATTAATATAGTTAAGCTTTTACTCTATCACCTCGATCCAATTTCTAGTGTATAAGTTTTAATTTGTATTCTTTTTATTTCATCTTCTCTTCAGGTTGACTGAATAAATATATTCTATGAAATTTTATTGGTAATCATTATCATCATCATGATGAGATAATCAAATGGACACACGGCGGTGGAATCTATGGTGATTTAAGTTTTCCTCATCTTGGTCATCATCGATTTAATATCATTAACTTGTAATCAAATCAATTTCGATCAAATCTGATTTAAGCTTATGCTGAGAGTAAGGAGCTCGAAAATCTCTCCATCAACTACTTTTATCGTTTTAATCCCAATGAACTTTATTCCAATAGTTATTATCTCGTAAAATGAGATGAGTATTATGTCGTTTACTGTGATATTTGATATTTTTTTCTTTCTTTTTTCAGATTCTTCGTGTATAATCATTCGCTAATCATGATCATCATTGATTTCGAATAATATTCTATTTGGTCTACCAATATAATGATGGATGATTCCAAATAATAACATGTATGAACTTTTTTCAACTTCTCTCAATACAATTTCCTTCCAACTCTTTCCTGTTCTCACTCATTTGAATTTCTTATGATCCTTTGTTTATCTCTCATTATTTTTCCATTGAAAGTGATGCTTAAATCTTATTAACATGGAAATTAGATTGTATTCTGTTAGAAAAAAAGAAAATTCTTAATAATCATCAGTTCTCTCAACTCCTATTACCTACCCTTCGCCTTCTCCCAGTACTTTATTGTCTTCTACTCTCTCTCTCTCTCTCTCTCTCTCTCTCTCTCTTTGCTCTCTCAATTGTTCCAGGAGATTATCATTTCAGCTCTATTATGATTATTGCTTTTTTTCCGCTTCCTTTTTCTTTCTTCAATATTTTGTTTCTTCCTTTACACATAAATATATTTCTTTACTGTTCTAATAATCAAATATATTCTCAATGTCTTTTTTATTCTCATACAGTCTAAATACTATTCTGAATATTGTTGATCTCTATTTGCCCATAAAAGATGAGGATTCTCACCCACTTATCATAATCATCATCATATCTACTCCTCTTATGGTCATAAACCTTTATTTTTTTAGTACTATGATGACCTCGTCAAATCAACATTAAACAATAATGTTATCTTCACATGAAACGATAATCCCTTTATGTGAAACTGGAATCAGAATCCATTGAAAGGAGACACAAACAACAATCTAATTCCGAGAAATTTTCATTAAATTGCCTCAATGGTAATGATTATTACATTCTTATTCATGATGTATCTTCATTACATCAAAATGATGCTCATTAAGACCAAGAATAAGTATCATTTATCAGCTGTGTTGAAAAAAAGTTTCACCAATGTCATCATGATTATCTCAATGCTCTTCATTGTAACTAACATGCGATAACAGTTTATATTTGATCACTTAAAACACTTTACTCACCTTTCCTAACAATTTAATCACTCAATCAACACTCACCAATTTTAATCAATGTTAATTAATGTACTGATTTTGTTTGCTCTTTTTTTATCAGTTCCAATTATTTAATAGCTTTCAATATTTACTCTTGACTTTTTCCCCTCTCGAACTGAGTATTCATGGTAATCTAATTAATGAGTGAATTTAATTAACGAGGCAAGAGAAGCAAAAAAAAACAACAGCAATCAAGGATTAAACAAACAGTTAACTGCCTTTATCAATCTACAAATTATGTGTCGCTTCATTAACTGTACACTTAAACTCATTCAATTAGTAAATCAACTCATATCTTGATAGATTAATCATCTTGTTTATCTCTCTATCGGACTTATTACTCTCCATATTCATTGATGGATCATTTTTCACTGTAACTCCATCTTCATTAACTTGCATCATTTCCGTTTCCTTTTGATTTTAATGGTTGTAAAAAGAGAACGATATTCTTATGGAGTCTAATTAAGTCAATTAGTTCCCTGGAACCTGTTGGATGGTTCATTGAAATAGTTACATTGATCCAATTTAACTTATCATCATCATCATGGGTAATCAACTGTAATCGAGAAAAAAAAACCTTTTTGTTTGATTAACTATCGGAATTGTGAAAGCATCATCATGATAACATGGTGACACACCCTGAACTCAATCACCGAGATCACTTGGAAAATATTACAAGAATTCATTTTGATGTAACAATAACAAGTTGAAGAAAAAATGAAGCGAAAATTTCAGGGTCATAGTAATGAGATTAGTGATAAATGTACGAAATGAACAATAAAAAACACTTCGAAATTGTTACCGTTGAAACCACCAAGGGATTTCAATGTTTCTTTTTTCCAGTTAAACTGAAAATAATTTCACTTTTTTGTTCACTTTTAACCAAAACCTTTTCATCATTTCCTTTTCCTCTTAATCATTTTTCCCTTCCCATTTTTCACTAAATCATCCCTCCCATTTCATGTCCTCTCATCAAATGTATCTTTTAAATTGACCAACAGTTGAAATTGTTACAATTGACAAAAGTGCATTAAAAACATTTGACATTTATTTGATTCCATGAAAATCAAGGCGATCACTTTTAAACTCAATCAACTGATCAAAGTCAATCATCAGCTTGATACACTCGCAAAGATTGTCACGATTAATCAATTGGAATCAAAGATCCAAGATTCATTGTTGATTAAAATCGTCATTTCAATAATCAAATCATAACTTTAAACAACTAACTTCCATTAAAACAACTCAATCGCAACTCTCAAAAGCAAAAGTTCAGTGATCAGAGTTTTCTTAAATCCTTTTCATGATGAATGTCACCAATTGAATAAAAGTTCACTTTCTTCTGAACATTTCAAAAACTTTCTCAGCAAATTTATTCCTTGACGATTTAACTGCTCGTGAAAATAAACCTTCAGTTCTGGAGGTTGATCATCATCTTAATCTGATAATCAAATTGTTATCGTTAATATAAGTATGATTGCTCCGTTTATTGTCATCGATATTTTTGCATATATAAAGAATTGGTGTTAAACCCTTTCAACAATTATCTTAATCATCATTTTGATTCATTCGCTTTAAGGTAATAATCATTTTATTTCTTCTCTTTCGTAGTTATTACTCTTGATTAACATAATCATCGCGATATCATTTTCATCCTCCAGTCCTCATCATAACCATTAAGTGAAACAAGAGAACAAGAAAAGGAAAAGAGAATAAAAAAATTTTCTATCGAGAAAAAGAGGATTATGATGATATGTAGACTTTTAATCGTATTCGAAGCCTTTGGAATTGTTATCAGCTGATTTAATCTACTTCGATTGGAAAAGAAACTGGTTGTTAATCTCATCCCTTTGACACTTTTCATTCTAAATAAATGGTGTCATTTAACACCAACATGTATCATCTTCTTTTCTTTTTTCTATTTCTCAGTTTGCTCCATGTTTGTTGTCGATTGGAATACGAATGGAAATGAGTAAATAGATGTTATCAAATCATTAGAATCATCAATTTGAATCATTTTTCATTTTCTGCAAAGTTTGAATTGCCGCAAATTCAATTGTAATGATAACAATCAATTGGAATAAAAAAAAGAGAAAGGATTAACAAGGTAAACTTGTTTTTCTCTTTGGGATTTGATACAATCATTAATCTCCATCAAACTTGTCCTCTCCTTTGTATTAATATTACCTCGTAAGATTGTTCATCATAAATTCAAACATTTAATTTGGAGAAATTTAATCATTTCAATAATAAACATGATACATTGCGATCAGCTCATTAATCAGACTGATCATTAGTTTCACTTATATTGATTTGCTTTTCGATATCCAACCAGTTCCATGATATAATTTAAATATTTTTTTTGTCAACAAATAATAAATCGTTGGCTAATTATTTTAAACAAGACCAAGATGATCACTCGGATTATATTTTCCGTTTGCTGGTTACTTGAGATGCAAAAGTTTTGAGTTTGGCCTGAGTATGAAGTAGACCTGAAAAGCTTTGGAGGTCATTAAATACTTCACACTCAATGAATTTAATAGATCCTGAGGTTTTGAAGACAATGAAATGGATAAATGACAATTAAATTAGATTAGTCGAGTGCTGATTAGTTATTAATGGATAATTGATTTTTCTTTTTTATTCAATTTTAGCGATTCAATCAGAATCTAATTTTTACTTTGTTCTGTAAAAGGGAAGCTTAGATTCGTTCGTACGATTTTCGTAGTAAAGAAGTACGACTATTTAAAGACGACTAATAGAATAGTCCAGCTCGTGGTCTACAATTTGAATTAATTATCGAAAATGTTCAAGTCCGAAAAAGGTCATTTCGAAAACATGATCTCATGAATTGAAAAAAAATGATTTATTATATATGAAATTTAATAAATAATAAAAATTAACCGTTCGAATTGAATGAATTTTTTTTATAAATATACAGATAAATATTCATAATTTTTTGGTAGTTAACTAATCGCTTGTTTTCAGAGAAATTAACTAACTTATTCAATCGTGTTATAGTTCATTATTTACCCTTTTTACTTAAAGTTTTAGTTGATTGTAGTTTACTGAGAAAAGGCCGAAGTGGACAGAAAATGTCCTGTATCTCTAATAATCTGATTCACCTTCATTATCATCTCCAAATTTATTATCGATTCTCAAGTGATTTGATAGGTAGTCTGATGAACGCGTGTCGATGTTGATTATTAACTCATAGGAAATATTAAACTACAATGAAATCTGATCAACTATCGAACAATAATAACAACAAACATGTAAAAGGATTAGTTGATTGTCCATTGATGTTTGATGATCAACGGTTTGGTTTGGGTTAATCCAGTTTATGGTCAATTTAATGTTTTTTATCCTTTTGTTTACTCGCAACTTGGTTCACTAATATTGAAAATCATAATGATGATGATGATGATCATCATCATAATCATCATTAAACTAGGTCATTATCGATAAGAATAGACCATTGGTCAGTCTATAGTTTTCGAGTGCAATTAGTGGACATTTAAAGCTGAGAAGGAGTAAAATGGGAGGAGAAAAGGGAAAAATGTTCTAACCTTTGTTGACCACCTTCGTCGAAAACAACAAACCTTTAGAACCCTTTGCTTTCCTATTGTGAGACACACGCATCTTCCTCGTCCTCTTCCTCATCCTCATTCATCCTCATCTTCATCCTCATCATTATCATCATATTAACTGTTTGTTTCAATGAACTGACCCATTCCCATGAAGTTTTTCATGAAATAAACAAAATAACATTGGCACACTTACCACATTCATTATTATGTATGAAAAGTTGTTGTTATTTTGATTGTTATTTTGGGTAATCAATGAAGTTAATCATCAACAATCAACAAAAGATATTACATCAAATCTCACAATAATGTTAAGGGTCAAGTATTTGTTAATCTATTTAGCGATCAATATTAATGAATGATTAAGTCAAAGTTACGATTAAAATGACCAATAATCATTGAACCATTTTCATTACATTGTATTTATTATTATTACTCAACTAATATAATCAAATCAGTAAAGGATTAACTAATCTCAATGACTCTCTAATTTTACAATGAGAGGATTAACTTTAACCATCAAATCCAAGCAATTAACATCAGTGACTTTTAATTCAATTATTACTTGATCTACACTTAAACCACTAATCAATATCACTCTAGTCAAATGTAGCAATTGAAAATAAATGATTTAACTAATTGTTTCCATAATTATACTTTTACAACATCATTAAGATAATACAATTGACTCAGTTGAAAAAATTAACAATTAATTGTGGCAAAAATTAAATGATAAAAAAACTTAATAACATCTTTTAAATTGTTTACATTGACTCTTATATTGTTGTTACACTAATTGTTTGGTGTAAAGATCAATTAACTAACATATCATTAACATTTATTGTCAAGTTTTGTCCCACAAATTGTGTGACAATTAAGTGAACAGTTAATAACAGGTTAGACAAAGATATATACAATTTAACTAATGACTTTAAAGGATAATTAGTGAATTAATTGGAAACGTGTTAATTGTTGACAATTTTTTATTAAAATATTACAAACGTTGATCTTATTATTTCATTAATGATTCTTGGCATGGAAATACAATTAATTGTTTACGGTTATCGAGTTGATTATTTAGTATAAATTGTACATGAAAGGTAAGAAAGTTTTAATTGTCAATTTATAATTGGATTTCTAGTTCCAATTGACTTTGAGATTGGCATTGAAATGAATTTTGTTAACAATCAATTTTTATTGGGAGAAAGATAATCAATAAATTATCACATTTTGATTATCATGGAATTGGAGATTCCTTGTAATCAGTTGATTCCAACTGTAACTTAATTTTGAGATTATTAAATTGGTGGTTAAGTAAATTGGGCTTGGATTGTGAGTGATGAGTGTGATTAAGGTTTATAATCAGATGGGATTAGTCATGATGATTAAAATCTTAAATCTCCATGAGTTTTATTTTCTTTGGTATAAATGGAATGTGATAATTAATCATGGCAATTCTGAGGATTCGGACAAAGAAATTGATCCTTTAGGAGATGGAAATTGGTTTAGAATTTGTTTGTTGTTTTCTCTTAGTGGTCAGTTTGATTATCAAGATTTATGGATGATGGAAATCAATTGGAATCTTCAACTGTGGTCACTGAGGAAACTTTGGTTGGTGAATATTCCTCATTCAGTTTTCTCATTTTCTCCTGAATTTCTGCAATTTGTTTATTCAAAGTCTCAACATCTTGTACTGGAATATTTTGATTAATATCTTCACCTTTAGGCTCATTTGGAGTGACCACTGAACTTGAAGCAGATGAAGTTGAAGGTGAACTCAATTCTTTAGGTAAATAATCATCACAAATATCAAGTTGACCGAAAAACTGTCCAATTATACAGATGATCAAATTTAACGACGTAATGAGAGATTTATTTTCAATATTTTTATGCTTCGACCGAATGCTACTACAGGTACGCGATAGATCACGTAAAACGGCCACCACATCACCGACAACAGGTAGTTCTAAACAGGCAAGTAGTGAATAAGTCCAAACGGCCGCTTGATGGCACCAACCCAATTGCTTAACCCAACTTGTTATCAACTCGATGAAATCAATTATTGCTCCTTGTGGGAACTGGACGATAACTGATAAAAGTGGACCTTTACCGCCTTTGGTACTGTAAACGATTCCTTTCACTTCGGAAATTGGTTCGTCTGAAACTGTCTCATCTGTTTCACCGAGAATAATCTTCTTCCATGCTGCCGTATTACGGACATGAGGGACTTTGTGAATATCGCTATCACACAAGGGATTACTGGACAAGCTTCGAGCCTCGTTCACTTTATCTCGAACTCGTTTAAAATTTCTCAACGTGTCATCGGCCCAGGCCAAAGTTGGACAGATTTCTTTGTCCGCTTTGATAAAACGTTCCAGGAGAAACTGATGAACACTTTTGGCTCGAGGTGTTGGAAGTTGTTTACATTGTTTATTTTTACCTTTACGTTTGGGCGTTCGAACGATAAAATCGGGTAATTTTTTAGCTTCCAATCTTTATAATTAAAAAAGAAAGAGAGAAAAACAAATCACAATTTGAATCAAGTTAATCAAATGGAGAAAAATTTGAAACTATTACTCACTTTACTCTGAGTAAATATTGGGCGCCGGTTGTTGGAGGAGCGGCGGGATCACAGGTACTTGTTTCGGCCACCGGCAGAACGGAAGCTTGGGCAAGATCATCAATGTCAAAGTCATTTGCATCCTTCATGATTGTTTAAGAAAATGAGACAACAATCAATGTACAGTTAAAGTTGAATCAATGGAAAACCTTAAATGATTTAACTCTAATCAGAAGCACATGTAAACATTAACGGTTATTCAAATGGAAAGATTATCTGTAAATAGCTTATTCTCACTATTTTAACAGAAAATTATGTCACAATTAATTTTTTTAAAATTGCGATCACATTTTGTTGAGAAAAACAAATTTATATTACAATTAGAATTGAAACTCGAAATATGGATACATGGTTAACCTGATTCTTTCTTTTGATTAGAAGATTTTGTCAGTGAAAATTTAGAAAATCAACTTGTAGAGTTTAATCAAGAGAAGTGTTTGATTAAGATTCGTTTAGTTGATAGATATAAATTGTTTGTGCATAAATAAATTGGATTTAGTCGTTATAATTGTTAAAAAGAAAATCTTGTATATCCCTGGATTTATTTTCTTTCATATAGTAAATGGGAAAAAATATTTTTAGTCTAAAGATACAAAGATTCAGGTGATCCCTCTTTCTTTCTGTACAAAACGTTTTCTTTAGATTTTTTGAAATCTTCATTGGTCACTTTCATCCGTCTTTCACGGAGAGCCATTAGACCTGCTTCGGTACAGATCGCTTTGATATCTGCTCCACTAAGGTCATCCTTTGATAAAACAATTTCATCGAAGTTTACATCTTCCGCAAGGGTCATTCTTGAGGTATGAATGGTAAAAATTCGTCTCTTGGTTTTTTCATCGGGAAGAGGAAATTCAATCTTTCGATCAATTCTACCAGGTCGAATGAGAGCTGGATCAAGAGTTTCAATTCTATTAGTTGCCATAACAACTTTGACATCACCACGAGAATCAAAACCGTCCAATTGATTAAGTAATTCCAACATGGTTCTTTGAATTTCTCGTTCACCACCAGAATTTGAATCATAACTACAAGTATAATAGAAAAGAGAAACAGGGGAAAGAATAACATTAGTCAAAGTTGATAAACTCAAGATGAGCTAAGAGAATTTAAATGAAGTCTCATAATGGGTTATCGTATCTACATATTGTTTCAGGATGTGAACAGTAGTAATATTATGTCTAATCATCGACATTCATTAATTTTAATTGGTTAATCCAATATATCAAAAGACTTACCGTTTAGTACCAATGGCATCAATTTCATCGATGAAGACGATGGAAGGTGCATGTTCTTCAGCAACTCTAAATAATTCTCTAACTAATTTAGGTCCATCTCCAAGATATTTTTGGATCAATTCTGAGCCAACAACTCGCAAAAACGTGGCTGAAGTTTGATTAGCCACAGCTTTGGCTAATAATGTTTTTCCAGTACCAGGAGGACCATAAAGAATGACTCCTTTTGGTGGTTTGATGCCCATTTCCTCATAATATTCTGGATGGGTTAACGGAAGCTCAACAGACTCCTTAATTTCTTGTATTTGTTGATCTAAACCACCAATATCAGCATAAGTTTCTTGAGGAGCCTTTTCTAGTTTCATCACATTCACCATGGGATCTGTGTCATCACTAAGAACCCCAACAACGGCATGAACTTTATGATTTAACAGAACTGAGCAATTTGGTTCAAGTTGCTCTTTATCCACAAATGATAATATGGATACGTAATGCTCACTTCCCACAGAAGTTGAGACTATTGCATGATTATCATCGATAATCTCTTCAAGATTACCAACTGACATGGGAGTACCTGGTATAAAATAAAGAAAATAAGAAAAAGATCTTAGATTTTGTAAACAGATAAAAGTTTCATGTTAGAAGCAACAAGTTTCATAATAAATTTTATCCACATGATTTTTAAGTATGTGAACAGTAGTTAAATTTTTGTTGTTCTAATCATTTAAGGTAAATAGAATTTATAAAGTTAAAAGAAAATGTCACTTACCACGACAGTCATCAACTTTGTTTCTTTCATCGTTTTCATCTTCATTATCAATTTTAGTTTGAACTTTTGAGTTTTTGAGAAACTCTTCCTCCATTAGCAGCCAATCATGAATTCTTTCTAATTTGAGTAACTTAAGACGGCATCGAGTATGTGGGGTGACCATGGGTAATTTAGAAGCAGCATCAGGACCCTTTCCTTTCCTTCTGCCACGACCACGAGCGGGTGTGGGCAAAGGTCGGTTTCGTTCTTTTTTTGCCTTCTTCCCATCTTTACCCTCACCAGCATCACCTCCTTGACCAGACCCAGCACCCCTGTTGTTGAAAAAGGATTGGTTCTGACCCTAAAGAAAACAGAAAACAGAAAACACTTATATTAGAACTAAAACGATAACACATATCAACAAAATGAGAAAAAAAAACCACAGAAAAAAACAAAGAAACAAAAAATGGAAGACAAAACAAGATGATGGATCCAATGACTCAGCAAAAGTCTATTGGGTGACACAAGTGAGGATATGAAAGAGATCAAAGAATGAATTAAGCAAATACAAAAGCGAAACTTACCATCAGAGCAGAATAAAAACTGAGATTTGACTAAATCACGATCACTAAGTCACAATTATGTTAAACAATCAAACAAATTAAATAAACAATTAATTCTAAATAAGAACAATTAAGAAGTAAAAAATTAAATTCACAAGAAAAAAGGTTTGATGAAACAAACAAAAACCGAAAACGATGATAAGAGAAAAATAGAACCGAATTGAAGAACTGCTGCCATCTGAAGATCAATTTCTCAACTGAAATTCTTCTTCATTTCATTTAATCTCAAATTTCTATTAACTAGTTAATCTCATTCAAGATTCTCATCAACAATTGAACCTCATTCAATTCAAAATCCAAACAGAATCTCAAAAGCTCAATCAATTAAACTCGAAATCAATTAATTCTTTCAATTAATTTTCTCTTCAACTTTTTTCCTTAGTTTTATTTTCCCTCACTAGATGTCACTTGTATAGAATGAATTCTAACCACATGGTTTTAACCGGTAACTTTAATTTTCTAACCTTTTAACAAGAAATAATTTTGATTTTGTTTAGTAAATTTAATTCCATTTGATTTGATTTTGATTCAATTGACAATCTAGTGTTTATAAGTCATGAATTCTAATCATATTGGAATGAAGCCCCATGTGAATCATGGTTCAATGGAATCGCTGTCATCTTCATCTGGTAATTTCTCATCTGGATTAACTATTCATCAATATCGATCAAAATTGATGAATATTATTGAAAATGAACCAATTTTTGTTTTAATTGGTGCCACTGGTTCAGGTAAAACAACCCAAATACCCCAATGGTGCCTACAATCTAAACATTCCACTGGTGATCCAGGTGAGTCGTTGGTAATAAATGTCTCATGTTACCCATTGTCTAATCTGTTGCTTCATAGAATTTATAATTGTGCTAATCTGTTAATTTTCCACATGTTCTAATCCAATTTACTAGAAGGATCACTTTCTCAAAAATGTCGAACCATTGGAATCACTCAACCAAGAAGAGTTGCCGCTGTCTCGATTGCGACCAGAGTTGCCAACGAAATGAAAACCCCTTTAGGCCAATTGGTCGGTTATTCTGTACGATTTGATGAGGTTATTTCACCATCAACGAGGATTAAGTTCATGACGGATGGAATGTTATTAAGAGAATCTCTTTATGATCCCATGTTGAGAAAATATTCATTCTTAATTTTAGACGAAGCCCATGAAAGGTCAATTCAAACAGATATTTTATTTGCCATCGTTAAAAAGGCTTATCAATCAAGGAAAAAAAATGGACTTTCATCCCTACGAGTAATCATCATGTCGGCCACAATGAATGTTGACAAATTTTCACAATATTTTGACCAATGTCCTGTTTATAAAATCGCTGGAAGACATCATCCAATTGAGGTGAGAATTAAAATTAATCTAATTGTAACATCAACTTACTAATAATTCATTTTAATTCAGATTTTACACTCGGAAAAAGATCTAACTGATACAATCCATTCCACTTTGGTGACCGTATTTCAAATCCATCGGACTCAACCGCCTGGGTAGATAAGCTCATATTTTGATCCAATTGTTAACAATTAAATGTAAATCATTTCTTTAATTTTCTTTCAGGGATATTCTGGTTTTCTGTACTGGTCAAGAAGAGATTGAAAATATGGTCGCAATTACAAGAGATACATGTTTCCAATTACCTCCAGGTAACTAAGGCAATTAAAACTATCAATTTACTTCAACGAAATGTCAATTGTCACTAATTAAATTGTCAATTCTTTCCCACAGAACAAAGAAATCTAGTTCCTCTTCCACTATATGCTGCATTACCTTTCAACGTTCAATTCAAAATCTTCAAAACATTCACGGTAAGATTAATTTCCAGTTGGAATTGTTCATTGTTCAATTGACTTTCCTCTTCTATTCAATATTATCATATTGGATATGGAAAGTCAATCAGAACAATTGACAATATTTAGAACTGAAAGATAATTTTCTCAAATCTAACTGTTTAATTTGCTTCTCAATTTTTGTTACATTTACTTTTGATCTTCAGGGTAAACGAAAAGTAATTTTCGCCACAAACATAGCAGAAACATCAATCACTATATCAGGGATAAAGTATGTCGTTGATTGTGGTAAATTTAAATGTCGAAGATACAAACCATCATCGGGCATGGATACACTTAAAATCGAGACAATATCACAAGCACAAGCGTGGCAAAGGGCTGGAAGAGCTGGAAGAGAATCAAGGTTTGGCTTCGCTTTGGCAATAACAATTTTCCTCTTTCCTTTCCTTTCTTTTTCCATCTTCAATCATTCTCAGTCTTTCAACTCTTTCATCTCTTCTCTATCCATCTCCTCCTATCCCATTCTACCCTAACTCATCATCATCCTCATCATCTGTTCATCCTCATCAGCATCTTCTTTTCTTCATCAGCATCTCCTCCTCCTCCTCCTCTTGGTTCTTCATTCCTATCCTATTACACTTTTACTTTTTACATTCAAACTCCTAATGGGCAATCTGATAATGATGTTTTCTCTGCTTCTTTCATCTTTTATCTTCCCAGTGGAACTTGTTATAGACTTTATACTCGAGAATCGTATGAAAACATGCCCAAGGAAATGGTCCCTGAAATGCTTCGTTGTAATCTTGCCTCCGTTTTATTACACTTGGCTGCAATAGGAATTAAAGATTTTACTAAATTTGACTTTATGGATAAACCAACAGTCGAGGTGATTATTTACTTGATTCTCATCAAATTGGATCAACTTTTCATTGCATTCAATCATCGAGAGACAGAGCATCAAATTCATTTTTGATTATCTTTTCTTTTGTAAAGAGTCAAGGTGACTCTTTACAGCAATTTACGATATGCTCATCTTTCCATGGTCATCATGATGATGATTCTTATATTCATCACGATTATACAAAAAATATTTTCTATTAATATTAATGATAATGCAGCAAAACAGTAACATAATCGACCATTAACTAGCCTTACAATTTAAACATCATCTTAAAACAATTAACTCTCATCAATTTAACCAATGATTACCAGGCAATTACATCAGATAAGCAACTTCTCATCTTTCGGAATTTATTCTCTGCTTTTTTTATTATGAACAATTAAATGTATGATCATTTTTAATTGTTCATTCTCGTTTAGAAATGATTGATTCAATAGAAATGCAAAGTCTAGCAAAAAAACACTACAAATTAAATCTTCATCATTATCAATTTGGTTTGTGTTTTTTTATGACCCAATTGATTTATTAAGGCTAATCAATTGTTGTTAATCATCATTATCAGCTCATTTCCTGTACTAAGATTGAACAGTTTAGATTTGATTAACTTGTCTAGCGTCACAAATTCAAGTCCAAATCAATGTCAATCTATTTTTGAATACAAGAACATTTTCCTCTCACATTTACCTTCATCTGAATCTCACCTCACCTTTGATACTTTTTCATTTCTATGGAAATTCATGAAGATTTACTTTCTCTCTCTCTCTCTCTCTCTCTCTCTCTCTCTCTCTCTCTCTCTCTCTCTCTTGATATTTATTATTCCATGTCCTTGAGTAGGTTGAGTTTCATGATGAATGAATAAAAGGGGAACCGCTTTCATTTTCACTCAGTTTCAGTTTTTTTTCCTCACACTGAACAATTGATGATTTGATCAATTAACTTTTCAATTATTACAGTTTCCATTTAATCAACCAAATCAGGCCATTCCCATGGTATTATTTTCCAATTTAGTTACATTGCATTTTTATTAATTCCAATTATTATTACACTATTTAAATTGATCCAATTTTGTTCTTCTTCATCGATTTAACTAATTCATGTCCGATTATTAATATTGATTGTTTAAGATTTTTCTTTCTTTCTTTCTTTCTTTCACTACCTTAACAATTGCAATCGTTTTCTTCACGAATTCCTTTTCTATTAATAATAATCACTAATCAATAGATATCTTATTGTATCTGATTATTTAGATGATGTTCTCTAAATATTTGATTACCTTAATTCTGTCTAATGTTCAGACTCATTCATTGATTCATCTTGAAGAGACCTTGATAAAGGTCATTATTATGTCGAAATTTTTTTTCTTCATCATTTTACTATCATCTTGATAGAAACAATTTTCTCTGTCTATCTCTGTCTATTTTTAAACCCAATTCTATTTTCAAAGTAATTAATTAATTCTTAATTTTCAATTGACCTTTACTTTTCCAGAATATAAACAAATCAACTGAACTACTGATCAGTTTAGGTTCAATCACCAAAGATGAAAATAATCTGTATCAGGTAATCTAATTTCCGCATGATGAATAACATTTAAACTAATTAATTATTTTAACTCTTTATCACTTAATTACTCAAAATAAGATAACTAATTTAGGAAGGCAAATGGTCAACTTTCCCTTGGATCCTCGATTAGCCAAAATACTAATTGCATCATCTGAACTTGGATGTAGGTCAGTAACAATCAATAGAGAATGGAACAATCAATCAATACCTCGATGAGTTAATTGTCACTAATTAATATTAATTATATTTATTTATACAGTGATGAGATTCTCAGTGTAATATCAATTCTATCAGTTGAAAATGTATTCCATATACCATCACATAAGGTATGAGTTGACAATTTTTATAACCATTTAATTTATAATCTAAACATCTAATGATTTATTTTTCTTTTTGTTTTAATGATTTAACAATTAACTAAATGTGATTGTAATCAACAGAAAGATGAAGCTGCTGAAGTTCATAAAAAATTCCGGACAAATGAAGGCGATCACATCATGCTATTGAAATTATATCGAGCTTATAAATCAGCGAAGGGCAGTAAGGTTGGTTAATTGTCATTCTTTTCTGTTGTTATCTCTATTACACTTTAATTGACAATTAGATAATTACAATTAGAGTGTGTGTGTGTAAATTGTTACAAAGAGGAAACAGGAAAGCGAAATAAAGTTCCAACGATTGAATTTAAAAGAGAAAGAGAGAGAGAAAAAGATGATCAAACATTAAGATTAAACCGTAAACATGGATAACTATTAATTCAGCAAAATCTTTTTTCTCTCTATTGACAATTCGTCTTATTATCAACCAATTTATTTCTTAATTGTTATCACTTATATTCTCTCTCTCTCTCAGGATTGGTGTAAAGAGAATTACATTGATTTTCGTAATATGAGAATGGTCGCTAATATAAGACAACAAATGGCTTCTCTTTATGAGCGATCCAATTTCACCAAGAATTCATGTGGATCCAACACCGAATTGGTTCGTAAATGTCTTACCCTTGGTCTTTATCATAATGTCGCTTTAATTGGGAAAGACGGTGATTACCGATCGGTAAGTTAATTGTTCCATATTCTCTTCTTGAACCGTAAAATTAATTAGTTTATGATGTTTCGGTTTAATTTTATGAGAAGCTCTTCTATTTAATTAGAATAATCATAATAATCAATTTGGAGATTTGGATTAAAAGGTTTTGGAAAAAAGGGATTTTAAGATTTACGATGAGTTTAGATTACAAGCGAAACAAAAAAAAACATTTGATTGAGATTTAATTAAGATGATGAAAGAGAGAAAGAGAGGCTTATGATTTGGATAATTAGTTAATTGTTAGAAGGTGATTTTTGGAACAAAGCGATAGATTGGAAAAGAGAATTTTTGAGAAAATGATTTTTCTTCTTTCATGTGAATTGTTTTATATTAATCGATTTTTATGTAACTTTGTTAATTTTTGTTTGATTACTGAATTAATTTTACAGAAAATGTCGGAAGAAAAGGTTTATATTCATCCATCATCTTGTCTGTTTAACTTAAAACCGGAATACGTGATTTATTCTGAATTGGTGCAAACCAGTAAATGTTACATGAGGTAAGTTTCTCTTCTTCTCAGATTAATATTAGCAGTATGTATTTGCATACATGTTGATGATTTGTTTTCTTTTCTCGATGAAAATATTGTTGCTGATGTTAACTGTTGTTGTTTTTTTTTCTTGCTGATGGTGTTTTTCATCTTCGTGTTTTATACTTTTCGTTTTCTCAACAGGAATATCTCTGTAATCGACTACAATTGGTTGAAATTGTTATAATATATATAATTATTGTTTTTAAAACTAACGAATGTGTTATTCTATGGACAGTTCAAAGTGAACACTGCCTTCTCTCTCTAAAAGATTGTGCTTGATATTTTTGGCCCACGCCTTACATTCCACATTGATGACCAAACCATGACTAGGATTAGTAAATTGGGCGAACACAAATGGTGATTTATAGTTGTCCTGGTTTCGGAAGGGGAAATAGTAATCCCTTATTCCTGGTTCAGGGTAAAACTTGATAGGGCCAACGTTTTCCTTGTCAATTGGATTTTGTCCCTGGCATGTGATGTAAATGTAACGACGAGCTCCTTTAGATTGATCATAAGTATTTCTCATGGCAGTCCTCAGTTCTTGAGGCAAACTTGGGTTATCATAATCAGTTGGATCATAAGTTTGCGGTTTCCAATCAAATATCTAATGAATTAAAAGAGAGAAAGAAAAGTGTAAGAAAAAATTAATCAGTTAAGACACCGGAAGAAGATATTACAACAATAACGACAATAATAATAATCATCATCATAATAAGAAAGCTGATAATAAACCATAGATAACATGAAGTTGATGTTTATCAAGGATGAAGTTGCTATTTCCTTCAATTTTATTTCATTTGAGAGCAGTTACAACAAGGGAGATAGGAGAGAGACATCAAGTATGGTGTAATTGTGAGGTACAAATAAAACACATACCATACAATCAATTTGATGATGGCGAGAATAAAACAAACTTTCTTTTTCTATAAATTAAATGATTATTTTTCCTAAAGAAATGTAACCGATTTAACAGTGTATAAAGCATCACTATCACCACAATTCATACTACTGAGCAAGTCCAAATAAACATTATCAACTCTTTCTTGTGTAATATACATAATATGTTAACATTTTAATAATAGTTTAATATTTATGCCAACTTGTTAGTAGACTCGAGTGAATGAGAAAAAAACATTATCGATAGAATGGAGAAGTCATGCCTCTCATGATAATAAAAGGAATAAGATTTTAAGTAAAATTGAAGAAAAACCAGAAAATGATAGAATTTGATTAAGACTACAGGCAAAAGTACCTTAAAGTCTGATGAAGATAAGTTGATTGATGGCGAAATAGCATAAAAAGAAAGAAAAAAAAGATCCTGAATACGAAAAAACAAGTTGGGTAATAAGACAAAAAAATTGAAACAGAGAAGAAAAGTAAGTAAATTGAGAGAAAAAATCGATTATTGAATTAAACGATCGGTTCATTTCTCCAGCCAAAGCTGACCTTGAATTCAATTCTATGAATAGCATGGTTACTACTACTTGTAAGAATACTATGAGTATTCCAATGATTTTGTGAATAACTAACGATTACTTTTGGTAAATGATGAAGGATATTTGGAATGGAAACAATATTTAGGTCAATTAATCATTATTACCGTTGTAAGACCATAGGTTACACATGAGAAAGATCAGTTAGTGTTTTCTGTTGTTGCTTATTCTCGAAATATAATTAATTCATTTTTGATACATTGTATTGATAAGGTAAATTGGATAGAGAAGGTAAATTTAGCTTGAAAACAGGATGAAGTAATAGCAATGATTGAAATAGGAAGTTGTAGAATAAGAGAAAATGATGATTGAGAGAATCAACAGAGAAAGAAAAATGATAGATTTTAATTGGCATTATCATCATTAATCATCACCTTCAATCGAGTTGATGTTCTAAATTAATTGTTTACTAATAAGCCTGAGAGAGAGAGAGAAACGATGATCATATTTTTTTCTAACACTCTTTAATACATGAAAATGGTAATAATTATGGTAATTTTAAGGGAAAAAGAGGCGAAATTAATATTCAAATAAAAAAATGATATGTTAAAGTTCAGGGTTTTCAGAGTTAAATTTCTTCAATAGTTTAATCAATTAAAAATAAACCAAACCATTGATCACTAGATAGAGTTAGTAAGCATTTTGTAAACTCGATCTCATTGTGGGAAAAGCAGATAAATCAATTATTTAACAATAGTATGAAGAAAATGTAAGCATGACTGATTAATTGTACTCCATTGCAACCATGTCTCAAGAATATATTATGCAATGAACAGAACCTTAATCGCTTTTCAATCGCATAGTTAGCGTTTTTTCATTCATTCATGATTTAGAGTAAATTTAATGATAAAGTAAATGATTGTTTGAAGAGTCTAATCAAATTGTATAAATAACTAAAATGATTGTATTCAGGAGTTGGAAAAATAACGGTAACAGAAAAAAATAGAATGCTCTTTGAATGCTTAAAATGAGAATTTAGAACTGAAAGTCTGTAGTAGCTTAGTTGAGACTCTTTTTTTTTAATAATCATAACGAAAATGATGAAAGTTAGAAATGTGAGACGAGAGGATAGAGCAAATTAATTGTAAAACTTACCCTATTTAATTTGATGAGCACACAAGGTTTTCCTTCGGCGTAGCCGAATGAGTTTTCTTTAGTACACTCTGAGCCAAGCTTTCGAACATCGAAAAAGCAGAATTGGTTATCTGCAGATATTTGGCTAGTTTCGCAATCAATTGGATGAGCAGCTCCACCACTTCCAGTTTTATTGGAGTTAGAGTATTCTGATGGAGAGAAAAAAGAATAGAAAAAAGATTAAAGTAAAAATACAATTAGAGTTTTATCATAAAGTGATGGTTTATGAACACAACTAACCATTGGTGAATGTTGTTAAATCTTGAACCCAATGCTGGAAAGTTTTCTGGTTGTTCCTTCGGAATCTGATCAAAGTACTTTCAAGCCTCTCTCGAGGTGGTCGAGGTCTGTATCCAAGACCTAAAATGATAAAATAGCAATTGAAATGGAATCAAATAGAAAGAGAAGAATGTTAAAAGAGACAGAATAAAAAAAAGGAGCAAAAATAAGAAAGAGAGAGAGGTTAAAACACCAGAATATTGATTAGTTGCCTCCTCTCAGTAAGAAGAGACATCATTGAGAGTCCGTAATGGGCTCTTGCAACTAAACTCAAAGTAAAAACCATAAAAGAAAAGAAGGCAAATAATAATCGAATTTTCTATCAAGTCTCTTGACATAATAAATATTAAAAACATTTTTTCGAAAGTTGATTAAACATAAATAATTAGAAATAATCATCTTACCGGGATTGGTTCCAATTCGACTATCTGCTAATTTCCATTTAGGTTGTTTATCATCGATTGTGCTTCTGAAAATCAATAACATAATAGCCCAGAAAGCAGCCAAGCAAATATAGAAAATGACATAGAAAACAAAAATTTTTCCTACAAGAAGAAAGACGAAAAAGAAACATGAATGATGTGAAAAATGTAATAAATAAAGAAAAAGTACTAATTCAAGTTAAATTTAAATTGGAGAAAAATATGCAAGACAATTAAAAGTTAAACTCTTACCCCAAGATGAAGCTGTGCGACCACAAAACTCCTTCTTCCAGGGATTCCAAATGAAGGTAGCGAAACCACCTTTCATCTCATCTTGTTTGGAATCAATTTTCTCCTTGGTGTCATTCATTTTCACCAATTAACTAAAATTTAATTGTTTGTTTGAAGAGAAAAACAAAACTAACTGAGAGAACAAATTAATCAGAGAGAGAAAAAAAAGAGTAGAGATGAAAAAGAAAAACACAAAAATTCATAAAATGAACACACAGGCGAATGAGAGAGAGAAAGAGAGAGACAGAGAGGAGAAATTAAGTAAGACAAGACTGACAAGAGAAAGAGATGATAATAAAAAAGGGAGGAAAGTACAAGAAGAAGATGAAGATAAGTGAGTGAAGAGAGAAAGAGAGATTTTGGTTGAACAAGAAGAGAATAAAAAAGAAAGAGACAACCGAAGAAAAGAAAGAGCTTTTACTAGCGACATCTATCGGCCTCACCACCTGTTCTCTTACATGTTAAGAGGAGCGAAGGTTATGTAGAGGTCAACATATCAGAGAAGTTTTTGGTTCACTTCGCTTTAGCCCGTTAGATGGAGATAGTTGATTGTGTACATTTTCTTCTTTTATTTTTGTTCAATTTTGACGAAATTTTTTCATCATGTTAACCGTTTCGTTAATTAGGGAGAAACATTATTAAAATAGTTATTAACATTGTGAACAATAATTAAACCACTTTGTCATCATCAATTATTATTAAATTTAAATTCAAGTAGATTAAAGCTGTTTACAGATAAATTATACAAATTTGTTTTTTTTTGTTACTCTTTGTGTTGTTGATTTTGTTTTTTTTTGTTTTTGTGTTTGTATTGTGTTGATTTAGGTTTTTGCTTGACAATTAAAAATTTCCCACTTTTTTGTTGCCTTTGAGGCGATCAATTATATTACATATTTTCAATGCTGGTCCCAATTTGAGAGACATATATTTCATAATCATATCACTATTAAGCAGGAGAAATGCTTTTCCATCAATTTCCTAGTTTTTCAGAGAAAGAGAGAGAGAGAGAAAAGAAAAAAAGTTTTATTAAAATTGTGAAAATGTCAAAATTCAAATGTGATTCTATCAGAATGTTATTACTCACGTGTTTTCTGAAATTTTCAGCATGTACAATTAAAGATGGATCATGGGAGAGAAGGTGTTTTATCACATCTTCAATACTCCAATCCGATGGATTGGCTGAAATCACAGTCTTAACCATTTTCCCCCCATTTGCCATGGTTGAAGTAATAGGAGTTGTTGATGAAGTTCCAGACATTTTCATACTCTTATTTACTTGACCATTTGTATCAATATTTGATTCAGAGTTTGCTGATTGACTAACTGAACTGGTCAGGCTTCTTTTAACTCCTTTCTTTAAATTATTATTGGTGGAATCATTAGAATCCTTAGTAACAACGGATGATGTTGGAGTTTGAGTTAAAGGTTTTGTCGAGTTATTCTTTTCTTCGGTAAATTGAACAGTGTATCCAGTGTTTTCAATTGTAGGAATGGAAGGAGCTCGATTGGCTTGGATAGGAGTCGATGAATTACCCGAACCATGTTGAGAAGTAATTGGAGTAGTAGTTCGATTACTGGTTGTTACATTGTTAGATTTTTGGTCAACAGTTTTACACTTATTACAAGTCCCATCATTTGGTTGAGAGGTGATTAGATTAGGACATCCTTCGATATCTTCGATAAAGTTACCCATTGTGCTCCAAAATAAATGGAGTCTATTAACATGGGCTATGGTATATTTTTTCATAGTTCCAAGTATATTAGCTGTAACTGTGGTATAACCATGACCAAGTCTCATTGAACTGATTAATCTTGGTGGATTAAGACTACAATCCAACATGGCTTGTAACACATCTCTTAATGTACGATTGAAAGTATCTGGACCATATGAATTTGGTGCTTTATCTAATTTCTTTTTATCAATGTAGGGACCAGCTTTACATGACTTGTTAAGGTAAACAGTAACTAGAGGAAACAATTTGAAGAAAAAAAAGTTACTCATCAATCAAAAAAGATGGAAAAATATTAATGGTAAAGTATAATTACTTGTAGCTGCTTTAGATATGGAACTAGGAGTTGCTTCCTCATTTACTGTTCGCTTTTCACTTTTATTTGAATTATTTCCATTGGAAATGTTACCCTGAGTTTGTTTTAATCCATCTTTAGGATTAATATTATTGACCAGTACTTGTGAACGATTTTCTTGGGATGAGTGAACGGAAGGTTTTGCCGACAATTGAATCTTTGATGTCATTTTAGGTGTTTCACCGGCCATGGTCGTAGTTGTCGTTGCTCCACAACTTGATTGGTTTATCTTACTTTTAACTTTCGAAGATGTCGGTGTACCATTAGTAATGGTCGCTGTTTTCGGTAAACATGTAATGGAAAGTGGAACACTACCAGGCGTAGTTATATCAACTAGTTTGTCTCTGACAGGAGTGAAAGGAGCTACAAGAAAAAGATATTATTAGAATTCGAGAACTAATGTTAATGAATAATTACTTTAATATAAAACATACTTTTGTCTCCGGGTGGTTGAAGAGGATGACCACTTTTTTGACACCAACCGACTGGGAAAATGTCTCTTGAATCGTATTTACACCAGTAGTCAAATGCACCTTTCCATCCGTCGAAAGTTATAAATATCTGATCTTCGTTAACGCTGCCCACTGAGGCTGGACAAATGAGTCGAGGATTTTTCCTATCAACGGCTTCTAATTTCATTCCAGTTTTGAAATAGTTATTCGCCGGTGTCGGTGGTTCTTTAATGAAGATATTTTTTGGAGCAATGTCTGCATCTTTAAGAGTATTAAGAACAAACATTGGCCAATGTGAAGGATTCTTTCTGAATCCTAAAGGTGGTTGTAACATGTCACCATTTTCCTGACAATGTCCAACTGGTTTAATAGAAGGCGAATCGATCATTTCCCAGAAATCATTTGTATTATCACTACCATCTAATCTTAATTGGACTCTAGGACCCATTGTACCAACAACGGTTGCGATACAGGTAGAAGTTGGATTACGAGGATCCTGTGCTTCGAGTTTCATTTTCAATTTAAATTCATTTGTGGGAGGATTTGGATGTTGTTTAAAGGCAGATGATGGGGCAGGTTCACCACCAGTTTCCTTGAGATATGAGTCCCAATCAAAGTAACCGTAAATCTCATAATGATGACGAGGGCCATGATTTTTTTTGACTCTTTTCTTATCCTGTGAACCAGCTGAATTGGACAAGGAGGCTGAACCATTTGTTGATGATGACATTGTTGTAGTTATTGTAGTTGTGGTTGAAGATGATGATGGAGGTGTTGAGAATATCGTAGAGGATGGAAATGAGGACGAGGCGGTTGATGTTGCTGCTGTAGTAACTATCGAAGTTGCAACATTTGTAGTTGTAACTGATACCACAGAAGTTGCTGTTGTTGATGTTGACATACCTGCTGGTGAAGGCATGGATACAATTGGATTTGATGCATTGAGATGATGATTTGTTGATGAAGATACTGAAGTTAAAGTGGTTGTTGTTGTTGTTGTTGCCGGTTTCGATGATGATGTCGATGTCAGTGTCAGAGTTGGTGTAATTGTCGGTGTCGATATCGATAATGTTACTTGTGTTGAAGATGCTGTTGAAGCTGGAGTTGAAGTGGTCGCTTGTTGCTCTGGGGGACTGGATGTTACATTAACTGCATCCGATTTAGGTTTATCGTCATTTTCTCCATCATTGACAATCTTGTTGGTTTTACCATCATCACACATTGGATCAGTTCGAACAACCATATTACAATAGATCAAAATTATCTAGATTCCAAAACAATAATTGACTTTGAACTGTATTGACGGTATAATCGAAAGGCACTATCATTACAGTAAAAACGATGTTAGACCAAAATGGATTCAGATTCCCACTAAAAATAAAATAAACAGATAAAAAGGAAAAGATTAACATTAGACAAAAACAGAAAGCAGACGACAAATGATTGATTAATAAACCATCATCATTATTGGAAAAGAAAAGAATATCAGAAGAGGCAAGAGAGAGAAAAGAAGTAAAAAGATGATGACGCTGATGATGATGATAACCTTTTTTTCTAATGTAAAAAAAGAAACACAAATAGGTAACCACCCATATCATCTCAATTAGTAACTTACCTTCAAATTAATCAGCAATGAGTCAAAAAGCGATTAAAAAAATATCCGACAGTTAAGATGAACCCAGAAGAGTAGAGGATAAAATAAGCGTAAAAAAATGTCACTGTGTCTGTGTTTCCCTCTATCTCAGTATCTCTTTTCTAGTCCTGGGCCTTGTGTTGGTTACAAAAATAACAACTAAAAGAAAGAGATAATAAAACAAAAAGATGAAAATAGAGAAAAAGAGAAAGATTAACACAAAGAGAATGAGAATGAGTCAACAAGTTAATTAGAATCAATTAATTTTATAGAAAAAAAAGAAAATGATAATTACCTGTGAATATAATTAAAAGAAACTAAGATAATCTATTAAAAAATACAGAAAAAGTTGATGTGAGATTTTATAAAACAGAAAATGCAAATGAAAGGGTTTACTTTTCTTCCACTAGATGGCAGTTTGAGTATAGAAAATCTATTAATCTGATTTGATTTTCTAATCAAGAATTAATTGTTTCCAACTAATTGTCACTTTGAATGATCACTTTTTTCACGATAATTAGAAGGTGATTAACCTTGTCAACATGATAAGATTGAACAAATGAAATTCTATGAATCTCTAAAATGGTAATCAAATTTGTAATGGAAACGATTACCAAATGAACAAGTTAATTTTCTCAGGTGTAAACCCAATGAAAAGATCAATGGATTATTTTTTTTTCTTGTTGGAATACGATGTTAATTGTTGGAGATAATTAGTCTAATTTAGACTTTTTCTTACCAGTATATGAAGAAGATGCGTCTTAACCATGTGATACTTTCTTCCAAAGGAATGTGACTCGATTAATTTTCATTCCTTGTAGTAAGTTGATTCTCATCTGTTCAACATCTTTCATATTATGACGGATTCAACGATTAAAGTTAAGAAGAGAAAGAAGGACAGAGAGAGAGAAAACAATCAACTGACAGTTGATAAAATTGGATGTAACTTATGAAAAAAGAGAATCAAAGTAATGAAAGAGAGAAAGAAAAAATAGACACATCACATCATAAAAATTGGAAAGAAAGAGAAGCTTAAACATGCAAAGAGAGAGAAAATGGAACAATAAAAAGAGATAAAGAGACGACAGGTAGAAGAAAAGAAAGAGAACAGAGAAAGAGAGAGAGAATATGAGAGTCTGATAGAAACAAGAATAGAAAATTGCCTCAGATGGAAGAGAGAAAGAGATTGAAATTCTACATGAAAACCATGATGGAGAAAAGAAAGAGATGAAAAGAGTTGATAACAAGAGAAAGAGAGAGAGAGAGAGAGAGAGAGAGAGAATATGAAAGAAAAGAAAGAGAAGAAGAGGAGGATAAAGAAAGAGAAAGAGAGAGAAATGTAAAGATGAAAATTCTAACTGAAACTGAGAAGGGCAGATAAAAGTCAACCAATCAGAGACTTGGAATTCTAGAGATTAGTTGGTATTAAATTCGATAGATGGCGCCAGCCTGCGAATACAAAAGGACGATTAGTTGATTGTTACAATTTCTTTGCAACAATTAGTCTCCGTTAACATTTAATTTTTGTACACTTTTATTATGTAAAATCTATCGTGATTATCTAACATTAATTGTTTTCTATCTTGTGCCAGAATTTATTTTTAAATTGGACGAATTATATTTCTCTCAATTATTAATGAAAAAAAGTTTTCTTTTCAGTTAATTATAATTTAATTTTCGTTGATAATTTTATAATTAAATGCAATTTAAACCGTTTTTTTGTTTCTTTTTCACTCTGTTAATTAATGAAGTGAAAGAAATCTGATATTCATCATTTATCAAGTTAATTGGTTGAGTGTGATAATTAAAATGTAACATTAAATTTAGAAACATTTTATTTTTCAGTTAAATTGTTAAGAGTAAATAATTAATAGTATTTTACAATTGATTTTATATCTAAAGTAGATTAGTTAATTGTAGGATTTAACTTGGTAAAAAAATTGAAGTAAATGATCCCAATTTATTTTCAGATGTAACAAGTTAATCAATCAGCTTTTTGATTAGTTTCAACGAGTTGATTCAGTTTAAATTGTGTACCATCAATAGACCATGAAAGCTTTGGTATATTAGCAGATAATTAAAGGTTTGATTTTCCATGGTAATTAAAATTGGTTTACAATTGGATTTAATTGCTTTTTACAAAATGAACGACAATCAAATGGATGAGGAAAAAGTTGAACGAAAACAAGATTATAATTGTTGCCGATTCTCTTGAATCGCTTTCTGGCCAACAATCAAAAATCTAAAAATTAACACTAGTTAATCGGATTAAACAGAGAAAAATTCTGAATCAGATGATTGAAAGAATCACATGAATAGAAATGGATTGAAAGGTGAACGACCAATTGAATAACAGAATGATGACCAAAGGAATGACCAGAAACACCAAAAGTAAACAAAAATCGTTGGAAAATGTAAACACAAAGGTAAAGGTGATAAATAATAATCAACAAGAAGATGATGATGATGATGATGAGAGAGAGAGAGAGAAAGAGAGAGGATGATGTGAAGAAATTGAAAAGCAATTATTCAAATGGTAACAATATAAAAGTGGATCCGTTTGGTTGATTAAAATGATCGATAAAGTGAAAGAGGAACCGAACCAGTTATCGCCATGAAGGGAAGGCCAGTTTTCCAGGTAATCAGCATATTCCAGTTTCCTTGTGGTGGTGTTGATGTTGCAACGAAGACAATGGCAGGTGAAACTGATGAAGATGCTCACTCACGGTAGAGAAGAGAGAAAGAGCAATAAGAGAGTTGAAAAAAGAGAAAACGAGGGAGAAAGAGAAGATACTAAGAAGATGAAGATGAGAGGGAGGCTGTTAGATGGTAATAGAAGATGATGATTACTGTTGGCATTTGGCTTTCGAGTGAGCAACAAGCACCTGCCTTTGTCTGTGTATCTTTTTTCTCTCAAATATTGTATTTGTTTTTTTCTTTGTTAAAATTGTTCTTTTCTCTTCTTCTCTCTCTCTCTCTCTCTCTCTCTCTCTCTCTCTTGATTGTTGTTTCTCTTGTAAAACATGATCAACATGATGATGTTTTCACTTCTCCATCTTTATCAAATTCTTGATTCTTTTCTTGTAATACAATTGAAAAGACAATACTTTTAATTCACTGCCTTTGTTTTCTCCTTTGTTTCTTTTTCTGTTTGTTTCTCTCTCATATCTTACTTTTCTTTTATTTCTCTCTCATCAACCACTGAACTTTTTATTCTCCATCAACACCTTGGAATTGTCATTTGTTTATCTAGTGCTCTCATTCTGACACATTCATGTTCTCTTTGGATTCAACTATTTACCATGAGGATATCAAATTCTATTTTCTGTCACTAGTGAATTTAAGCTTCTTTTTTAATCTCTAGTTGTTGTTATTGTTGTGATGGTTCCTTGTCACAAGTCACCCAAATTTAACGTTTTCCAATCTTCATTTCGTCCGTTTGATTAATTGTGACCATAAAAGAAGCACTTCAATTGTAATCAACATGATGGATGGAACCAAATCAGAGATACCAAAAGTTTCAACACTCGATTCAACTCGTTTTAATGTGAGATACATTGAACGGGAGAGGAAAAGATTATCAATTGTACAGTTTCCATTCTATTCAGGTAAATATTAATATGGATCATAAAATCTTCTTCTCTCTCCATGTAATTAGAATCCGATTGTATTGATTAATTTCCTTGTTCTCATATAAGCTCCAAAAAGAACCTTTTTTTTCCGAAACAAAGACAACAATAGTAACATTAGAATATGAACCCGAACCACCCCAACAAAATGATCCATCTTAAGATAATTTATGCTCTTTCTGAATTGTAAAAATTTCTGTTTGGGTTACCCCTTAAAATAGACAAGATTTACATGGTGTATCGACCCACACACTAAACATACAAATAGATTAACATGATTAACCACTTCATCAATTATCTAAATTCCCTTAAAAGTAACGATTCTCATCATAATACAACTAAATTAACCTAATTGACCTGAAAGAAAGGGTGGCTTGAGAGTTAATTGTTGAATTAAAAGGCGATGATGATGATAGATTAATGTTTACAAATTTAAAAACCTTCGTTAATATTATTAGTTAACTATTAGCATTTTCGTTTCTCTTTCCATCAAAACTAATTAATGGTAACTGCTAATCAACATCATCATCATTTCCATAATCCTACAGGAGGAAAACACTTACGATGACATTTGATTGATTGTAATTGAATAGGTTTAACTTTAAATTGTCTAATTCACTTTAATTTGCTTCTTGAAAAACCTCCAGGGTTAATTGAAACATTTCTGGTTAACCCAAAAACAATAGCAATCAAATAATGTGACTTACCATTTAACTTGTATGATGAGTTTTTTTTACCTAAATTAAACTTATATAATTGTTTTTACAATTAGGATTTAATTTTTATAATCAACTATCATAGAAATCAATGGCTGTACTGTCAAAACATAAATTGTCCCAGCAAATAATTGACAATTTATTAATCTTGAAATAATCTCGACGAATCGTTTCCTCTGCAATTAGAATTGAATATTCCCTGATTGTTGAAAATAAAGTTATCCAATGATCTGTTGATTTATATAAATAGAAATACAAAGAACAAACTAAATTAAATCATTGATTGTGATTAGAGAGACACAGACTATTAATACACTTACTTAATGTTGGTACACAGTTAATTGTCAATTCGCGACAAAGGCAAACAATTAGACGATTGACAATCAAGATAAATTGAGTTGACTTTGAAACGATACATGATGATTGACACTAGAAAAATGAATGATGGTGAGAATAGAAAAGTTAATTAGTGTTGAGATAATCAAGTAAATTAAGCTAATTAAACTTACGTTGTCTAGTAAATCATAAAACAATTGTCTCAATGTTGATAAAAATGAATCTAAATCAACAGAATTTGGTTTTAAATTGGCAAAAAAATCAATCAACAAGGTTAAACTTGAATGATTGCTGTTGTTACAATTAAATAGACAATCATCCCAAATTAAATCCAAATCAAGTGATCGTAAATCATCAGTCATTAATAAAAGTAACTCCTTTTGATTAAGTGTGTATGAACTATTCTAGTGGAAGAAAAAAAATAACAAATATAAATCATCAAGTTACCACAATTAAGAGCATTTAATTATAAAAAGTTATCGATATTTTAATTATCGTCTAAGTTTCATAGTCTTAAATCAATTCCTTGCTATTTATATGTGGCTCAAGATCATTAATCATTGCGTTTTTCATCATAATCAGGTAATTGTTATATGATTATTGTGTTAATTGTGATTAAAATTATTAGTCTCAGTCGTTGAACGGAAATAATTTAACACGGTTATCATTAATGTGAATCAAATCACTTACCTTGATCAAAGGAAATAGATAATTGTACCTTTTAATTGATCTTACAAAATGGTGTAAAGCTGTAAATTAAAGTAAACAACAATTAATTAAATTAGATTATTATTATAAATTATAGTTATCATGATTAACTGGAATAAGTCAACAATCAGCTTGAATCGTTCAATAAAGTTTAAAGTTTACACTTGACTTTGATTGAACTCAAATTAACTTTTTTATGATTGTGCTTACATTTGAATCAAATTAAACTAATCAACAACAACAATTTAAAACTCACCTTCAATTTTTTTAACAATTAAGGAATCAGGAAACCCAATCAGTGCATCTTTTAACCACAATTCAAAATTATCAGCCAACCCATTTAAATAGATGATCATTTGATTGGAAATGTTTTTGGTAAAATTAGCCGGAAAAAGTGAATGTAATAAAGCCTAAATGATGATAACAATTAAGAAATTAGAAAACAATTAAGATCAAAATGATTAATAAACAAAGAGGAGATTAAATTTTACCTCGAAAAACGTGTAATCACAACATTGGATAATTTTGTTAAGTAAATCACAATTAAGTGTTGGATTATAATCAAGATGATTTGACAATTGAAGCCAAAAATGTTTCAAATGGTTTTCAATTAAATCTAATTGATAGTTAATTATATAATCAGCAAGGGAATCACAATGACTTTTGTATATACAAAGAAATGTCTCAATTGTTGAATAATATGGATTAGTTGGTTTAAGAAAATCATCAATTCGAGGAAAATTAAATGACAGTAAATGATTAACTTTATCAATTAAAGTAACATCATGATTTCGAGTTAAATTGTTTCCTTTATTACTTTTTTTACGAGATCCAACCTTTCGTAATTTAGTTCTGTCAAGTTTGCAAATAATAACAATTAAGAATGAAGAAACCAAAAGTATGTAATCGGGCGGGGAAAATGATTAGTTAATTGTTAGCGGAATATGTTACATTATTAAATATAAATTTGATTATGATTATAAATCATCAACTTATTATTATTGTTATAAATATGATTATGATTGTTTGTTGAGTGTAATCATAATAAATCAACACTTGGTTCATCATTATCATTAACATGTCTCATATAATATAATTTAGTTAATAACTTGATTATCATGTGATCATTTGTTAAGAAATTGTAATGATAAATGTTAATTACTCAACTTGTTAATTAAGGTATTGACTGAGTTTGATTAATGGAACCTGATTAATGACAAATAATACATTATAATACTAACTGTATAATCAATTGTTTTTTAACTATAATCATCCTATAGCTTGATTGTTGTTAATTAGTTGAGAATCGTGTGTAAATTGTTGAGCTTTAAAAGTTTAGTAACATTTTGTGTTATTTTATGTGATAGTTATTAGTTTGTCATTTGTGATTAACAGTTAATTGATTGATGTTTTCTGATTACTGATCAACTGATTGTCATGATAATGATGAGACAAGTTTCAGGAAATTGAGATTTAAAAATAACATTGACAATCATTTACCTTAATCTTTGACAATTTTCCAAGTAATCACCATAGTATGGAGACGATTTCCTAATTGCTAGACCAAAATAATGGTACTTTGATTGTCCTCTGGTTCCTAAACGACGGGTAGCTATTTTACTGAATTTACGACGGATAATCTGTGATTTAATTGAATATAATTAACAATTAAAGTTCTAAAACAACAACGAAACTAACAAGTTAATCTTCGTAGGCAATTTAATTAAATTGTAAAGAAGAGTAACAATTTCATCAGAAAGGATACAAAGTTTTTTTCTGATATTAGAAAACAATCACTAAAATTTTGCAATAATTTTTACAATTATTGATTTTCAGTGGATCGTTAATCGACAATTACCTTTCCAAAAGCAGCAGCACTGATCGGTTCAGAGTTAATTGTCCGGCAATGGTCAAGATAATGTTTATAAAGTAAACACCGAGGTAGACAAACGTCATCACATAGCTCATAGTTACTTTCCAGCCTTAAATCATGTTCCAAATGAGATAATCATGATATTCCAAGTGTGAAAATGATTCAGATTAAGAGATGAAAATTTAGTTACGAATGTTTAACTTACCATTTTAATGTTCTTTCGGTTGATTTACATCGGAAGAATTGACTTCGTTTGGATGAGGAGAGTGAAGATGATGAAGTAGATGAGGATGGAGAAGAAAATGAAGACATTAAAATATGAAAAAGAATCAAATGAGAGAACAATTTTCTATAGAAGAAAATAACAATTGTTGATGATCACAATTAAAACAGTAAATTAACTACACAGAGAATGAGAATTAATGAGAAAGTGAAGATGGTGACAGAGATGAAGAAGGAAAAAAAATGGAAAATGGGAGAAGGAGGAAGAAGAGAGAGAGAGAGAAAATGGTGAGACTTACCTTTTATTATCTTAATCAAATTGAGTTGATTGTTAATTTGTCGGTAAATTAGTCTATTTTCAAGTGTCGGCATCATGAACAGGGGGAATACACATAATCAAATAGAAATTATCAAGTGTGAAAAATGATTACAATTTATGATTACAGAATGTGAGTCAGTTTGTTGAATAATTGAACGGATATACACACACATACATACACACTGTGTATACCTAATGAATTAAGGTAGATGTTTGTTGTTAGATTATAACGATAATCAAGATTCAAGGGAATTAATCACTGAAGTGTTTTACCATTTAAATGGAAACAAAAATCAACAATGTTCAATTAATTAGCGTCTTTAATTAATACACTTGATAAACAAATGACACAAAGACCATATAGATTTTCACTTGTTGGATCAAAGAAAACAAAACAGAATATTAAATAATAGATTGATAGAATCACAGAATCAAATCCCGAGTTAATCCAACAGAATAAAAGACAACAAGATTATCCGTTAATCAGAAGAATTAAAACTAATTATGATTAGAGAGAAGAAGAAGAAAAAAAACATGGAGATTAATCAAATGTTGGAATGAGAAGAAAATGTTTACATTTGTAAACAAAGAAAAAAAGAAAAAAAGAAAATTTTTTTGTTCTTTTCTAATTCAATTTTGTTTCTATTCTCTTTTTGTTTTCTCTTTCACACCTCAGCCTTAGGTTGTCTTGTGCCTTTTCTTACAGCTCATATGAACGACATTGGACTAACTGCTAAACAATCAGCTCTAATTAACACTCTAACTGGACTAATTAGTGTTCTCGGTCCGTTAATATTTGGCCCGATCGCTTATCGTTACCATAAATATAATCTAATTATTTGTGTGACTCTTTTCCTCTCGACCATTTCCTATACCTCATTGTTATTTGTTCCTAGAGTATTGAGAACAGCTAAACATTCATCAATTATATTTGATTGTACCAATGGTGAATTGTTAATTGAACGATGTCAAAATTGGGAAAATAATTGTTCACTTCATCCTAAGCGTTTGGCCTATGGTAATTTCACTGATTTTACCTTATATTCATGTAACTATGCTTGTGACATAAACAATTCATTTCTTCATGGTAACAACAGTTTCTCATCATCATCATCATCATCAAAAATTGACTCTAATTATTACCAATCTTCACCATCTTCATCTTCCAATGTTATTGATCCAATTCAAGTTTGTTTTGAAAGTTCATCGGAAGGAACTCTTTGTTTAGAATCATCTGATTCACCTAAACCATCAACCTCAGTTAATCCAGTTACTGGTAAATATTTAGATCCGATTCAGTTTGATTCTAGATTTGATCGATGGCCTGAAAGTGAGCCCAGGGGACTGTTAATTGGTAATAGTCACCTTGTTTCATGCTCTTTTCAGCCCAACGAAGCTTTAATTATAAAAAGTCAAAATTATCAATCAATCAGCTGTAGACCAGCTAAGCCTGGTTGTTTTATCCATTGTCGGGTTGATATGGTCCATAGATCACATTCAATTTTAACAAGCCCACTACCTTGTTACCGATTATCTGGCCGTCCACAGGTTACTTTTTATTCCTATTTGGCCTTACGAAGTGTTGCCGATTTAACTTTGTTCACTGGTTTCTCTTTACTTGATTCCCTGGCAATTACCTTGACCAATGATTTTGATTCAATTTATGGAAGAGCATCTAAATTATTCGCCATCACCTTACCGATGTCTCTCTGGTCTATTGGAGCTGGAATTTTATCCGATTACTTTTCTCTGGTCACTAAACGTCCAGATTATTCACCAATATTTGTTATCTATGATGGTTTCATCTTGATTACTATTATTTTAATCATTTGTTTCCCAGTTGAACCAATTTCAATAACATCTAATCTCATCTCTTACACATCATTATCATCAACTAGTCTCAATGGTGAATCCAATCGACGTCAACAACAAAACCAGAATTCACCTAATCACCAATCAACTTTAACCAAAATCTCATCAACACGATCAACAACCAAGAAACAAACTGAATCATCATCAATGAAGTTCAGGCACAAGATTGGATTATTTTTACTATTACCATTTACCCTAATTCTTGGTACAACATGGGGATTACTTTATAATTATTTACCTGCTTACTATTTGGAGCTTGGAATTGATAAAACTTGGTTAAGCGTCGCCTATTCATTAGGATTTATTGGTTATGCTCCCTTCTGTTTAATTATTAAATCATTAACCTCAGGAATTGGAAGAATCCATCTAATTGTGCTGGCATTTACTTTCTATTCAATTCGTTTGGTTGGAATATCGTTCCTTCATCAACCTCGTTGGACAATTATACCTTTCCAGTTAATGGAAACCTTCACTCTTCCCTTAGCATGGGTTGGAATCACTTCATCAATTCATCGGCTTTTACCTTCATTTGCCACCGGATCTCATCTAATTGTCCAATATACTTTGGTAATTATTCACTTTGGCCTTGGACGATCATTAGGTGGACTCTCCTGGTGGCTTTGGTTACAAGACTGGGAATTTAATCATAATCGTTGGAATTGGTTAATCTATGATTGGCCTTTAATTCAAATTGCAGCTAATTACGATATATCAAGTTACCGGTTATTACTTCGTTTAACTGCAATTATCTTGGCAATTTGTGGTTTCGTTTTACTCTTCTTTTATCATCTTTATTGTTTCTGTTGTTCACCAATTAAAAAACGATCATCATCATCATCATCATCCCACAGGTTAAAAAAACAGAAAACAAATAATCGTCTAAAAGGTAAACAAAAGTCCCAACCATCAACATCGACCTCTAATCAATTGCAACAATCAACGGAAACTGATGTTTTACTCAATGGTATCCACGGTAGAAGTGGTGAAGATATTGGTTCACCATCATCACCATTTAATTCACCTTCCGGTGACAATAATCAATCAATGATTAACGATCAATCTAAATTGATAACATCACCTAAAACAATGACTACAATTAATGAAATGCCTTCTAATGGTGAAACAAATGGAATCAAGTTAATCAGTAAAGTTGGAGAAGACGATTTGTAACTAAATTAATTAACTAAACGAATTAATTGTTTTCCAAATTTATCTCATCATTTATCATCAATTCATCATCATTAAGCAAATTATTTTCAAATAATCATCATCAATGGTCACTTAATTATATTACCAATGTATTGGACTCGCAATCTCACCTTGATTACAATTTGTTTTAATTGTATCAAAAGAAAACAATCAATTGTAATAATTTATAAACACAATAGAAATGATATTTATTGATCATTTTTTGTTGATCATTAATATATTGTAAAAGTTATTTAATTATAATTGTAATGATTACAAATCTGATTATGTAGTTCTCGTTGATAAAAATTAACATTGAGTTATAATATTAATCATCTTAATTGTGAACACAATTACATAATCAACATGAATCTAATTCCATCTTTAATGGGTGTAACAATTATAATTGTATCTTTTGTATGATAATCAGTCAACAATTAAGAGAGAAAGAAACTGTTTTCATTCAATCAGAATTAACTTTTCCAATTCTGAAAAAATGAAACAAAAAATATTAATTGTTAGACATTTCAATTGATCACAACCATCAGGAATAAACAATCAATCACTAATTTGATTATTTGCTGACCAACCTAATCAAAGTTAAACAATTAACTGTTTACTTTGCCTCGATTTTTAAATTATCAATCATTGTTTTCAATAATTAAATGTTGACTCAATGTTTTTGTTTACCAAATGATTTTGTTGTTTATGATTGACAACAATTCAATGAGCAATCAAATTAAGGAATCAATTGATTAGGGAAATGAAATAAATTTAAAAAGAAAATTAAATTTGATTATTAATCAGATTTCGGTTCATTTAAAACTGTGTTTAAACTTATTTAGTGACAATTTAACTGTTTAATGTTGATATAAATTGAGAATTAGTTAAACCGATTGTAAATTAATTGTCATTGATTGACAATAACACTTAAAGTTTTTTTTTTCTCAAGTGTCATCAAGATTAAGGTTAAGATGAGTTTATGACGATAAAGACGAAGAAGATAATTATGATTTAAGTTGTTGACACTTCCACTGATTACTGGAAGTTGCAATGAAAGTGTCAATCAACAATCAGGCAAATTGTTGATAAATTTACAATTTGGCAAAACGTCAGCACGATAATAATTGAGAGTTGACTTTTAAATTGTTCAAAGTTTGTCAATTTGCTAGAATGATGAAATTTCAACTCAATCAACTTAACAAGATATCAGAGAATCGATGTAATCAAAATCAAATTAAATTGTGAAGACTATTAATACAAGGATATTATGAAGAATCGCGAAAATTGTGATTAGAATTAAAGTTAATCAATGAGATTACATATTAACCGAAAAATGTCTCACGCATTCAGAGATGATTTTTAAATTTTCTCTCTTCTAATTTCTCATTCTTTCAAAGAATTTCTCATGAAAAGGAAGAAAAGAAGATGATGATGATGATGATGGAAGATAAACAGACAAAGGGAGAGAAAAAGAACCAGAAAGACAAGATATTGTGTTCTGATCTAATCAACAATCAGCAGAAATTCATGTTGAATGAATTTCCTGGAATAAGTTAAATCATAATAGACTTTTGGCTTCATCGTCATTCATTTTGTCTCTTTTTCATTCATTCAGCTTAATTGTTGATTCATTTTCACCTCCTCCTCCTCTTTTTTTTCATCATCTACAATCAACAATAGATGAGAAATGGTGATGATCCTGTAAATTGACCAAACGATCATTTAATTTCATCCTCAAGTTTAGATCATTTTTTCATGGGATCAATTTTGGTGTTGGTGTAATTTGGTTGAAGAAACATGAATGAAATGAGCAAAAAAACGAGTAAAATAAGGTGATGATGATGATGGAAGATGAGGAAAGAGAGTGTGGCAAGAATAGAGATGACGGAGAGAAAAAAGTGAAGAAAAAATTAGTGACGATGAATGAAATTCATTGATGGATGAAGATTCTTTTAGATTTGGAAGTTGAATCAATATTGTCGCGAATGAGAAGTTAATGATCATCAAGAAGGAGGAATGAATTAGAAAAGAGCTGAGAGAAAGTGTCATTAAAGTACAGTAGTAGAGAGAGAGATTAATCAACCCAATACACATTTACTTTTCCATTAAGAGGAATTGATTGTTGATACACAGACGACAGAATGATTGAGACAGTACAAAGATATAAAGAGAAAAGAAAGAAAGAAAAATATAAGACATACACAAGTGGGAAAAAAGAATAGAAATTAAGAGAAGGTGAGAAAATAGAAAAACAAAAGAGAAAAATACAACATCCAAAACAGAAAATGAGAATTTACCTGTTGAGATATTTATCTTTTTTTCGCATTTCAGGTGATTACGATTTTCTGTTTTTGACTGGAGGAGAAAAAGAAAATATCATTTGCAAATACTGAGGGCGAAAATTACTTGGAGCGGGATTGGGATTTTGGTGAAAGAAAAGGACAAGCAGTTATTTGAATCCATTTACAACACCGTTAATATTATTAGATTAATATCTTTCAACATGAGAGTTTTGTTTTCTTGTAGATAGGGAGAGAAAAGGTGAGATAGAAGATAGATTAGAGTGTGAATTTAGACTTGAGACCGGGTTTAAAGGGACAGAGAACTTTTTGTTTGTATGGGTTAGGGAGAGAGAGAGAGAGAGAGAGTGGAAGAGAATTCAAGGAGTAAAGACAAAAGGGAAAAGATTAGAAGAAAAGATAGCGAATATATTGAATCTTCTTTTGCTATTTGGAGTTTCCTTGTGCCATTCAGAGCCTTTGATTTGAAAATTGTTTTCTTCTTGAAGCCATGCTGAATACTAACGGATGATTTTTGATACTTGTTGATTTATTTTTTTCTGTATTTCCAAAATTGTGGATTTTATGTATTTGAAAATTTTCTTTAATGTTGCTCATCATCATCCAAATTACGTTTTACTTTGGAAAAGTCAAACTCTTCACCGGTTCCTCTCTTGTAAATATCCAACACATCGAGACAGGTTGTTTCAAAATGAGTTGTAGCATCAAATGATTCCGAGATAAATATTTGGCTTTCCAATCCATTGTCATCCGGCTTGTAAATGTCCGAAATGGCGACAAATTTTTGCTTTATTGGGCCAAGAAGATCCAAACCTGGTTTAATCTCTCCTTCAGGATTGTTGGTCTCAACAAAAGCTGATACCATAGCAATGAACCAACCCTTTGATGAAACTTGATGAGTATATGATACCATAGAAACATAAATATCAGATTTACGACCAACTTGCTTTTGGGGAATGATAATTTGACAGGAGAGAGAATCTTTGGTATTCGGAATTGGATGGTTGAGTAAACAGATACAACGAATCACTTGGCCAACCTTTTTTACTCGATCGGTTACATAGCTAGGATCACAATAGACTTGCTTACATCGAGCAATCTCATTACCAGATCGGACACCAACTACTTTACCATTTTCCATGACGATCTCATCAACCTGTTTGTCCAACATGTAGGTACCGCCATAAATGGCAGAGAGACGAGCAAAACCTTGAGGAAGTTCACCCAAACCATATAGAGGGTAAAGGTAAGGACTTTTACCGTATCGTGCCAATGATTCACTGTAAAGTCGAACTCTTTCAATCAAATCAGCACATGGTTTGTAAAGATAATCATCATCTCGATACAAAGCTAAAGCATGACCTGTAAAATCAGCAGTATCTTTGTCTAAATTGAAATGCTCATACAATTGAGCAGCGGTTGTTTTGTTTGGATCAACGTCTTTCCAGGTTGACTTGTCATTCTTGTTAAAGTCTTTGACAAACAAAAGGAAACTTCTGAATCGACGTTTCTCAAACATTCCCATTAAACTTGAAGCTAAAGCTTCTTTCTCATCAGCTGGTACTTTAAAGATTTTTCCTCCCTTGTAAACGTAAGATCCTTCAATAACTTTGAACTCAAGGTACCTGGTAACCTCAGTGTGAATCAATAATTTTACCAGTAAACCATTAGCCATAAGAAATTTAGGGATTAGATCAACATTCCAGTCTCGAGTTCTGTAAATGGATTGGAAAATCAAATGAAAATAAAGGATTGGTCAATATTTAGACATAGAAAGTTACATTGATGATGAATATTGATTTAACTCAATTTTCAATGAATATTAATGATTATCTACTACCAGCACAATTGGAAAATGTGTGAAGATAAAAAAAAGAAGAAAATCAAACAAAATTATATCAGAAAGAGATAATGTTGCAAAGAGAGATTAAGTAACCATATTCATTTTCTGTATAGAATAAAATTGTCACAGAAAAAAAGGGTGTAATTGTTTATACATATGTTACATCTTTTTCTCTTTTCTTTGAGAGTGGAAATTATTGTAAAAATGTAATCACCTTCCAAATTCATCCAGACTGGCCACTTCATTGCCAAATTTACTGAACAGATCTTCTAATGGGGTAATACTGGCTGATTCACCTCCATAATACTTGTTTCGGTCAATATGGAGAACTTTTTTACCAGAGACAGAGAGCATACCAGAAATGATACATTCTTTTAGTCCAGTACCCAAAACGATGGCATCATATTCTTCATCCATGATTATTCAAGTGTTTAGATTTAAATACCTCTATTAGTAATACCTGTTGAGTTATAACACGGAGACAAAGAGAGAGAACCGTAAGTAAAATAAAGATATTAAGACTAGGGATTCAAAGGATCTGAGTTAAGACACAGAGCAAGGAAAAAAATGGAGGCTAAGATGAGAGCAATGATAGGGTGTTGAAATTAATGACGATGAAAGGATGCAGAAAGTGGAAGAAGAAACAATATGAGAAAAAAGAGAACAGTTTAACTGGAGAGAATAATCAAAAGAAAGAGCGAGTGAGAGACAAGGGAGATGAGATGAGAGAGGGCGACAGAAAGAGATAATCAAGAGAAGACAGCAAAACAAAGAGAGACAGATAGACTGAGAGAGAGAGAGAATAAGAATAGAATAGAGGGTTGAAAGGTGAAATCAACAAAAAAAGTGATGATCGACAAGTAGACAGAGAGTAGGAGAGAGAGAAAAAGAAAGAGAAAGAGGAAAGGTAACTCAGAGCAAGAAACTTAAGGAGGTGAAGAAAAAGCAAGATGGATGAAAATGATGATGTTGTTGTTTTTGATGATGAAGATGATGATAAGAATACTTAAAAAGTGAAGAAAAGAAATAGAAAGGGTTAGGGAGGCAACAAAAAGAGCGTAGACAAAAAACAATCTGAATGAACATAAAAAAATAAAGACAAACCAGAATGGAAAAAGTCAAGCTGATGATGGGAAAAAAAGAGAATAGAAATAAAAAACAAGAGAAAAAAATTGCATGAATGTTGACAAGAAGCAATTTAAAAATAAAATTACAAACTAAACCAATCAACCTAAATAGAAACAATCAATTCAAAATACTAACCAATAAATTAGATGATGATTTTATTTGGAAACAACAATTAAATTCAGGCACTGGGACAATTAAGACAAGAATTGAATTAACAGTTGGAATCAAGAAAATCACATAAAAGGAAGAGACAAATTCTCAATTTGAAGGACATCTAGTGGTCGTTATTACTACTAAGCTGAAATTCGATTTCAATTAAACTTTTTCAATCATCAATCAAATCAATTTTCAATTAACATTAATAATTATTATTAAATTATTAATAGAAAAAAATTAAACATGATGAACAACTTGTTGATTGTTTGGTAATTTTTTGATAATATGGTCTCGTTGGAGTTGATTAGCTGTGTTGATATTTTTCTGAGTGAAAAAGGATAAACTTCTGGACAAATTGTGAATTAATGTATAACTTGAACTTTAATTTGATCAAGATTTTGAGTTATGAGACAAAATATGAATTAAATCGGTGCTCATTCAAATGCCCGTTTAATTGTCAACTTCCATTTGTTGAAAAATTTCGTTAGTTTGCTGGGTAACCCTGATGAATCTAGTTTTACGAGGAAGCTCTTCAAGTTTCGACGAACCAGTGTAGGTACAAGCCGATCTCAGGCCACCAAGAATGTCCAAGATTGTTTGGTCAACATCGCCTCTATATGGAATCTCAACAGTTTTACCTTCTGATGCTCGATATTCAGCTACTCCACCATTATGTTTGTTCATGGCAGTTGCTGAGCTCATCCCATAGAATTTTTTATATTTTTTACCATTTCTTTCAATAGTCTCTCCTCCACACTCAGTGTGCCCTGACAACATACCACCGAGCATCACGAAATCAGCACCCGCACCAAAAGCTTTACAAACGTCACCTGGATAGGTACACCCACCGTCAGAAATAATGTGCCCTCCAAGTTCATGAGCGACTTCAGCACATTCGATGACAGTGCTTAACTGCGGATAACCAACTCCAGTCTTTTTCCTAGTGGTACATACCGAACCAGGACCAATTCCTATTTTAATTATATCAGCACCAGCGAGAATCAATTTTTTGACCATCTCAGCGGTGACCACATTACCCGCCATGATGGTTCGATCGGGAAAAGCAGCTCGTGTCTTTTTGACAAATTCAACAAAAAGGTCAGAATATCCATTGGCCACATCCAAGCAAATAAAGGGTATCGAGGGCACTTCTTCTAGAATAGTACTTAGGTTGGTGAAATCCGATTCTCCGATACCAGAACTTACAGCTACATTCTGAGAGAGAGAGAGAGAGAGAGAGAGAGAGAGAGAGAGAGAGAGAGTGATAACACTAATCAATTAGTCGATTTTTTTATATCAGAAGTGAAAAAAATAGTAACAGTAATTGATCTTGATTGGATTACAATGTAAACCCTTGTTAAGGTTAATCAAACATGTAAACATAATCACAAACCTTAATTGCGTCTGGATGTTGATCCGCGAATTGTTTCCATTCATCATTTGAATAGTGTTTATGAATTGTAGTAAGTAGATTGTGCTGTTGAAAATAATTAAAGAAAAACAATTAATCAACAATTAAAAAGGTTAAAGGTAAGAAGAGAGCGAGGGAAAAATGAACCCACCTTATTCAAAGCTAATGCCATCGGAAAAGTGCCAATGGTGTCCATGTTTGCAGCGATAATTGGTACACCACAATATTCCTGATTGGAATTTTTAAATTTCATCGTTCGATTAAGATCAACCTGTTGTAATTTTTTTAAATTAACGTCACAATATAGAGAACAATCAATTAGAATAAAGCACCACAATAGAAAATGAGATAAAAGTAAACAACCGGACTCACCTCTGATCTACTCTTGAGAGTACTGCTTTGAGGAACTATTAAAACATCCTTGAAATCGAGTTTGATGTCGTTATTTATTTTTGACATTACATTACATTGACATTTAGACATTTTTTGTTCTAAACACTAACCGAAAACAAATTTGATTAAGGTCAAAAGAGAGAAAAAAAAATTAACTACAAGGCAAAAGTTAAAAGTTGAAACTGTTCATTGGGATTCGTTTCTGAATCTTTTATATTCTCAGGGAGTGACATCTATTGAAAGAACTGATAAACCACCGAAAGATAAAAATGGATTTAATTGTTGATTCGAAGATGATTAAACAATTAACTTGGTGGGTCAATTCTTCAACCAATCTGAAGGTTAAGTGTTTGTTTTGTTTTGAGATTAAAACTCGATCGCGTTATCGACTTTGTTTATAACTAATCGAAAGACTTTAAATCAACACAATTAAACTGATTAATTATTTGGAAAGTTAATTGTTTATTCACATATTTATCAAATTTTTAATTGTTAACTTGGAATCAGATTACAGTTAACTGATGGAGAATACTTTTGATTCTTATACAGGGCTATTCAACTTCATTTTCATCAGATTTTTATTTTAAGTCAAGAACCAGTGGGTTCTAAAAGATCAGACTTCGTACAGGATATGTATCCGAGCTGAAGATAAACTTCGTATAAAAAGTTTTAAGGTCATTGAGGTCACTTCACGATAAACGCATTGAGAGGCCATTTGAAGACTTTTTTGAAAAGAGCAAAAAATTATCCCTAAATGGGTTTATCGTGAAATGATCTCAATGACCTTGAATGTTTTTTGATAGTTACTTTTGTTTCAGAATTTAATTCATTAATTTTAATTGTCACTAAAATGATTTAACAATTAGTCTTTGATTAATGTTTTCTAATTTGATTGGTATCATTATGAGCCAATATGAATTAACTAATTGTGATCAAATATTGCTCATTGATGATGACGATTAACAATCAAATTGAATACTACAAAATTGATCAAATAAATAGACAATTTAACCTCAATTAATTGTCAAGATGAAACAATGAGAAGGTGAGAAAACAATTAATTAGTTCAGATTTAATTAGAATCATTAACTATCAATACAATTGATTAAGATTTCTATAGATATTTGAATTTGATTTTTATACATATTCTTTGTTATCATTAACTAATCATCGACACAATCACCTCCATAATTGGTTCAATTGTAAATTGTGATATCAACTCGTCATTCTAATTGTTATTGTAATTAGAATCGTTCCTATCAAGGATTAACTGGTTATCCATCGACTTCTTGGTTTGATCCATACTCGACAATGGATGGACTATTTCGAGGATTGTCCAAGTTAATCAAAATCACGCCAGTGACCAACGACGATATCGTCTTTCGACTTCATCGACAACTCACCGTTTTAATACTCTTCGCCTTTTCCATAATAGTGACCGCTCGTCAGTATATCGGTGATCCAATTGACTGTTTACCCAAAAGTGAGATTTCATCTGACCTACTGGACACTTATTGTTGGATCCATACCACGTTTAGTATTGAAAGTGCCTGGAATAAAACGATCGGAACGGAAGTTCCTTACCCGGGAATCGATAATTCAAGAGGTTCTGATCGTGTTCACCATTATTATTATCAATGGGTTTGTTTTTTCCTCTTCATTCAAGCTCTTCTTTTTTATCTTCCTCGATTCTTATGGAAATCGTTTGAAAATCATCGTTTATCCTCCATCGTTATGGATCTTCATTCACCGATTTTATCTCATGATGAGAGATCGAGACAAATTAAAATCTTCATCAATTATTTCATCGCTCATCTTGGTTACAATGGGATTTTCACTTTTCAATATTATTTCTGTCAAATCCTTTGTTTCGCCAATGTGGTTGGTCAATGGAATGAACCAGAATGAATTAAGTCAAACTGATGATGATTTTATTAAATTCAGGCACTGGGACAATTAAGACAAGAATTGAATTAACAGTTGGAATCAAGAAAATCACATAAAAGGAAGAGACAAATTCTCAATTTGAAGGACATCTAGTGGTCGTTATTACTACTAAGCTGAAATTCGATTTCAATTATAATTAACATTTATTATTAATAGAAGAAAATTAAACATGATAAACAACTTGTTGATTGTTTGGTCTGGTTGGAGTTTATTAACTGTGTTGATATTTTTTCGATGGAAAAGGTTTAATATTTTCTGGACAAATTGTGAATTAATGTGATTTTTTACATTTTTCAACTTGGATTTTAATTTGAGATTTTGAGACAAAATATTAATTAAATCGGTGCTCATTCAAATGCCCGTTTAATTGTCAACTTCAATTCGGTGAAAAATTTCGTTTGTTTGTTGTGTCACTCTTATGAAGGTAGTTCGACGGGAGAGCTCCTTGAGTTTAGATGAACCAGTGTAAGTACAAGCCGATCTCAGGCCACCAAGAATGTCCAAGATTGTTTGGTCGACATCTCCTCTATATGGAACCTCAACAGTTTTGCCCTCTGATGCCCGATACTCCGCTACACCACCATGGTGTTTGTTCATAGCAGTTTTGAGCTCATCCCATAGAATTTTTTATATTTTTTACCATTTCTTTCAATAGTTTCACCTCCACACTCAGTGTGCCCTGACAACATACCACCGAGCATCACGAAATCAGCACCCGCACCAAAAGCTTTGCAGACGTCACCTGGACATGTACAACCACCGTCCGAAATAATGTGACCACCAAGTCCATGGGCGGCATCGGCACATTCAATGACGGCACTTAACTGTGGATAACCCACTCCAGTCTTTTTCCTGGTGGTACAAACTGAACCAGGACCAATTCCTACCTTGATGATATCAGCACCAGCGAGAATTAATTCCTCGACCATCTCGTCGGTGACCACATTACCCGCCATGATGGTTCGATCGGGAAAAGCAGATCGTGTCTTTTTAACGTAATCGACGAAAAACTCTGAATAACCATTCGCAACATCCAAGCAAATGAAGGGTATTGAGGGCACTGCTGTAAGAATATCACTCAGGTTGGTGAAATCCGATTCTCCGATACCAGAACTTACAGCTACATTCTGAGAGAGAGAGAGAGAGAGAGAGATAACACTAATCAATTAGTCGATTTTTTTATATCAGAAGTGAAAAAAATAGTAACAGTAATTGATCTTGATTGGATTACAATGTAAACCCTTGTTAAGGTTAATCAATATTGAGTATCTAGGATAATATGGCCTAGTTTTCTCAAGGTCATGTACTAAATTAGAAATAGAATCTGATTCTCAAAAATAGAAAATGTAAACATAATCACAAACCTTAATTGCGTCTGGATGTTGATCCGCAAATTGTTTCCATTCATCAACGGAATAATGTTTATGCACTGCAGTTAGTAGATTGTGCTGTTAACAATAATTTGAGAACAATTAATCAACAATTTAAAAGGTAAAAAGGTAAGGAGATGTTTTAAATAAAAAAACAACAAAGATTAAAATAGCAGAGCGAAAAACTAACCTGACTGAGAGCAACAGCCATGGTGAAGGTGCCAATGGTGTCCATGTTTGCAGCGATAATTGGTACTCCACAATATTCCTGATTGGAATTTTTAAACTTCATTGATCGATTAAGATCGACCTAAACAAAAGCGAAGATTAAAGTCCAAATTAACAATAGAGAAAAATACAGAATAACATAAACACAACCGAACTCACTTCTGCTCTACTCTTGAGAGTACTCCTTTTTGGACGAAATAAAACATCCTTGAAATCGAGTTTAATGTCGTTGATTATGGTTGGCATGGTGGTTTATTTTTCGAAAAACTAACGAGATATAAAGTTGATTGTCAAAAAGAAGAAGAAAAAAATTAACCACAAGTCACGAATTACAAGTTGAAACTGTTCATTGGGATTCGTTTCTGAATCTTTTATATTCTCAGGGAGTGACATCTATTGAAAGAACTGATAAACCACCGAAAGATAAAAGTGGATTTAATTGTTGATTCGAAGATGATTAAACAATTAACTTGGTGGGTCAGTTCATCAACCAATCTGAAGGTTAAGTGTTTGTTTTGTTTTAAGATTAAAACTCGATCGCGATATCGACTTTGTTTATAACTAATGGAAAGACTTTAAATCAACACAATTAAACTGATTAATTATTTAGAAAGTTAATTGTTTATTCACATATTCATCAGATTTTTAATTGTTAATTAATTGTTAACTTGGTATCAGATTACAATTAACTGATGGAAATTACTTTTAATTGTTATATAGTGATCTTCATGTTGATTGTAATTAAATTTCACTCCGATCGATTATTAGATTATGAGATATTTTTTAATAATCGATAAATCAAACAATTGCCTTAAGTGTTAATGATTATATTTGGTGGTGGTAAAGTTGATCAGCGAATTTCATTTCAAATTAACTTGATTAATTTATGTCATTTTGGAACTCATTCATTAGGTTCATTAGGAACTGAGCGAGTTTTTGATTTTGTTTGTGAAATTACCAGGATTAAATTGTTGATTCACTTTGACCGAATTAAATAAACAACTAAATTGTTGTCCAATTGATCATAACTTTAATTGTAATCAATCAGTGAACGAGTGTGTGTGTGTGTGAATGTCAGAGGTAATCAACTCTCACAATCACCTAAAGACTTATTGGTTAGTTAATTAATCAAAAGTCTTTGATTAAATCATGTTGATTATTTATTCTTAACATTGTATGAATCCTCGACTCGTTTTAATTTGATTTTTATACATATTCTTTGTTATCATTAACTAATCATCTCCATAATTGGTTCAACTGTAAATTGTGATATCAACTCGTCATTCTAATTGTTATTGTAATTAGAATCGTTCCTATCAAGGATTAACTGGTTATCCATCGACTTCTTGTTTTGATCCATACTCGACAATGGATGGACTAATGAATCAATTCATGAGTGGTTTTTTACATTTTTCAACTGAGGATAAGCCACTCCAGTCTTTTTCCTAGTTATACAAACACTACCAGGACCAATTCCTACTTTAATAATATCAGCACTGGCGAGAATCAACTCTTCGACTATCTCAGTGGTGACCACATTACCCGTCATGATGGTTCGATCATAAAAAGCAGCTCGTGTCTTCCTAGCAAATTCAACGAAAAACTTTGAGTACCCATTAGCAACATGGTAAAGGAAAGGTAGTTCAGGTATTGAGTAAAATATCAAGGTCATTCCGGTCATTTTGTTAGGATAAGGTTTCAAGGTCATTTGATGATCGCAATCGATTCCAACAAACAACATTTACCTTAATCACAAAGATTTCTCGACTCTCAACCTCTTTGTTACGAGCACATTAATGAAAGTTGGGACAAAACAAAACATTGTGTTTATAACTAATCGAAAGACTTTAAATCAATATAATTAAACTAATGATGCTTAATTGTTTATTCACATATTTATCAAATTTTAATTGTTAACTTGGTATCAGATTACAATTAACTGATGAAGATTACTTTTGATTGTTATATAGTGATCTTGATGCTGATTGTAATTAAATTTCACTCCGATCGATTATTAGATTATGAGATATTTTTAATAATTAATCAATCAGACAATTAACTTAAGTGTTGATGGTTATATTTGGTGGTGATAAAGTTAATCAGCAAATTTCATTTCAAATTAACTTGATTAGTTTTTATTATTTTGGTCATTTCTAGGAACTGAGCAAGTTTTTTGATAGTTACAATTATTAGGATTAAATTGTTGATTCACTTTGACCAAATTAAATCAACAACTAAATCTTTGTCCCATTGATTATAACCTTAATTGTGTAAAAATATTTTCAACTTTTGTTTCTCAATTTAATTTAAATCACTAATTGTGATCAGAGATATTTAAAAATATGATGAGATTTGATGTTTACAATATGGTAAGTTGATTAATTTTAATTGCCACTAAAATGATTTAACAATTAGTCTTTGATTAATGTTTTCTAATTTGATTGGTATCATTATGAGTCAATATGAATTAATTGTGATCAAATATTGCTCATTGATGATGACGATTAACAATCTAATTGAATACTACAAAATTGATCAAATAAATAGACAATTTAACCTCAATTAATTGTCAAGATGAAACAATGAGAAGGTGAGAAAACAATTAATTAGTTCAGATTTAATTAGAATCATTAACCACAATTGATTAAAATATCTAACAATTAATCAAGTTAATCTGTTTTTCAACCTTTTTCCTGTTGATCAAATTTAATTACAGTTTAAACAGGAAGGTTAATAGACATTTAATTTAGTTAGTTAGTTAAGTTGAAATCTAGAAATTAACTAACAATTAACTTTCCGGTTTTGAAAAAAATATTCATATTAAAACAGTTGATTGCAATTGATTGTGTTTCTTTGATTACTAATTGTATAGAATTAATTTCATCCATAATCAAATCAAGTTCAAACTGGATTATAGTTAACGATGTAATCTAATATTATAACTTAGTGATTAACCTATGGAAACGCCATCAACAATTAAAGTAATTGTAATTTGTTTGGTCTTGTTACTTGATTTTTATTTTTCTATTAATTATTGATTGATTACTATTAATTACTATGTACCTTGAGATGGCAGTTTTCAACAATTAAGCTTCAACAACATGATTTGTCAGTATTTTAATTGTTGATTAGTCAAGTTAATTATCATAAACCATGGAAATTGTTTTCTTTTTTACCTTATAAATCAACAACCGATTGGAGTGAGAGACTAAATTGTTTGATTTAATGGTGAAAGACAGAAAAAAATAAACTAAATCATTGATACAATTAAGTACAACCCATATGATGATCAATGATTACTTGAAATCTTTATCATCATCGTAACAATCAGTGAAATCATAATTATTTGTGTACATTGACTGACGAAATATGACAAAATTAACCATCATCATTAAATCAACTAACAACAACAACAATTAGAACGAGTTAATTGTGATCAATTAGTGAGAGAAAGAGAGAGAGAGAGAGAGAGTCAGAGGTAATCAACTCTCACAATCACCTAAAGACTTATTGGTTAGTTAATTAACCAAAAGTCTTTGATTAAATCATGTTGATTATTTATTCTTAACATTGTATGAATCCTCGACTCGTTTTAATTTGATTTTTATACATATTCTTTGTTATCATTAACTAATCATCGACACAATCACCTCCATAATTGGTTCAATTGTAAATTGTGATATCAACTCGTCATTCTAATTGTTATTGTAATTAGAATCGTTCCTATCAAGGATTAACTGGTTATCCATCGACTTCTTGGTTTGATCCATACTCGACAATGGATGGACTATTTCGAGGATTGTCCAAGTTAATCAAAATCACGCCAGTGACCAACGACGATATCGTCTTTCGACTTCATCGACAACTCACCGTTTTAATACTCTTCGCCTTTTCCATAATAGTGACCGCTCGTCAGTATATCGGTGATCCAATTGACTGTTTACCCAAAAGTGAGATTTCATCTGACCTACTGGACACTTATTGTTGGATCCATACCACGTTTAGTATTGAAAGTGCCTGAATAAAACGATCGGAACGGAAGTTCCTTACCCGGGAATCGATAATTCAAGAGGTTCTGATCGTGTTCACCATTATTATTATCAATGGGTTTGTTTTTTCCTCTTCATTCAAGCTCTTCTTTTTTATCTTCCTCGATTCTTATGGAAATCGTTTGAAAATCATCGTTTATCCTCCATCGTTATGGATCTTCATTCACCGATTTTATCTCATGATGAGAGATCGAGACAAATTAAAATCTTCATCAATTATTTCATCGCTCATCTTGGTTACAATGGGATTTTCACTTTTCAATATTATTTCTGTCAAATCCTTTGTTTCGCCAATGTGGTTGGTCAAATGTGGGCCACCGATTGGTTTCTCAATGGGGAATTCAGTACCTATGGTTGGAGGGTTTGGTTTTTCACCGACCAAACTGATCCAGGATTAAGGTTCGACCCTATGGTCAAAGTGTTTCCCACTATGACAAAATGCACCTTCTACAAATATGGTCACTCTGGTGACATAGAAAAGTTTGACACAATTTGTATTCTAATTGTCAACATACTCAATCAAAAATTATATTTTTTCCTATGGAATTGGTTTTGGTTCCTTTCGATCATAACTGGTATCTGGTTGGCCTATCGCTTGATCATCGTTTTCTGGCCTCAAGTGCGTTCCCTTGTTATTCGTGGACGGTCAAAGATGATTAAAAATGACGATGATTTGAAAATCGTTTTAAGATCAATTAGTTTTGCTGATTGGTTTGTCCTTGATTTGATTGCCACCAATGTTGATTCAATGAATTTTAAAGATATCATTAGAGAATTAGCTTTACATTTTAAACCTAAAAGACAACAATTAAATCAAAAAACAATATCAACAATTGATTAGAAGATCAAAATACAAACCAAATTAACAAGCAGATAAACAATCAAATCAGATTAATCACAATCGATTAAAAAACCAAACATTGATCAGAATTGAATGAAACAAATTGACGTAACCAAAAACCAATTGAAGAAAATAAAAACAGTCTAATTATGGAGAAAATTAATTAATCACATCAAAACAATCAATCCGTCCAAATAACAATTAACAACAATTAACCAAAACATTGACAATATTTCAACAAATTACTTGTGATCAAGGGAAAAAGTGACGAGCCAAATTTAAAGTGAAAAACTTAACAAATGTTTAATTCCGTTGATAATGATAATCACAATTTAAATCATTCTCATTTTTTAAAAGCTATTTTTTTATACCATCAAATCAACAATCAACAATTAACAATGTAATTAAAAAAAACCATGAAAAGTGAAACATTAAATTTGAACAAACGGCAAATGAAATATTTTTATTCCTGAGAGCAAGTTGACAATTAACAATTAACTTTGTCAATTTAATTTTGTTTAAAATCAATCTGATTATAATCAATTAAACCGATTAAAGATGAACAATTAATTATTTTAAAGCCAATAAGAATCATTCGTAATTTATTGTAGTTAATTTAATCTTCCGTGTTGTAGATGATTAGACAAAAAAAAAGATGCGATCAATTGATGATTAGTTAATTGTTCACTAGTTAAATAACCTGATTTGATGATTATCTTTGGTTAATCAGTTAATAAGTTTCACTAATCATTTGAGTTTATTTTGTTTCAATTGTCATCTATTAGTTGTTGGTGTAATACTTTGATTGTGGATCTTGATTTTTATTCCTGGTTGACAATCAGTTGATTGTTTGCGATTTTTTGATCTGTAAAAGTTAATCACTTGTTATATAACAATTAGAATTGATTGTTTTCAATAATTTTAATATGTTTTAATGGATAAAGAAAAGACTACATAATTGTAATTATAATTAGAAATGATGGTGATCAAAATCAATAGGAAATAATTTTTTGTTTGTTAAAATGTATTAATTAGATTGTCTATCAACGATAGATAATTAATATAATTAATAAGGTAGAATTGTTTTTTTTACGATTAATTAAATTGTTTTGGGTAATTTAGAGTAGTATTTTCTTCTTACCATACTTTTATAATTAAGGCACATTCGAAATGTAAAAATTTTAAATAATTTTTTCGAAATTCGTATGTTCAATAGTTCGGAGTTTGAGCTTGAATTTTGTTCTGAGTTTTCGTCGAAGTGGGAAGAGTTCGAGTTTGGCGTTTTTCTTTCTTTTTTGGCATATTTTGTGTCCTTTTTTTGTTTTGTTTCTCTTTTTGGTTAATCATTGTCATTTTTAATTAACTTTGGCATCAGTGAGATAATTAGTAGATGTATCATCAGCTCATGTCGGGAGAAGATTTTTATCACCAGAGAATTGGAAAACTTGTCTTTCTAATTTGTTGACGAAAAAATTTCATGGCAATTTCATAATTTGGCTTTTTCTTTCATTGGCAAGTATATACAGCCATCGACTTTGAGTTTGCAACCACTTTTAATTTACTCGCGACGATAATGATAATCAATGAGAGATTAAGTTAACCCAAACATATGATAATAATCAATATCCTCTCAATTAACCGGTGTTATCTTTTCAAATGGTCATCCAATTAGATTTATCTTTGACTAATTATCAGTAAATGCGCGAGTAAATTAAAAGTGGTTGCAAACTCAACGTCGATGGCTGTATAAGTAAAAAAAGTTGTTAATTGTAACAATTAAACGATGAGAATTTTTATCATAAATCTGCTGTGCTATATCTTGCTTCATATTGAAGTCCAAGTGTCCGGTGAAGTTTCTGTAGGCGAGTAACAAATTCCTTAATTGTTGCTTTTGACTGGATACATTTAACTGAAGCTATGTCATTTTTAGTCCCTGATAATTGTGATGAAGATGATGAAGATGATGGGAGCGGTGACAAATCATTAGGTAAAGATGATGAAGGGACGATGACTCTGTAGAAAGAAAGAAAATAAAAAAAAAGGAGGGAGAAGAAAATGAGTGGGAGATGGGGACAGAAAAAATAGATATTAGTTACATGGAGTGAGAGAGAAACAAAAATAGACCAGAGGAAAATGGGTAGAGGAAGTTACAGTGAGAGAGAAAAGCCCATCATACTTAGTAGTTGGCTGGCATGATGATGCAAATTGTGGGTTAATTTTCTTTGGATATGATGAATGTTTTAACCGGATATGATTAATCCTGTGGATCGCAATCACAGCATTCACAACACTCTTGAAGCTTTTACGGTCAGAGGTGGGTGGAGGTTGATCTTCAGCTAAGATAATCAACAAGAGAAAAAAAAGAGAATAAAAGTTAATAAAAGTAAACATAAAAAAGATTCCAATTTATAACTGTCAGTTTTTAAATGGACCTTTTCAAGGATTTATCATCTGTAAAATCTCATGATAAATACAATTTTCAAAGGGTAATGAGAAGATGAGGATGAAAAAGATGATCAAGAGAAAATGAGAAAACCTTGAGAAGATGAAAAGAAATCAATCTTAACTTACTGGTAAATTTTACATGAGCAAGAAGTGCAAGAGTTGCTCTTTCTGGTAATTTATATCCACCAAGAACATTGAGAAGATATTTTTTCTGGTAAATTAATGAATTACGATGACTTAAACATCTTCGATACTGGTGATACAGTTCACTTTGATTACAATGATCAACCTTAACCTTGTTCATTGTGTTTACTTTTGGCTGTGAATTATGATTATCTTCATTGTTGTTGTTGTTATTTGGTTGAGATATTATTTCATTGGAACGGTCTTTGAGCTTCCTCTTAACCTTGTCGTACTTTTTTTGGTAAACATCCAATTTAGCCTGAGCTTTAATCAATGCCTCTTCCACAGTTGATAATTGACCAGAAATAGTATCATTTTGGTTAACGTAAAATTTAATCTTCTCACAGGCTTCCAAATAAAACTTTTTAATCTCCAACATTTTGTCCAACAATTTGATACCGAGGTTTCTACTGGTAAACTTATCCAGAAATGAGTCCATCTTGTCACTGGTTAAAACATTACATGAACCATAATAATTATCACTAAGATCATTGAACTCTATTCCAATGACATTAATATTTCCATCATCGTCATAATGATTTACTCCAATATTTTGATTCTCTTTGTTTTCATCAAGTAAAATAATTGGGAGAAGTTTAATTATCGCTTGAATAACATTATCCTGTGATCGTTTAGTTGCCTCACTCAAAGCTAAAAGTTCAGCTGATTGTTCATGAACTCTAATTAATGCTTCTTCAACGCTGTCCTTTTCATCAATAAAATCTGAATCTTTGTCCACCAAGTCCAATCCATTAACACTATTACCACAATCAACTGGTAATGTTAATCCAAGACGTAGGTTTCTTTCCTCTCGAAAACCTTCAACTTCCTGTTTCAATATTTCATTTTCTTCGCGAAGATTGTTCATTGCGAAATAGATTTTATCATATTTTAACTGAAGCTCGCACAGTTGATTCTCTAAATCGTTGTTCTTGATTGCTAATTGGTTATCTTCTTGAGTTCGTAAACCATTCGATCCAAATGAATTGTTGTTGGTCGACGTGATCATCTGTTCACTGTTCAAAGATCTTGGAGAGTTCAGAACACTCGGATTGGGGGCAAATATTTCACTTTTCATGTTTAATTGAGAATCAATTTTATCCTTTAAGATGAGATATTGGTCGATTAATTCATCTACCATAGAGATTGGGTCAGTTAAATCACGAGAAAATGGTAGATTCCTTTTCTCTCGAAAACCTGCCAACTCATGTTTCAAAATCTCATTTTCTTCACGTAAATTGTTCATTGTGAAATAAATTTTATCGTATTTTAATTGCAGCTCACAAAGTTGACTTTCTAGATCGTTGTTCTTGATTGCTAGATGATGATCATTGTAATTAAATCTAGAACCATTGGATGATCCAAATGACTTGTTGATAGTTGAGGTAATCGTTTGTTCATTATTTAAACATCTCGGTGAACCAGGAACACTTGAATTTTGGTATAAATTTTGAACTTGATTTGTTGTGGGTAATTGTAAATCAATCCTATCCTTAAGAATAAGATAATGATTAATCAATTCATCGACCATGGCGATTGGGTCAGTCAAATCTTGAGAATATGGCAGTACCAGGTTAAGCTTTTCTTTAATATCTTCAAGTTGACTTTGTAATTCGGTAATTTCATCGTTTTTATCTCGTATCACTAATTGCATTAGTTGAGGAATCAACTTGTTGGCTTTAGTTGAATCTTGAAGGCGAAGACGAGCTTCTTCTGATTCTATTTCTCGATCCATTGCCATATCTTCAATCCTTGATTCCAATTTGTCCTTTTCTTCAATAAGAAATTGTTTTTCTTTAGACAATTCTTGTATTCTCATTCCCAGAGAGTGTTTATCTGATTCAACTTGATGTAATTCATTGATTAATTGAGAGATTCGGTTGTTTCTCTCTTCAACAGCCAATTGTAATCCATCAACTTTAGAAATTAAATGTTCACTTTTCTCTTGTTCAATTGTTAGGGATCGTTTTAAATCGTTGATTGATGATTTTAATTGATTAATATCCAAACAAGAGGTTCCGTCTAATCGAGTTTTCAGCGCACTTAATTGAAGATGCTTGTCATTTAATTCCTCTTGAAGTAGATCAACTGTTCGTTTGGAATCTTTTAATTGAATTTCCAGTCTCTCCTTTTCTTTTAATATCTCACTCATTCGAGTTTGAAATGTTAACTTCTCATTAAAGAGATCATTTTTCTCCTTTGTTATTCGTGAATTGAATGAAGTTAATTTATCCGTGTAAACATTAAGCAGTTTAAGCTTCTCATCAAGGAGATGAATATCAACATAGGAACATTCAAGACCAGATAAATCAGTACTTTCATTGTTAATTCCATTTAATATGAACTGTGAATTGTGACCATCATCAGTATCATCAAATCCATCGTTTTCCTCGTCTCCATTTTCAAGCAGGATACTTTTAATCTTTTCAGCACCAACTGATAGATTGTGCATCAACGAGCTATTTAACATGATTAGATTTCCAAAATATGAATCAAGCAGCCGGAAAATCACAGGTAAGATTCAAATAGATGGTTAATCTTGTTTTTGATATTTTTTCGGTTGATAAAAACACAGAAACAACAGCTACATGGTTACCAGTAGTAAACAACAAGTAGATTAATCGATTATATCATAAAATCTTATTTCACTATAACAATTATTCAAGATACGATGCACGATGATAATAATAATAATTGGATGGGAAGAAAAAAGATGGACACAACCAAAACATGAAGGAAGACAAGATACAAGTGAAAATAATCAACACGATTCACCAAAGAAAATCATCATATTAGATTAAAACCAAAGCCCAATTTTGATTACCAAACCGAAGCGAATCAAACCATAGTGTTAATAATAATGTAAGGATAATAAAAGAGAGAGAAAAAAGAATACAGAGAAAAACAAAAACAAAATAATTACACAGATAAAGCGAATGAGAGAAGAAAAGAAAAAAACTGTTGTAACCAATGTAACATAAAGACTGTTGTTGTTTGTCAAAAATAGAATTCAAATTGACAGAGAAAAAAAGAGGAAAAGAAAAAGAGAAACAGAAAAAAAGATAAAAAGAGAAACAAAATGAATCATATAGGAAGTGGTAGAATAATTTAGAAAATGATGTTACTAATGTATTTCCAATGATGAAATTAATCAATTATAATTAAATAGTTGAGAGAACAATTAGTTAATCAATTGTGTAATAATTAGAAAAATAGAGTTGATTAAAAACGAGGAAATGAAGAGAATGTTAAACGAAGCGCCATCGCAACTGTTTCTTTTTTATTCTTCTCTCTTTTGAAGAGCAGGCGCCAAATATCATTTTCTTTTCTTTTTCATTTGTTTACGTTTTTTTCTGTTTTAATTTTTTAGAATTTTAATTATGTTCTATCGTCGTATTATTAAGGTGAGTTTTTGGTGGAATTTTTTTTTGTATTAGGTGGGCTCTTTTTCTGTAGAGATTTTGTTCTGATGGTTTGGATTTTCTTGTTTTGTCACTTTCACTAGGATTTGCTTTCGGTTAATTTGTGTCAAAAGCGTTTCAGTTCACAGAGTTGGAGGATTTCAGGTGGAAAAGATGTTGCCAGATATACTACTGCGATTGCTGTTGGATTTCTTGGTTTGACTTTTGCTTCTGTTCCTTTGTATCGTATGTATTGTCAGGTTACTGGTCAAGCTGGTCAACAAGGTTTCCTTGGGTCAACGGTTGATAAGGTTGAAGAAATGAAAATTGATAAAAATAGACGTTTAAGAGTCTCTTTTGTTGCTGATGCTGCAACTGATTTACTTTGGGAATTTAAACCTGTACAACATTCAATTGAGGTTAGTTGGTGTTCATTTTTGTTTCTATATATTTTATTATCTTACATCTTTGTTGACATTTTATTCTAATATTTTGTTTTCTCTTGATACATAGATTAGTCCTGGTGAAACAACGTTAGCATTTTTCACTGCTAAAAATCCTCTTAAAGATCCTGTTATTGGAATGGCGACTTATACTGTTCTTCCATTTGAAGCTGCTAAATATCTTAACAAAATTCAATGTTTCTGTTTTGAAGAGCAAAGATTAAATCCTGGAGAAGAGGTAATTTTAATCAATTAGTTAATCAAAACCTGGAATTGTTAATTATGTCTTCTTGAATCTTTTTCATTTTAATTTAGGTTGATTTACCTGTTTTCTTTTACATTGACCCAGCTTATAATGACGATGCTCGATTAGATACAGTAACCGATATTATATTGTCTTACACCTTTTTCATTGCCAAGGAAGGAATTAAATTACCACTACTCGGACAATTGAATCCACTACCAAGCTGAAATTTATGACTAATTTATTACAAAGAGACAACGAAAATTGAATCGTCGCTTTTGTGATTTTATTTTCCTTTCACTTTCAATCCATCAACAAGTGTCAATATTGATCAATTTGTGGCTATAAGATCGGATCTTAACCACCATAAGGGCTCTAATCTAACATGCAACACCATCGATCCTTAAATTGTCAACAATTTATCAACAATTTAGCCACCAATTCAGCCTTAAAACTCAATCAAACTGTAAAATTGAAACTGTGCATATAATTTAGGATTACTTAGATAAAATGGATTATTTAATATTATCTGTCAAGTGAATGTTTAAAATTATAAATATGTATACTAAATTTCAATTAAATGTCTAAAAATTTAGATTATAAATCAAAAATTTTGATTCAAAATTAAAAAATTGTTTTATAAATCATCTTCTAGATGTCGTTTATTAGAACTTGTAATTTAAACTGGTCATTTGCGCTCAAAAGTGTTCATTTTAAACGCGACACTTGTTGATTGTCACCACGTTTTTGATTGTTGATTCTCATTTTGTTTCCAAATAATTTCTTCCAACATCATGGTGGAGTATCTGAATATCGAGCATCAGAAGGTAAAACGGTCGAGGTTCCATATCGAGATGATGTTGGCCAAACAATATTGGACATTCAATAAAAGTAACCCAAAAAATAACGAAATTTTTCACCGAATTGAAGTTGACAATTAAACTTGGGTATTTGTAATTAATATAAGAATATTTATTAAATGAAATTTAATAAAGATGAGAATGATAATCTTTTAGATTAGAACTCTGGGAAGAATTAAAATAAGGAATTAGAGAAGATAAATCATGAGAAAAACAGAGCAAAAGATACTCACCATTCGGTACTTTCAGAATTGGAAATTCAGACTCTAAACTTTTCATTTTCTGCTCAAAAAAAGTTTCGATTTTTTTCTCGAATTCAGATTCCAACTTTTTCATCGAGGTTTCAATGTGCTTACAGAAATGAACATACTCTTTACGTAGTCGAATCACTATTTCCTCTAATTGCTGATCGATTGTTCCGGATAATGAATCGACGATTTCAGTGGGAAAACTCGCGATAATTTTTTTATTGAGTTCAGATTCGGACGAACTCATGAGACTTCTGACCTGTTTCCGGAAAACAAACAGCTCTTTTCCTAGTGTTTCCGCGAACTCGTCCCTTTGTTCATCGATTATCTCATCATGTTCATCTGGTGACGTAGTAACTTGAAGACGAAAAACCAAAATGCATTTAAAAATTATGATTCTTTTCATTATTCGGGATTGTAACTTTTCAATTGAAGTCGCAATTAGTTCAAGAGGATTGGCAAATGGATTAGATGATTGGTCACTTGTTTCTTTCGGACCATCGCCGAGTTTAGCTGACGAACTCATGTTAGCACTGAAAAGTAAAGAACAATCGTAGAAAACTAATTACGAGTAAAACACAGAAAAGAAAATGCAACTTGATGAAGAGAAATCAATCAACTTGATTGGTGAAAGTTTAGAAATGAAATGAACTCGAATCCGTTAAACGTGAGAAGATAAAAAGACAGAGAAATAGACAGTCGGCGAATTGCTTTCAACTATTAATTAACGGATTCAATTTTAAAAATGACGGTTAATCGTTTTAATTAGCTCACAGTTTTCAATAAACTTAATCCTCTTTCCAATTACTAATTTGTCAACAATAAGTTTATATGAAAACAGCTAATGCATTTTCAGACTCCAAGGCTCATTAGATTAATTAACTAATTGTGAAAAAGTTAGTCAGACTAACTAATCGTTAAATAAAATCATTTTACTAAAATGTTTGCAGTTAAGAGAGTGAGAAATCAGCTAGTTTATTGGAAGTGTAAATTGCAACTTGTATTTCAAAATTAAATTAAATTTAAATTGCAATTGACACATTCGTAACTAGAGTATTAACAATAATTTTCAATAAAATAAGATTCTTGCTTAATTGGATAGCAAAAGCTAATACAAGATAATTTGTATGGATCACAATTAGTTAGATGAGCAAATTAATTAATTGATTTGTTTTTCGTTTCTGCTTTTAAACCAATGGACCTGTTGCCGAAAGACCATAAGATTTGACTCGACTGAACCAAAATGGAGGGAATTTGGTTAAATTTAAATCAAATGTACTAATTGATTCTTCGAGATAATTTTTCCTCGATATAACAGTGTAACTTGACCAGACCAATTGATTGTTTCGACCTTTTCGAGCATTTCGAATGTCTAATAATAAATGATATTCCTTTTCCATGGTAATCAATCGATTCTTATGTCCACGTTTACCATGAGTCACTCTTTCCGTCCAACTTGTTTTAGCCTTAAGAATAGCGCTGACCTGTGATCCTTGAATAAGATAATGACCTTTAACGATCCCGTTGTGATTAGAATTGATTGTTTTCAGCTTGGCCAGTGTTTGGTAAGGATCGTCGGGAGTGTTTAACATCATAATTGTACCTTTCAATGAGAATCATCAGAATTAGTTAATCACCAGGACAAATTTTGCCGAATTTGAGGAAAAAGTTTCTTACCTCCGGGAAAAAATCTCAGGTATCGATAGTATTCAACTAAGTAACAAGGGCGATAATTAGTATCTTGAAATGAGGCTTCGCCTTGTCGCACATAAGAGGCTTTACTTATGTAGGCACCGTTAACGTTAACTCGAGGTCGCTCGATGAAAAGTGACCTCCAGTCATTATTGTAATCGATTAAAATTTTTTCTTCCAGTATTTTTGTTGACCACATCAAAGTGCAAGCTGATCGCCATATTTGTGGTTCTCGAGAGAGCACATAGAAACCTCGACAAACTTGACCAAAGTTTTCCAACGATCTCATGTCAAGTTCATCAGATACAATCCAACGAAGGATATAAAGGACAACTTCATATGGAAGATGAGAAAAATGAATTGAACGTGTCATCAATTGACTCGCAGGTTTACAGATGAAAAAACTTCCATTCTCATCAATATTGAGAGAATTAAATTTTACTATTAAATTGTCTTCTTCATCTTCATCTAAATTTGTCTCTTCGTCTTCGTCATCATTTTCTTCTCCCAATCTATCATCACTTGCGACAGAATTTGATCGTCCAGCTTTGCGCATTTTTCGCTCATCTCGTTTCGCCTTTTCTCTGGAATAAACTCTCGATTCAATGTCGGGTACAAGTTGAGTTGCTCTTCGATAATAGGCCACTGCATCGTAAAGTTTTCCACTCGATTCCAGGCTACTTCCTTTTCGAAATAGTTCCATAGCTTCAAGTTCCATCTCGTGAGTATATTTATTATCGCAATTTGTCCCATCTTCTGAATTATTGATGATTGATGATGATTTTTCTCGAAGGTCACTTTCCTTCTCAGGTGAATTGACTTTACTTTTAATTTCTTTCTTCCAATTTTCTCGGAATTTCTCCAATCGAGCTTCAATACTTGTCCCTGATTCCGATTTACTACTCGATGAAATATCCTCTTCATCCTCTGAATCCAAACCAATAGGTTGAATTGTCTTTGAATCCTTTTGATCATTGTGATTTTCACTTCTCTCTTCAGATTCCATGACGACAATTTAATCACCTGGTTAAGATAAGTATTTACAACTGAGGAAATTTATCAAAAACCGTTTCACTATTCACGGTCAGAATTATATTTGATTACAGTCCAATGTATTGAAACGATAAATCCGAAAGTGGTCATTTTAAAATAGTAAAATCCAATAGAAGGGTGAAACGAAAAAGGAAACAATTTAGTTCATCATCGACAATAAGAATCAACAATCGGATTTAAGTGAATTTAAAAACCAAAACATTGTTATGTCAACAATCAACTGCTAGTGACTCCAAACGATTCATCTCATAGCGCAATTTACAAAACCTGTTGATTAGCAATCTTAATTAGTCCATACAAATGTAAATTATTGACAATCAAATGAACGAAATAAACGAAATCAAAATCAAGCAATTAAAAAGATTTGCACAATCAACTAATTAATGAACATTAAAACAACATCAACATAAAAATTGATCCAATTGATTGAATTGATTTAAATCGTTGTCTTGATAATCACCTTAGAATTTAACCTTTTTCTCAGCAATTAATGAACACCAGTAATGAATACATAATTTTTCAAAACAATAATTTAATTCCTAGAATTAAATTGTAAGTTAATTTTGATCCATCTTTTCCTAAAGTGAACACAAAACAAACCAAATCCACACAATCACTTGTATTCAAACAAACATGTAAAGGATACAACTGTAATCATATTTAGATGACAATCCATGATTGATTTAGGAACACACAACCACCAAGTAAATGATTATTAAAACGAAACATCCAATCAATTGAGTTGATTAAACATTGAATCATAATTCTGATCCGATGAAAGAAAAAAATTTTTCCCATACAATTGAAATTGAAACACTAACATACAAATAGAAAGCGATGTTTAATTGTCATTAACAAATGATATCATTAGAGATAAAATGCTAATTGGTTAGAGAGAGAGAGAGAGAGAGAGAGAGAGACAATTAGTCAATCAGTTGCATGACAATTAAAGAAATTAAGTTGATTAAAAGGAGAAAAACAACAGATCGGACAGTCCGATTCGGACTATTGAACGAATTGTGATCAACACAATTACTTTTTGTTTTGTTTTCTTTTTGAAAAAGGAAAAAGCGCCAAATATCAATCCTTTTTCTCTTTTCATAATTGTCACTTTCTAAATCTAATTAATCATGATAATCTTATTCTCACACGAGTTTCAATAATCTATTACAACTTTTTTTGAGCCTTCGAATGAACCTGAAAAGTAAAATTGTGATATTCTTCATTTAATTGATAATCAATCGATTTCATATTCTGCAAATTAAAATTACAAACCACCGATTGTTGTGTATCTTTAAAGTGATTAGCAAATTAGATTCTTGTTTTGATTTAATTTGATTAGAAATAATTGTTTCATAGTAACTTTGCATTCGTTTTAATTGGGCGTCCCCACGATCTCTCCCTACTTTCGATTGAGTATATTAATCATTAATTGATAGTTTACATAATTGCGATTTGCTAATTGAAATTAATTTACCTTCTCAAGGTTAATTACATGCATATTTATATATTTGAATTGCACAAGAGACACAATTAGTCCATGAAATCAATCATTCATCAAGATCAATGTTTATGTTTGATTAAATGAGGAGTGGTCAATAAAAAGATTACAGTCAAATTCACGATAATTAGAGACAATTAAGATTCGGGGACTCCCTATGATTCCATTAATTAAATTGTTATTTAAAAAGATCTTTGGTTAGGTTAACAAATTAATACAGAGTTTGATAAGAGCTCAAGTAAAGAGATATTTAAATGCTCGAGAGGGACGATGATATTTGGAATTAAGAATTGGGTCATCATAAGGCCTCAGAAAAATTCATATTCAAGACGGGAATTGATTGAGAAAAGTTCACCTTGATTATAACGATGCTCGTGCATGGGAGATGAATAATTTAACATAGTTAATGATTGAATCATCTCTTTCCCACCACAATATACTCTTGATTTTACGATTAAGGTGTAACTCATGTTCATTTAAAAAGTGATCCTCAATCAGATCTCATCACTTGATTGTCAGTCGTCAATCTATCAATCATCCTGGAGTAATAATCTTTTAATTTGTTTATTGTGCTGATCACAATCATCAGATTTAATCTAAATTATTTATCATCTTACTAACTGTCAACTGTTATCATGATTAAAGTTTTACTATTTGTGGTTTATTGTTTGATTTGTATTCCGTTTGTCCATTCAATACACGAATTTCATGTGACAAAAAACAGTGAGTGAAAATCACGATCTGATCAATTAGTCTTCTCATGAATCTTTTATCTAATATTAAGATTTCACTAATTTCAAATATGGAACAAGATGAATAACTATGAAACTCTAGATGAAAAGTGTCAAATTGTCGGATATCATTGTTATAACCTGGAAGCATTTGATAACGGTAGATGCTTGGATTGTGGGGACGATGGTTCAAAATGTACTCTTCCAATAGCGACGAAAATCGTTACGAAATTTGGTCGATTTACCGGTGAACACAAAACGAGATATTTTACACGTGGATTGATGGGAAACTATTATTACAAGATCAGTAACAAACCTCCTCATTGTCGTAAGTCCAAGTATTCTGGTTAATTAATAACAAATACCATGAATATATTATCGTTGATACATTTTTCACTATTCGTAATCTTGTACCTTACAGTTTATAGTTATGGAATTGAGCTTCACTTAGATCCTCAATCTGATTCAGCCTTTGGACTATTCACTCTTGACATCGAAGGTTCCAAAGGAAAAGTCAATGGCATTAAACTATCAAAAAACTATTCACCCTACAGACCTGGAGAGAAATATTTTTACCTTTTCAGTACTGAACAAAGTCTAGGACCCATTTCAAGAGTATCGATTTCGTGCTCATTTAAGAGAGTGGATTATCCCGACCAAATCATTCGGAATCCTACATTGACAATTCATCATCTTAAGCTCAAGTATTTGAGTAACATTGATCAAAGGTATTAATCATTGTATTCATTATTCATTCACTATAAATCTTGACACATTTGATTATTTTACTAATTTTGGAATCATTTTTACAATAGAATACGTGAAAACGAGTCCAGATATTTGTGTCCCAAATTTTTTTCAAGAATCATTTCCAATAATAGTCGATCGAGCCTAATTAACTGCCAATGAACTCGAATACTGCCAAATGATATTGACTTAATTCAATGAATCTCCTCCATTAAGGGTCCGGATACATAATAATCGCCAACAAAAACAATTTAATATCAATAATCAGTTAAAATGAAATGAAGAAATTGATTCAGAAACAAATCATGAATGGAAATCCCTCTGAAGTAAATAAAAAGGTCCAAACAATTAACTAATGAATGAACATTGGAGCAAAATTGTTGTTACTCTTGATTTCTTTTTGAAAAAGGAAAAAGTGACAAAAATCTTGATTCTTTTTTCTCTTTTCACAATTATCACTTTTTCTAAATCTAATTAATCATGATAATCTTATTCTCGATCTGAAATTGCCCAATGATTAAACAATTAAGTTACTAAAATGATTTCCAACTTCACTAGTTACAAATTATTACGATTTATTAACTAACATGATTGAAACTTGCGAACATTAAAAAGTGACTATTAACTAACAAATCTAGAGTGATTAAAATGTGATCATATTATCTAACAATCAACTAATCATGATAATAATAAACTAATAAATAGATAAACAGTTAATTGTAATAACAATTAATCTTTATTATACATATCAGAACTGAAGGACTTCGTATAAAAAGTTTCAAGGTCATTAAGGCCATTTCACGATAAACCCATCTAGAGGTCATTCGAAGGTTGTTCGCGTTGAAGGTCATTTGAAAAGAAAAATTTATCGAATTTCAAAGCTCTTTCAAAGTAGGCGCTTCTTTTTTTTCTTTAAATTCCAAATTTAAAAAGAAAGAGAAATTTGGGTCCGCCCATTTTTCGGTGACGTTCAACTTTTGATTCTTTTTGTTTGATCTTCGTTAATTTAAACATCTTTAACAATTAATTACCCTAATCAAGTTTTGTCCTTAAATTATTCTTAATGTTTCAATTGATTTACTTATCGTTAATCCTGTTAACTAATCATCATCATTTTTTTTATAAATCAATTTAATTTCAAGTGATGAAAAAGAAGAGAGGAAAAAAATTGAAGCTTTTGTTTCATTTACTTGATTGTTACTTTCAATATGAAATTATGATGTGTTACATGATTAAATAATTTCTCGCTAATCATCTAACTATATTACTCTTCTTCTTAAATTTATGACATTATCTCCAATTACTCTTTACTCTCTCTCTCTCTCTCTCTCTCAGTCTCTCCTTCCTCTTTCACTCATGAGAAGATGATGGTGGTGATTCAATGAGATTGTTCAATCTCTTTCTGATTTATTCCTAAAGTGCCAAGTTAAATTCTAGACTTTGATGTCTCTTGATTTCTGTGTTTATTTTAAGTGCCGTTCATTGTTACACTTAGTTGTTCACTCACAATTATTTCTGTTTAAACACAATTTCTATTTACCTTGTTGTCCTTTTATCTACCTGTTTACTTTCAATTCTTTCCAATCAAATCAGATCAAATCAAAAACCTTTTTTCCCTTTGATGAGCTTACCTTGTTTTCTTCAAACATTGATTGTTACACAAGAAAAGTAAAACGATATGGATGTAAAATTACAAAAGTTAAAAACTTATGGAACTCAGAGAGAGGTAAGTAACCTTTGAATCTAATCAGTTTTCATTGATTTGGCTAAATTGTTTCTATTAATAACTGGATATTGTCTTTTATCCCATTCTGTTCTATGTCAAGTTGGTGATATTAATTGTTGATTATTTTCTTTGTTACAGGATAAATCTGATCTACGAAAATCAACCAATAGTGTTTCTAGCACCAAAGGGTTTGCTTTTGGCTCTGATGATGTCAAATCAATTAGTCGAGGTATGTCAGTGTTGACAACAGTTTTGTTTGTTGCTGGTGAAAACGCTGGCGCCGGTCTATTAGCACTACCCCATACACTTAACAAGACAGGGTGGATTGGTGTTCCATTGATGATATTAATGTGCTTCGATGCAGCGATTGCTGGTTCTTTGATTGGAAAATGTTGGCTCATTTTAGAGGAACGTTGGCCTGAATATCAGTCCAATTGTCGGAATCCATATCCAGCGATTGCAAATATGGCTTATGGATCGAAGATGAAGTAAACTATCATTGATTATCTAGTTAGAATACAATTGTTTCAAATTAGTTTCGTACATATTTTATTGTTCAATGATAAGAGTAATTCATTTTAATGTTTCTTCTTTATTGCATTTTTTTTTAAATTTATATTATAGATCAATCGTCACTGTGTTCATACAGTGTAGCTCAGTTGGCTCATGTTGTGTCCTTCTTATGGTTTGTGCACAACTAACGCAAAGTTTAATCGATCCAAATCATAATCTTTCTTATGGACTTTGGATACTTATAATTGGTGCAGCAATTTGCCCGCTCATGTGGTTAGGAACCCCAGCTGAATTTTGGCCTGCCGCTGCCATTGCACTATCTACATCAACGGTAGCTGTTGTATTGTTACTTATTGAGATTTTTAAAGATTTTGTTAAAATGGATTCATTACCTGAGCCATCACCTGTTGATATATCAACAATTTCACTTGCTTTTGGCTCATTTGTGTTTGCATTTGGAGGGACAGGTCCATTTCCGACTTTTCAAAATGACATGAAAGAGAAAAACAAATTCACCAAAGCCGTAACAATCGGATTTATTAGTAAGTTAATCAAATTGGATACACCAGCACAATAAATTCACAATTTTCCTACTGATTTTCTTTTATTACAGTTTTAATCATTTTATTTTCACCATTGGCAATCATGGGCTATCTTACTTACGGCTCAAATGTCAGTACAAATATAATCAATTCCATCCCCAGTGGACTGAATCACACAATCGTCTCTATTTTGATGACTGGCCATTTATTTTTCGCATCTTTATTGATGATCAATCCAGCGCTTCAGCAAATTGAAAATAAACTTGACATCCCACATTGTGAGTATTTATGAATACAGAGATGGCTGATTGAGCGATACATTCATTTCTTCCCGATCAAAATCAATATTATCTAGTTAATCAAAATTTATCTCGAGAAAAAAAAACCACTTTGAAATTTATCACAATTTTAAGTACAACCTGTTGCTCATTTATCTAATTTATTTGTACAGCTTTCAATTGGAAACGAGTTGCTATCCGAGTATCGATGCTGTGTATTATATTATTCGTTGGTTTATCGATCCCCCATTTTGGAAAAGTACTTGATCTTGTCGGCGGATCAACGGCCACCTGTTTGGCCTACGTTTTCCCGCCTTTGTTTTATATAAAATTATGTTCGATGAAAAATTCATCATGGCCCGTCAGGTACATTGTTTAATAATCTGATTATTGCTAATTATTTGATAATCGACCTAAACAATAAAACTAATTCCTTTCCTTTTGTTTTTGCTCTTCTAGACGGATACCATTAATCAATAGATTGTATTATTATAAAATTATATTATTGGGAATCATTGGTGGCATTTGCGCTACCATTTCATCAGTAATCGCAATTTTAAGTCCAAACACTTTCGTGTTACCTTGTTACATTGATTTTAATTGCTCATACGAGTGAATTGATTTTAATCTAAATACCTGATTAGACGGTAAAATCAACAAAAAAGTGTGCAATCAATTAACTTTATGCTTTTTTTTTCATCAATTGTGATTTTTTAATTTCAACATTTCATCAACCATCTTTTATGTGCAAATCTTAAACTGAATTGAAAAGAAATTAAATTACTTCATTCAGTTGTAAATGTAATAACAACACTAATCACAGACTAGAAACAATTCTAATTGTTGAATTATCTGAATGATTTAAGCTAAATACACTAACGGTTTGTCATCAAAACCTTTAATATAATTTAATTGTAACAACATATGTTAAACAGCAACATTTAAAAGTGAATCGTAATCATAATTGAGGCAGAAAAAATTTGAAACAAAGGAAAACACAATTAAATCAACAATCAACAAATTAATCAAAGAGTATATAACAAAAGAGAGGATTTAAATTGTAATTATAAATAGTTGTTTTTTTTCACTTTCCTTTTTGATTAACTTTCACTAATCAAATGAAAATCCAGATTGTTTTGAACGTGTTTAACGACTGATTGACCAATGGTCAATTTAGATGATTGATATTTGATGGAAGTAATTTTTTTCTCAATGATCGATGATTAAGTAAATTGCCAGATAAAAACAGCAACAATTTACTAATTGTTGATGAATCTGTTCTGAAGGATTTCCCATGAACGAGCTTCGTCCATTAATTTCTGAGTCAATCGTAAATAATTTAACCAATCACCAGTGGTCAAGGATTCGTCCGTCGATAATGATGTAGATGATTCATCCAAGTTAATTGTCGAAGGTAAATTTGGATAATTAGGAATTGAAACTGACCTTTTCTTACCACATCCAGTGAATGCATTACAAAATGGCCTCTTCGCCATCGAGTGACCAGAGAGACTGTTAATTAATTGTTGTTGTTGTTGTGCTTGACCAACATCACGTTTAACCAAATTACCAGAGGTAAATGTTGATCCAATCAGGAAGAAGGTGATTACTAGAGTAATCAATTTGTTCATCATTCCAGTCATTGTATTGTAAATTGTTTAATCAGAATCTATAATTAATCAATGAAAATGTATTAATAGTTAATTACCAGAAGGAGATACTGGACAATTAGAGGACACACCTTGAAGGTAAATCATGATAATCATCTGGGAGGGAAACCTTAATGTCAACAATTTACTAATTATTTACAATTCTCATTATTATTATTAACCAAAAAGGTTAATTGTTTGACAATTTAACTTAATTGTTCACAAACAATAACCTTAGGCGTTTGTCCTTTCTTGATGTTTATCAAAAGTTATTAGATACAAAATATAATCAGACAAACTAATCATGATTAAGGTTAATTTTAAATCCTTTCATTATTTACTAATTTAATTTAATTGATTTGTTTCTTGTCATCTTGATCCACAATCTAATCATGATTGTAATTTAATATCAAATTACTAATGATGAGTTAATAATTTTACCATGATAACATTAATTGTTAACAACAGTTAACTTAATCAATTGGTTTACTCTAATTGTTGATCATTATGAACAAAATAATAATAGATTACAACTTATAAGTATCACAATTAATATCAATTGGATTGTTGATAATCAAATTAATTGATAGAGTTGTTTAATCAGTCAACAATTGATAAATCATATTGAAACAATCAAATTACAATCAAAACTTTTAAATAGTCACAATCAATTAAGGAAAAAGTAAAAAAAAAAGTTCAATCATAATTTTGATAATTCAAATTGAATTAATATCAAGATAAATCAATTTATTTGATTAGATGACAATCAACATAATGGCAAATCATCAAGTTGATATTTATTGATACTGATTCACAATCAGGATTGATATTTATTTGAATCAATCAATTTGATATTCAATTGATGATGAAAAGTAATCAACAACAATCAAATAAAAATGGAAACATCAATGATAAAAGTTAATTAGAAATCATGTTTTAACCTCTAATCAATTGATTGTTCACTTTGCTAAATCATTAACTCCGATATTTAACTAAATCCCTTTGATAATTAGACACTTTCAATCTTATAGGTTAGTTAATTGTTACCTGGCTGGAAAGTATCAAAAGAGTAACAATTTAAATCACAACCTTAACAATTATCATCTGATTTATGTTTAATTGAGTGATAAACAACAATCAGTGAATAGGAAACTAAGAAGCAATCAAATTATTAATATCAAACTGTTTGACTTTCAGACAACAATCAACTGATAATCAACTAATCAAGTTGTTCATAATTGTTGTGACAATTATCAAAATTACAACAATCAACTAAAAAAGGTCAACATATTAATACATAAGTTGAATGTGAAACCTTTTAATTGTTAGAGTTGATCAACAATCAATTATTATCATACAATAGGAATCAAGTTTGTTCATGAGTTGATGATTTATTTAATCAACATGATCAAAAAGTTATAGGGTTAAACTATCAAATTGTTGATTGTGATAATCAAGATTAATAATGATAATCAAAATATGGAGATGATTTAATTTAAATACCGACGGTAACTAAATTAACTAAATTTGTAAATAAATTTATCGTGACAATGTTATTTTTAAATCCAGTCTGAGTCTTTGTAAATTGTTTAAAATTAAATTACAATCATAAATCAGTTTAAATTTTCTGGGTTAAATTGTTTAATCCAAAGTTATTCTGATCATGATAATAACAATTAACTAATTTACATATTTGTCTCATTTTCAAATGTTGATAAAATTTATCAACGATAATTTAATTTAATGATCAACAGTTAATATAATAAATTATCAACTAATCATAATCAGACTAATCTACTAATTTAACTAATTTAGTCGTAATTGTTTATCTTTACCTAGAAATTGATTCAACTAATTGTTGCAAATGAACCAAGAGTAGACTTAATTTCATTACAATACAATCATTACACTTTTCTCAATGTAAGTAAATTTAATTGTATTAATTATCAATCTAAACAATTGTAGATGATTAACAAAAAGCAAACAATTAGCAAGCAATCAATTGATTTACTTACGTGATTGATTAAATCCTTTGGTGTGGAGGAAACAAAAGTTTGATTCAATTGTTGCGATCAACTTTTCAATCCCAGTTTGATAAACAACAATTTAAGAATTGTAAAGTTAATTAGTTGGACAAATTGGAAAAATATTGTTGGTAATCAATTGATTTGGATGGTCAACAATTAATAAGAATTTGATTAAATTGAATTGGCGATTATCTTATTTTAAGAGTTGCAGATGAAATTGAGACGCTTTTTATACACTGATGGCGATTTGTGAGTGAGGCTGAAGACAGAAGTGGGAGGAAGATAAAGATGATGAGGATGATAAAGAGGAAGAGAAATATGAAGGTGACAATAATTGTCTTTCTTTTACTCTTTCTATTTTTCCTCGGAAGTTTGCTTGATTATCATGATAACTTAAATTCTGAGTTGAAACATGATTCTGATTCTTATTCTGAGGCATGACAAGTAAATGCACTTGAATCTATTGCTGATCAGTTATTAGATGAATAATATTTTGCTTATCTAGTTGATTAACATTCAATTGCTTTTAATTGTATTATAATGTAAATGGTTTAGCTTCCGATGTTAAATTGTTCAATATCTTAATAACAATCAGATGAAACGGAATCAACAATAATCAGAGACACAACAAAAAAATTCAATTTCCTGGAAAAGTTTTACTCTCCAATTTGATTATAAATGATGATTATCAACAAAATAATTAATAAATTAACAAATGTTTGAGTTTTAATCATAGACAATTGTTTGACGATTATTATTATTATCAAATTGTAAACAGTAAATTACGAAATATGTTGATTGTTAACAATTACTTTCAAATCGTATCAATCAACTAATTGCTAAGTCTTCATCTGGATTCAGGTTGAAATGATAAAACATGAAAAATAATGGCAACAATTTGATGAAATGTTAAAAGTCAATTTGATTGACCAAATGAAGTGAAAATTAATGATTAAAATGATTCTAATTAAATTGATTATCATGAGATTAGTGGGGTAAATTGTTGCTCGAATCGGGAATCTGTTCCTGATTCCCTGTTGATTGTTAAGAATCAGAATCAGAAATTCTGAGAGATGAATTAAGTTGAAAGAAAAAGAAAAAAAAATGATTAACTTTTCTTGTTAATTCTTAATTTCTAAACAATCGAACAGCATTTAATTTCAATTCCTTGGGAAGTCTCAGCATTTTAATCATCATGAATAAGGAAGCAAATTGAGATTCCAATTGTTTTCATTGGTAATTCACTTCAATTGAGAATCAAAGTTAATTACTAACAATCAACAGGTTTGTTTTCTGCTCAATGACAACAATGGGAGAGAGGAAATAAAAGTTGATAAAGTCAATAATCTTAAACATGATTAAGATTCATTTCTCTGTTTTGATTTATATAACAATAGGTTAATGACTGATTGTTATTATTAGAATTGAAATTATAAAGATAATTATTGGTAAACAATTAACAAATCCAAACAGAAATTGGGTCATAATAATCCATTAAAATCCATCGGATTTGAATTAAAAATAACAATGAAACGGTCAAGATTATCAACTGATATATTTTAATGGTGAAGTTCATGATATTTAAAATTGATTGCACGTTGTTGATTAACTAATTGTAATAGAAAGCTGATTGTTTAATGATAATTTAAGAATCATAAGTTATAATGTAATCGATCATTGAAAAAGTTACATTTTCGTCGTTAATAGATCAAGTTGATTCGTTGAATTTTGATTTTCAGGATCAGATTTTTTTTTCTCCGTGATAATAATAAATGAGAAATCAATTAACAAATGAGATTATTGTATAAATGATCAGGTAGTAATTAAGATTGATAATTGATGTATATTGACTGTCTTTATCCGCAATGTTTGTACTTAGAAATCAACTTATTTCTTATGAATCTTTTGTGTTAATTAAATAACAATTAGAATGAGAAATTGATGGAAACCATGATAATCGGCCTATTTAACTGTATTCATTTCTACGTATGTTCCTGTTTAATTGTAACAATTAAGTCCAAGGAGAAATGTAGAAGAAGAAGAAAAAAATAATATCACAATTAGATAAATGATAATAATCAAGGTTGACGAAAGTTAATTATGAAATGAATTGGGAATCGGTAACCACAGGTTGACACCAATCGTTGTTAATGTTGTTAATATTGATTGTAAAGTATTAATTGTTAGTTAATTGATAAATTTTCTAGACTGTTCCTCACTTTCAACTTCAAACGATTGTGCTGGCCAATGAAGACTAATACAAATTACATATATCCAAGAGCCGACGATTCCTCCGATATGAGGGGCAACCAATGGAAGCCAAAAGTAATTGTAACCACGTAAACTGTTAACAATTAGAGGGAACAATTAAATTTCCACCCTGTTAATTTAACAAGAAATGTTTTCCATTTACATCCAAAGACTTTGAGTTTACAACCACCTGTTAAATCATTCACGATAATCAAGTAAAGATACTTTTGATCAATCAATCAGTTGACCATTTTAAGAGACTACATCAGTTAAATGAGTGGACAATACTTATTATCATATCTCTGGGTCAATTGTATCTCTCATTGATTATATTCAAGTATTTAAAAAGTGGTTGTAAACTCGAAGTCTTTGGCTGTAAATCGATATAACTACTTACGAGAAAACTTCACCGCCATATCCAACCAGGGAGGAGAAAAGTCTTGGACCGAAATCTCGAGCTGGATTGATCGGAGCACCGCAATTGAATCCGAAGGCGAAAATCATCAAAGACAAATCAGCAATTCCAATCGCTATTGGAATTAGTCCTTTGGGACAGGCCATGTTTCGTTCATCGGTGATCGCTTGGATGATGAGGAGAAACAAAGAGACACAGATGACCTGTTTTCGAAAGAAAAAGCAAAACCATGTATTCATATTAGCAAGAGAAATAAACAATTAAATCGATAGATGAATATAGGAAATAGAAATAAATTGTTCCTCTTATTATTGAAACCTAACAATTAACTTTCTTGATGATGGTTAATCATAAACAGTAAGAAAAAGCTTAGGCGAGACTCAGTAAACAAGGGAAACCATTTTGATTGTTGGTTACATTGATTTTGATTCATTTTTTTTATGAGTTCATGATATAAATGATATTGTGATTACCTGGTCAAGGAAACAGGTGCCAATTGAAACGTCAGGCTGGGGGAAAGTGCCGAAGATACCTGCCGTTGCATTTGAGCCTTCGGTTTGTAAATCAATGCCAAAATTTGTGGTGATCGCTTCAATGTAGACAAAGTAAGTGACCATTGCACCAAAAAATGACCCAATATATTGAGCGGCAAAATAATGAGGTACTTTGAGCCAAGACAATTTACCAATTGCTGCCATTCCTAATGTTACTGCTGGATTAACATGTCCCCCTGATAGTTAATTTAGATAAACTGATTGAATCAAATGGAATCAATGAACATACAAATCAATTCAGAAACAACAATTACCTGATACACCACCAGAGACATAAATTGATGCTGTTAACGCGAGGCCCCATCCCCATGGTCCAGTTAATCCACTGACCGGTCCATGTTTAGAAACAGCTGATGCTGCATTAACACAACAGCCTAAAGTCTTAATTAAGATTAACAAATGAAATTAAAACACAATTAACATGGAAAAAACTTCAAAATAAATCCACATCTATTATATTAATATTTCTGATCAAAGTATAACAATTTACTCAATTTCCAGCAAAAGTTTCGCGATGTTGATGATGAAAAAAGTAAAAATCTAAATGTTAACCAACAATTAATTAATTAATCAATCAAATTCATTACTTATCTATGATATAATTAGTTAATCAACGGACTGACCAGTTAAGATTTGAAGTGTTTGCACTTTAGAACTGGAAAAATTGGAAAAGTTTGATTGGTGAAGAAAAAAATTCTAATTGTCAAAGTTAAATTTGGATTGAAAACTAATCGACAATTAAAGTTAATTATCAAGGTTGAAAAACAATTACAGAGGCAAAATTTGATTACATTTGTTGGCTAATCATTTGAAGACCAATGGAAAGTAATTGTAAACATATCGTCTCACAAGTAACAGTAATTAAATGAATCGCTCTTGATGGAAACTGAATTTGTTGATTGTAATCAAATGAATTAAATGACGATACTCACAGTTAATATAAAAGTTCCCAAAAATTCAGCTAAAAATTCACGAATGACTGAACTTTCAGTTCGTAGGTCAACCATTTTTAATCACTGGGCAAATGATCACAATTATAATGGTAACAATTAGCTAAATGTTCAACCACCAAATAAATTTCAACAAGTAAATGGTAGAAACTGTTAAATCGTAATCATCATCGTCATTAACAATTAACAACCAAGGGCTAATCAACAGAATCAGCAGAATCATTTGTTCACCATCATCATCAATTTAATCATCATGATCATCATTATCATCATGATAACAATTATAAAATGTGTAACAAACAATCAATAACAATCAACAATTACGGAAATGAGATTGCATTTGCAATAATATTAACTTCTAGAAATTAATATTAACAATCAATTGTAATTTAATAACTATTGAAATTTTCACCAGGAATAGTTAAATACAAACACTTATGAACAATTAATTAATTTAGACTTGCAAATATTGTTAATATTTGAAGTAATTGTTGTAAATCAATTGTAATTAAGATAAATAATTAGCGCATCGTGAACATGAATTAAATTTTTGACTACAACTAATTATCAAACATGTAAAGTCAGTCACAATTGAATTAAGGTTAATCTAATTGTTACCGTTATTTGTTTACCTTGATCACAAGTTTTGTTCATTTAACTAATGATAATTAATTATAATTGTAACCTTTTTTCAACCTGTAATTTGCTTTGTCATATTAATCATTAGCAATTGTTTGCTTAATCAAATTGTTCATGTTGATAATAAGTAACAACAATCAAATTATTTGATATTTACTACCAATCGTTAAATTGTTTGGTATGTGAGTGTGTAATTGAATCAATTCAGTTTAATTGTGATCACTGAATCAATTTGAAATTCCCAATTAGTGTCACAATTACTAAATCTTTATTTTTACGAGAAAATTGTGAAAAAATGTTAATCATTACAAATTAATCGTAATGGTTGATAAATATCATTGTTTAATTGTCAATCAAGATATTATTACAAAAGTTAATCAATTAATAGTATATAAAAGTACAAGAGGATTTACATAAATTATAAAGTTAATTGTTGGGGTACTTTGATTGTGGTCTAAAAAGTAGGCAATTTGAGTTAATTGTTGGTTGAGAGAGCAATTAAAATGAGTGGTGGGTTGATTAATGATTTAACAAAAGAGTAAATGTAATCAATGATCAAGATGATAATGATTAAGCAGAAAATTAGAATCAGAATCAAGAATTTTGATTGTTGTGAGATCGAAACAAAATTTTGGGGAAAAAAAGATCATTGATATTTGATTAAATTGTGAGATTATAATTAATTGTGATCAGGAAAAAATCAGTCAATCAAGGGGAAAATCAAATAAGGAAGTAAGTAATATGTCTAAATGATTAGGCAGTGATTTAAGAGTGATTAAAAACTGAATTAATCAAATGATCATCAAAACAATGATTAGTTATCCTCTGCACAATTAACAGTGTAAATTGTTTGGGTCACTTCCTTAAATTAAGTTAAATCATTTACAAACAACAAATACCATTGATTGTCATTTGTAAATGAAGTTAAATCAATTGTTTAAAGTTGATTTCAATCACAATTAAATTGCAAAGGTTACAAGAGGACAATTAGCAAATTGTTGTACAATCAGTGGACAGTATTAAGAGATATATAAATAGAGAGATATAAATATTAGAGGGAGAAAATTTTGAACAGTAGCCAAAAATTATTGTTGTTGTTTGATTAAGACGATTAAATGAATTGATTAATAATTAAGATGGAATAGTAAAAAAAACCTTTGAGAAAGTTTTAAATTAATCCAGTGATATAAATCCAATTGGAAATTGTTGCAATGAGATCTCCATTTGCTGCTGTTTGTTAATTGTGATTATTGCAAATATTATTATTCAATAATAAATCAAAAGTTTGGTTAATAAGATGATAAATAAATCATATGTAAAATATATACACAGTAAAGTGCATTATATTTATAAGTGCATATGAAAAAAAAATGAATGACTTTTAATGATGATGATGATAATCATCATTTGAGCAACAAAAAAAGTCATTGAGGTTTTGGTGGGTGAAGATGAGGAATCAAAAGGCTATCCAGATTTTTGTTAACAGGTCAAAGGTTACGTTTAATGTACATTGCAAATGCAACTGATCCCAAAATAGCACAAACAGTAACTGCAGTTCCTTGGACAAAATCTGAGATCACTTTGTTCTGGATAAAAAGATGGAGGAGAAAAAGAAAATATTAAAATATCAATTGTCAAGAGAGAAAAGAGAGAGAGAGATGTTGCAAAATGCATTTATAGAAATTTGCAATCAACTAACTTCGTACTTTTTTATGTGAACAATCAAGAAAATGAGAGTATTTTATTTGTAACAATGATCATGTCTGATAAATTTGCAAAATTTTGATCTGATTGTAAAGTGTTAATTGTTTGGATGATAAGGTTTATATATTTATGTATTTGTTTAACCACAACACAAGTTAAAGTGAAGTGTCAAAGTCCTGAATAGGGTTTCCCTGGACGGGGGAGAGCGGGAGAGGTCACAATAATAGAATATATTGTAAGAGTGAGTGTGTATATAGATGATGATAAAGTTATTGTAGAGGTTCTGGTTCCCAGGTAAGGTGTAAAAAAGATGTAAACAGGCCCTTAAATAGAGAGTGGGGATAGAGAATCATCTAGGTTCCAGAGTAGAAATTGCCTTAAGGCGAAACAGACTCAAGACTATTAGGTTTGTCTTTTCTTATTCATCTTCATCTTCATCTTTATCATCATCATCATCTCCTTCTTCTTCTTTAAATGCTACTTTTTTTCTAGCTGATTTTCATCTTCCATCATTAATCTTCCCTCTTTTCATCATCATCTCAAGTTTTCTTGTCTTCTCCCTACTCTTTTGATACAAATTGACTGATTGATAACATTATCATCATGAAATAATTATTTTCCTTTTTTTATCATCATCATCTTCATCTTCATCTCCACCATCATAATAATCCTCTTCTTCCTCCTCCTCCTTCCTCCTATTTATTGCAACTTTTTTTTCTGACCATTGAAATGAACTCTTTCCCCTGCTGCATGATTATTATTACATGTTGACTGTTTGGTGATCATTAAATGAAGCAATTAGTTTATTGCACTTACCCAACCTCCTTGACTTCGGACCCAGGAGCAGATATGATTAAAGATGAATTTGATTGTCCATCCAATGAGTTGATGAAAGTGGACAATTGGACTGGACGAGTATGCACGAAGGGCAATGTCCGAGCAGAAGTAGAAAAGTACAACAATACCTTCACGGGTTATGCGATTATCGGGAAATAGTTCACGAAGCATAGCACTGAATCTATCGTAAGAATCGATTCTTATGTTGACCTGAATGATTAATAAATGAGATGATGAGTCAGAAAAAAAAGGAATTACCATTAATAAGAATTAACTTTTAAGGTGAAAAATATGGGCAAATATATTAATTGCAATCATATTGCCAATAGAAGAGCAACAATTGATAAAATTGATCACAATTAACTTACACTTTGCGCTCGTCGACGGATAATATCCCGTTCTCTTGATGCCTCAAATTGAGCAGCGATTCGTCTTAAGTCTTGACCAACAGTGGCCATCATTTGTTCAGCATAGGCCTCGTATTGACTAATTAAAATGAACAAAGATTCAAATTGTTGTAAAATGCAAACATTAATGCAAAGTAGAAATCAATGGATAAGAAAAAGTTGTGAATGTTACAATTAACCGTTGAAAGATGATACAATTAATCAAAGGAAATTGCAAACATAAATTGTTTACAATTAAAACTAATTTCGATGTTAGTAAACAATTGCAATAAAGGTAATGATGATTGTTGAAAGTGTTAAAAATGGTTAACCTAAATTTGTCTAATGATATAAAAATTGCAACAATTTAATAATCAATTGGCTTGGTGAATGCAATATAGTCAAATCAATTGAAATGATCTGTGAATTTTACAATATTGCAATTAAAAGTTGCAAATGCAAAATAACAATTAGAAAATCATTAAAAATTCTCTGAAAATTAGATAATAGGAATAAGAATTGACTAGTGATAAATTTCATTCTTACTTGAGGATTTCAAGTGATGAATCCTGAGGAGGTTGAATACCTTCATTATTAAAGGTACTACGAAAGGCATCAGTTAAAAGCACCTGAGCTGTGGCGGTTGTTTCATCATAAGGTACGACGATTTCCTCAGGGGAAGATCCACCACGAGTGATGTATAATTGCTGTTGACCTGAGTCACATTTTTCGATTCGAATTCCAATGGCCATGATGATGGAAGAATCATGAAAAAAAGTTCACAAAACTTGGAAACAAATAATTCACAGAGGCACAGAAAAAAAGAGATGATGAAGAGACAAAAAGAAAAACGAAAACAGAAAATGCAAAATGCAAATGGCGGAAAAGAAAAAAACGAACCAAGGAAGTGTCACAATCGCTCGTCAACGTAGAAAACAAAATGACAGTTAATTAAGAGATGGTGGTAATCATAACAATCAAGGTAATAAGAATAAAAAAAGAAGACAAAGAAAAAGTAAGAAGATGAGTAAGATGAAAAAAAGACAGGGTTGAAAAAGAGGAAAAGAGAAATGAAAGAGATGAGTGAGTGAGAGAGAGAGAGAGAGAAGATAAAGAGTAAGAGTAAGAAAGGGAGAATTGATAACAACAGAAAGAGTGGGAGATGTAAACACTGGACAAAGCTGAGTCAAAATGAGAAGAAGACAGAGAAAAAAGTAAGAGAAGATAACCTTGGAGAGAGAAAGAAAAAAAGAGAGTAAGAAGATAATCTCTCTTTTTCTTCTTCTCCCTTAATAATTTTGTTCCACAACAAAACTGGTTTAACTCTCTTTTCCTTAATTGTAATAGTTTATTTTGATTACCTGTTGCTGGAAATTAACTGTAAATTGAATCACATAGGATAATGTTCACTAATTGTGATAATTAAAAATAGAGAAAAAGAGAAATGTTGATTAACATAAAGTCGATGAAGATCATAAGAGTCACAAGATCTTTTTCTAAATGTAAACAAATAGAAAAGCAACAGTAGCGACTCGAAGAAACAAAAGGAGAGAATAGAAAATAAAGAAAAGAGAATAGAATTTTTTTTTATTCGATTTAATTTTTTCTTCTTCCATAATCAACTGATCCATTTGATAACAAGATGATTAATTAGGATTTTCAATATTCTCACTATATGTTAATTGTTTTATCTTCAATCATGTGAGATTTATGAGCTAATAGTTTGATCTTTTTTTTTGTTCTTTTCTTCTTCTAAGTTGGTTGATTAGCCTTTCTAATCATGTTTATAGTCACAATTATGATTATTATCCAGATTGTTCTGGACCCTATTTTCATTAATCATTGACACATGATTGTTAATCATCTGATTGTCACTTGATTGTCAAAGTAAATTGTTCACTTTTGTGCATTATTGTTTACACTTCTATAAGATGTAAAGTTATCTTATGTGAGAAAAAGGATAATCTATATTGATGGGATTAGATTGTTGAAACATTGTTGAAATCATAATCTATATGATTGTTATAAACATTTCCCAAAATTTTAACATCCAATCTAATTAAAATTAAGTGTAAAATTAAATTAATTGCAATTGGCAGTGAAGGGGAAAGTTGATAAAAGTTGTCGCCTTGTAACATGGAAAATGAATCTGTAACCTCTTCACTCCTTTCCAACGGTTGGTTTATAAAGGGACAATTACTAAATTGTTACAATTAGAGAATAATAAATTCAATTGCAACAATCGATTGAAACAAAACAATAAGATCACAAGAAAAAAAATAAACAGAAAACCAAAAAATCTCAAGCAAATGGAATCATTTCAAAGTGTGAAAAAGTGACCGTTCATCCCAAGAATTAGTTCAATTAGATTAATTGATAATTCCAATTGATAATCAATTTGATAATCAATTGATTAAAGATAAATGTGATTAAAAATTTGTCACATTTCAATGAAATGATTTCATCAGAAATCTGTTTGTATCCTTGGTAACCAGTCGATCGACTGTTGAAAAGACGAAACAACCAATAGAATTGAAGAGAAGTTGAATTTGAATTTTCGGTTTGGTTAGTCGTTCTTGTCTCTTTGTATTTCACTTTTTAGTCTCGGACACTTTAGGTTGGTTTTAACTCTGTGATTTTTATTTCTATTTAGTTAATTTACTTCATTTTATCTAATTATCTTAATCTTTTTATCTTCGATTCATCTAATCAGCATGTCCAATACTAGTTTCTTTTGGGAGTTTGCTTGTCCAAAATATGTTGATTTCACTGATTCAAAAGTATTGGAATTGAATGGTGACGAGGTTGATTCTTATTTTGGTAAGTTCTTTTTCAATTTATTATTACTTTTTTTAATTGTTCTTTTTTTTAATCTCAATTATGAGTAGAAGATTCTTTTGCTATGTTTCTGTTGATCATTCATTTGTTACATGTAATTCAATTATGTTACATGCTTTTGGTTTTTTTGTTAACCGTCGTTGATATTAACACGTTTCTATTTTCGTTTATTTTTCCATTTTTGAATTTATGTTTATTTTATGGTTAAAATTGTCAATTGAATTGTTAATTTGGATAGTATAGATTTTTGATTTGATTTGTATTTCTATTTAAGTGTCTCTGATTTATGATATTCTAATCTTCACTTGAATCGTTTGTCAACCATTTTCTCTTTGTCTTCAATTTTTTCTTTCTCATCAACCGTTTTTTTTTCTCTCTGTTCGATTTATTTTTTTTTTAATATTAGATTTGGAACACGAATTTAGCTTTCAATCTAATTTAGGTGAAGGGCTGAAAGTTGAATCTTTACTAGCTGAAGTTGATAAAATGGCCTCTCCTGTTGTCTCGCCCGTTCGACCAGCGAGCTCATCATCCAACTATCGGACCCCAGATGGTAGTAGAAGTGATCTTGAGTCTGATGATGTTTTCTATACGACAAGAAAATCTTATTCTCTACGAGAAACTGAGTGTAGAAGGTTAACTCAAATTGGTGCTTCACCCTACAGAATCCCTGGAGGGACTACTACCAATAAAAAGAAGTCACGAAGAACACCTCTTCAGCCAAGACTCATTGAAGAAAATGCTAAACAAGTCGAGGAAGAAGAAATTCTAGTTGAAAATTTGAAGAAAGCTCTTTTCTTGGATGACGAGAATGAGCCAGTTAAACAAAAGGACGAAAATGGTAGACCTGAGCCATCGAAACTTGAGCCGATCCAAGAGAAAGAGAACTCTTTCAACAGCCCTTCGAATGTAGAAAAATCGGTTATGGATGTCACTCAGAATTCAAATGATTATTCAATGGAATTAATGGCTGTTAGTCAAGATATTGTTACCGAATGTGTTTCTAATGTTTGTTCTTCTGAAAATGACGACTCGATGTCACCTTTACGTCAACAATTGAATGATTCTGTTGAGAAAACCATTGAAAAATCCTCTGTTATTGCGATACCTGAGGAATCTACTGCTGCTCACACTGAAGTTGTTACTTCAGCAGTCGGTCAAGAGGATGTTTACTATTCCGCTGTGGATTTTAATATTAAGAACACAGAAACTGCAGAAATATTGGAAACTAATTTAGAAAAAGAGACAAATGTTCTTGAAGAGAAAAATCTTTCAACTAAAGTTATCCAAGAAGAACATCAAGTTGAGGAAATTGTTGCCGAAAGCTCTGCAAAATGCATCGATGAAAAGGAAGAGGAAAAAGAAAGTGATTCCAAAATTCATCAAAACATTCCAGAGATTCGTGTAAGTCCACAGATCGCCAATAAATCTGCCTCAACAAGTTCCGATGAAGGTTACAGTAAGTCAAGTGGTGGACTTAATTCTGATAGTTGTTGGACCGATGTAGATGATGAAAACGTTCCTGGTACCAGTGCACCTCAAGAAAGACGTCGACGACCGTTAAGACGGGAAAGTTTTGTTAAATCATCTGCAACCCTTGCATCAACTGTTAAGAAAGTCGATCCTCAGAAAAAATTGTACCGACTATTATCCTACACAGCACCACCAAGGAATAAATACCGTTCATTAGCTGAATTATCTCGTGACTTCGAAACAAAGATTCGCGCTTATACTCCATCCAATTTGAAAACAACGAAAGCGCATTGGACTCCAACCAAACCAGTCTCTCCAAAATTGACGGCATGTAAAAGAAAGCGAACTCTGACCTGTGTAAGTCACAAAGAACAAGAAGAAAATATCGCTCAAAGTATAAAGAAAAACACCTTTAAAGCAACGCCTTTCAACAAGAAAACATATCTTTCAACCGTCAACGTCGGTGTTAAGAGGGTTGACCCTAAGCCAACCACTAAGCCAATTCCTTTCTCCTTCCGTAGTGAGAAGCGACTCGAAGCTCGTAGATCCAAAGTTCCAACTGATCTTTTCAACAAACTCACTTCCCAATCAGCCAGAAAAGGAAAATAACTCACCTTAAATGGCTCTGCTCTCTTTCAGCAAAATTTATTTTTCTTCAAATTAACTTTCCATAATGTATATATTCAAAGTGGCACAAGAAAATTAATTTTTTTTATTATTCACCTCACCATCAACAACATCACCAAAATCACATGAAAAGAGTTTAACAAAACCAAAACAATCAAATCTAATTGTAACTCAAATCAATTGGACTTGAGCCTCGAATTACTCTCACATTTTGAATCAGTAGAAGGATAATTTGATTTATGATTTTCAAGAGCAACATACAAACTATCATTTGAAATAATCTTTTCTCTAATTATCCTTTAATTGTGAACATAATTTACGATCTGTTCTCTTCATTCATAAAATTTAACTGATTCAATGTAATTCAAATGACTGTGTAAACCAAAATGGTTTTGTCACTTTAAACATCATGATACAATTGTCACTCTACATCAATTCATCTAATTGTCAATCATCACCAACAATTCACATTTTAACCAGTTACATTTAAAGGGCTAGAAACAAAATGGACAATTAACTTGTTGAAATTACTGCGAATTAAATTAGACAATTAATCAAAACTGACCAACTTTTCACTTTAATTTTTCCACTAATCACTTCAAGTTAATCAATTTTTCTTAAACAGGTCAAACATTGATTTGAAGTTAATTTGAGTTTTCACCTCTCTAATTAACTATTGGCAATTAACCGGAAAATAATTGTAAGTTGAAGATAAATGAATCAACTTTCATCCGGTACAATTGTGTATCAATATAAACAATTAATTTACATAGTTAATGATTAAATCATTTCAATTTATAATCGTGGACATTTGGTAAGTTACATTTCCTTAATTTCGTGAAAAGTTTTAATCAATATAATGAAGAAGGTTGAAATAATCAAAGAATTAGAGTTAAATTAAAATGACGAAATTAAGAGAACTAAATTTTTGATTTGATTCTCTAAATTGAGAAATTTAATTTCAATATTTGATTGAGAGAAATTAAGAATTGTGAACATAATGACAATTAATTCCCACATAATAAGAAATGATCAGAACAATTAAGAATCAAGTTTCATTGAAGCTGATCATTTGATTCTCTCTGGTTACAAATCGCAATTAAATTCTTGATAACCATGTTTCCTTTTGTCTTTGATTATTAAAAGTAAATGATTGTAATTTTCAATTAAAATTTTTCACAATTTAAAGAAATGTTGACTTTATTTATATTTATAGAGTAATAATTATCACGAAAATTTTTTTTGATCAATTTTTGCTTTTTCATCCATTGATAAATGGTAAATATTGGATTTGAGTTAGATAATTGTTCACTATAAAAAAAGTTATGATACATATCGAAAGTTAAATCATCGCCAGGGTATATCAGAATAATTAATTGGTATCATCACGTTATTTGTTTTATCACTTAATGGTTGCAAATTAATGAAGTGTTAATTTCTAAGATTTTAATATCTTGAATGTTTACTCTGTCTTTTCCTCTTTCAATTTATCCTTTGTACAGAGATTAGGCTTTGTGTTGTTATAGCCTCGCTAATTGTTGTGGTAACTGCGTTTTTTTGTGCTTCAAGATGAAAAGGAGGAAGATGAAGATAATTGATGTTTCATGATATATTGATACTGTAAGAGGTGCGTGATCGATATTCAGTTGGAACAGCAGAGAGAGAGAGAGAGAGAGAGAGAGAAAAGTAAACAGGAAAAATGATGAAACATATTGATGATTAACGCTTATCATGATCATTTGGTTAGATATTGTTGATAAACGATAGCACAAACGACCATTGTTAATGTGATCGATGTGAAAGTATATTTAGTTCCTTTATCGAGTAAAGAAAAGATGAGACTAATTAAGGCACTTTGCTCCTTTCTTTTGGTGACAATTGAACGGGGTTTGAACTTTTGTAGGGATTTAAGTTTCTCGGGAGGATATTTGACAAATAGCTCTTTTGATTGGATGATTAAATCTTCAATTGGTAGATCATCTTCATTTTCCAATATTCCACAAAGATATTGATGTACAATTGACATTTCACAGTCGAGCTTTAAGATATCATCTTTTTTATAAAGTACGATGGCGGTTGAAAGGTAAATCGGTAGGAGAGGATCGTCAGCAAGGAAAAGGTCAAATAAACGTCCAACTATTTTGTAATCACGGAAAATGTGACTAAACCAAGTGATTACCCAGGATAAAGCAAAATAGTGCCCACACCAGATTTATACATAAAATCGCCCAATTGTCCATCTTCTTCATCGATCATGATTAAAATAAATTCCATTAGATCAGCAGTGGTTTCCATTGTTTTCTCCATGTGTTGCGTTAAATGGGTCCGAGAGATGGAATCGACAACATGGAAAGCCATCTCTTCACCCAATATGAGTAGGAATGTGACACAAATATCGTGATAACCTTGATAATAGTAGAGACTAGGGTTTTTGATGAGAACCCTCATGATTAGTTGGATTAATTGTTGCTGCATGGAAAGTCTTTGAGTTTCTTCAATACTTGGAGGAAATCTTTTAAGTGATCGGTTAACATCGAGTACAACTTGGGTATAGAAGGGATGTTTTTCCATTTCTGTGGTATCAGGACGAGGAATAGTCTCAATCGTATCAACACCCACCAATTTAGGCCAAGCAAATAATCGCAAGGAGTCATTGATCAAACCAAGTTTTTGTCGTGCTAAATTGGTGTGAGAAAAAAGTAAACAAAATATAGAAAAACAAAGGAAAAGGTAAGAAGAGAAACAAAAATTAAGACGTAAAATGAGATTGACATTGGATAATGAGGAATAATTATACAAACCTGCACGTTTAAGACCAGTTATATTGGATGAAATGAGACATTTAATGATAGAACCAATTTTAGGCTGTTCGGTTAGTGGACTTTTCCTTCTTGATTTATCTGAAGTTGATTGAGTGTCAAGCTCTTTGTCACAGAGAATCCAAAGATCTTTACCACTTACATCACTGCTTGTAAGACTTTGAATATCTGCAATGGTCTCCTCATTATCACCATCGCCATAACGTAAATTACTTGGCAATGATTCAAATTTTTGTAACAATGATTGGGTCAAATTATTATTAACCAGAGATGAATCATTTTCTTCATCACCAAGATCCTCAAAAGAGGTTGACGAAGAGCACATATCAGTCATATTCACCTGATTCCTTTATTCTTGTTTAACAACAAAAACAACAACAAAATAGAAAGAGAAAGAAAGGAAGGAAGAAAAATAAAAGAAATATATTATTAGTCAAAACAAAGAGACAAAAATATAATAATAACAAAAAGAAAACAAACAAAAACAAAACCTATGACATAGAGAAGAGAAATGGAAACAAATAAAAGAGAATCAATTTTATCAATGATTAGAATTAATTAGTTTACCTTTTTAAATGAAGATCAATAATCTTAACGTGATGGCAAACAAGCAGAATAAGATAATTAATAAGAATAAAGATTAAATCAAAATGGTGATTAGTAAATTGTTAAAGAAATAAAGAGTTAATTTGATTTCTTGTTTTTCCAAAACAAGTTTCAATCTGAGAATCGATTCGATTCGATATATTCGGTTTACTCTGTTCGATGTATCGATCGGTTGCTGAGTTTCTCCTTCAACTAAACGAAGTCAAATCTCACCTTCAGACAAATAACAAGATTAGAATAATTAATTTCTATCTTAATTAATCCAGTTTATATTTTATATTTTTCTTTCTTTTTTCTTTAAATTAGCAAATTCCAATTAAATTTAATCAAAATGATTAACGTTTGCAGGACTATCGTAAGTATTTATCTGCGAGTTTTTAGTTTTCCATTGTGAATTTTTTTTCTTTTTTAACATTCAACCCAAACCATTGGTGTTATTTTTTTAGGTTTTATTTTCATTAGAATTTTATTTTGTTCTTTTTTTTTGTTTCAATTTGATTGATTAATTGTGAGTTTTTTTTCGTTTTTTTTCTCTCTCATGTTCTCTGTTTATAGAGAGGTACTTTATTCTCAGCTGCTCGTCAACTTAGTGGCCTACAATCATCAAGAAATAATACAACAGTTACTTTGATTCCTGGTGATGGTATTGGACCAGAGATTTCCAAATCTGTTCAAGAGATTTTTGAAGTTGCCAAGGTGGAATTTCACTTATAACCTTTTTCTTCATCTCTCTGTCTATATTTTTACTCAATGATTTTCTAAAAATGAACATGTATTGTTTATCTAGGTGAATGTAGATTTTGTCTAAATTATATTTTCTCTTTTTTCTTAGGTTCCCATTGAATGGGAAATTGTTGATGTTACTCCGGTCAGATATCCGGATGGTAAATATGGTATCCCAACCAAAGCGATAGAATCTTTTCTCAAGAATAAAATTGGTTTAAAAGGACCTCTTGCTACACCAATTGGTAAAGGACATAGATCTCTCAACTTGGAAATTCGAAAGTAATCAATCTTTTTCTTTGGCATCCCTTGACACTACTGTTCTATTCACCTTTCTAATTATTCTATTTTTCATTCTATTCTCTTCCAACAGAGTTTTTTCACTTTATGCTAATGTGAGACCATGTCGTTCAATCGAAGGCTATCAAACTCTGTATGATAATGTTGATGTAGTTACTATTAGAGAAAACACTGAAGGTGAATACAGTGGTATTGAACACGAGGTAAATCAATTTGATGAAATTTATTTGGAACATTTATCTAAATCATTACTTCAATCTATTAATACTTAACCATTTTTACTTCCATGTATTACAGATTGTTCGTGGTGTTGTACAGAGCATTAAGCTCATTACCGAACCTGCAAGTCGTCGAGTAGCTGAATATGCTTTCAATTATGCCAAAGCTAATGGACGTAAAACTGTCACCGCTGTACATAAAGCTAATATTATGTTGGTTTAGATGCAATTTTTTGATTTGATCTGTGAAATTGATCCATTTTTTCTTTGTTTTTCACACAATTCTAGGCGTCTTTCTGATGGTCTCTTCCTTCAATGTTGCCGAGAAGCAGCTGAAAAACATCCTGAAATTAAATATAAAGAAATGTATCTTGATACTGTTTGTCTAAATGTAAGTTTAATCATCTAATACATAGATGACTTATAATTTCATTTTAATTTCAAACTATCTTCTATCAATTTTATTAGATGGTTCAAGATCCAAGTCAATTTGATGTTCTGGTCATGCCAAACCTTTACGGTGATATTTTGAGTGATCTGTGTGCTGGTCTAGTTGGAGGTCTTGGTCTAACTCCCAGTGGTAACATTGGTAAAGATGGAGCTGTTTTTGAATCTGTAAGTAAAATCAAATGAGAACAATTGAAAATAATAACTTAATTCTTTTATTTTCTCAATTCAATCAAAAGGTTCACGGTACTGCCCCTGATATCGCTGGTCAAGATAAAGCCAATCCAACTGCTCTTCTTCTCAGTGCTGTGATGATGCTTAGATTCATGGATCTTGCTGACCATGCAAATAACATTGAGAATGCCTGTTTAAGTGTTATCAAGGAGGGTAAATTGTTGACCGCTGATTTAGGAGGTTCTGCTAAATGTTCTGAATTCACCGCAGAAATTTGTTCTCGTCTAGTTTAAATTTATCTTCTCACTTCCTCCTTCTCCTCCTCCCTCCCTCTCTTACTCTCTTTTTTCCTTTCTCTTTCTCCATCTTTCTCTCTCTCTCTCTCTTCTTTCTCCTTTTAATTTATTATTAACAAAGAAAATCAACATCAAAAACCATAGCATTGAATGAGAGAGAAACAATTGAAACAATTAGATCCAAATCAACAATCAACACTAAAAAAAGGACAATTCATCTATTTCGAGACAGTGAACTGCTTAAAATGAACATTCTGACAATTAAATTAAATCACCAATGATTAAGGTAATAGTTTACTCTAAGACTATTCAATGTACTTATACAACATTAGTTTAATGTTAAAGTAACATCCAAAATCTCAAACATTTAAATTGTTTCCCAAATTTTTGCAAACATAATTGAGTTAACCAGTTAAATTTAATTTCTAACTAATCAATTACACAATTTAATCAACATTAGTTTAAATCCCTTTTGAAAGCAACCCGATGATGAAATGTAATTAAATAACAATGTGTCAAAAATTATATGTTTCAAAAATCAAGAAACAATTAAAAAAACGAAGATACTAATACAATCAACAAAGTAAATTTAATTTTCACTTTTTCAAATTTATTTTTAATCAACTAAACTAAATCAAGTTTCACACTTAATCATTTTTTTCAATCATCAGATGATCAGAAAGATATTGATTAATATAAGACAATCAGAACTAAAATACGATTAAAATTGAAAACCAGCATATAAATTAAATTGTTTTGATTAAGGAAGTGAAGCTTCCGTAAATTAAATCAATCATGTTCACAATTAAACCACAAAAAAAACTACAATCAACATAATTATAACAATTAAGATTTTGAGAAACAAATTGTCTGTCCAATTGAAAGTGAAATTACAATTTAACCAACTTTGATTCACCTAAATCATAACAATTATATTATAATAGAATGACAATTATATTAAATTGCTGGTAGTTCATTGATCAGGAAAAAAAACTGTTGCTGATTTATAAATTGTTGATTAATTTTCAACAACAACAATCAAATGGTCAGTTGATTGTGATAATATTTTAATTCATCTTTAACCATAAATCAAACAAGGTTAACATGATGAAAACTTTTTCCCAATTCATGAGAAACAAATTAACTGATTGTTGTAATCTTTTAATTTTTCACCTAATCAATCAACAATCAATGTTGATTGCAACCTAATTGTTAATTTGATTTCATTTTTCCCCTTAACAAAAATTAACCGGGTAACCCAACTTCCTGTCCAAATCGTGAAAGTTAATTGTGATTGTTAATAGCAGATAATTTAACTTTCAATAGTTAATCATCATCAACAGTAATCACAATCTTAACAATTAATCAAATTGTAAATATTTTTCCTCAAACAATTACAATAATCATATGAAAGTAAATTTTTCTTCACCAACAACAATTAAATTGTTGGTAAATTATATAAATCAACTCAGGTTAATCAAGATCAAACTTAATTAAGCTATTATAAAATCTAGTAATCACTTTGATTGCTTAATTAACACCCAATAGTGATTGTTACTGGACAATCAAATGTAACTGTTAATCATTAATCAAGGTTAGATTACAACTAATTAACCAATTTAATTTCACAATAATCAACTTTCCAAGGCAAAGGTTAATTAAATTTGGTTTCTTTTTCATCATTTATTATGATTAGTTTATCTTTAATTACCATTAAGCCTGATCTCAGGTTAATCTTTAATCGTGATTTAATTAACTTTAATCCATCAAAAGTGACAGATTAATTTACGAATTGGTTAGCTGATTGTTGTTTAATCACTTTTCATTTAATTTCATCTTCCACCCTCTCAAGAAAAACTGATTATTAACCAACAATTTACCCTAAATTGTCATTTCTATTTTTAATCATCTCTCAATCCTATCAATAGTTACGATTTATTTTCCCCTTAATTGTGATAACCAATGTCCTAATCATAATCATCATTATGATGATTAATTTAATAGTTAATCTAAAGTGACCTCAATCTAGTGGTGAACTTGAAATAATAATATCAACCAATTTAATTTAATAGTTAATCTCATTGATGACTACAAATCAAGAGTAAATTTTTTCCCAATACTTTGAGTTATATATTTCTCATCATCATCATCAGTTGATTGTTGATCAAATTGTTCTGTTGTAATGATCAGAAATCATGAACGTTAATCATCAAATTAACTAAATTGTTTCATCTTTTCATCAAGAAAATCATACAACTGATATTTCAATGAACTTTTCCTGAAAAAAAAACTCTGATTATCTGTAGATTATTATATTCTTGATTCACCAAAAAGGTGAATGATTTATCCACCATATGAATCAGCTCTTCCCACCAAGAGAGATTAACTAATCAGTAAATGACAATTAATGGTTAAATTCCTACACAATTAATATTCAAAGCATTGAGAGTTCAACAATCAACTTAATATGAAAAACTCACTAATCACTTTAATTGCAATTCAAAGGAAAACGTTGAGAGTTTGAAAAAGTTTTGTTTCAAGAAATAATTTACCAATACTATTACAATTAAATCTAATTGTGTTACAGGTTATCAAAATTTAGATTTGTCCTCAAATAAATAATAGTAACAATCAGCAAATAATCAATTAATTGTTATCAGTTGAACAGTTTTTGCATCTTTAACCTGAAAACCGTAACATTAAAGACAAAAAAGAGACACAGAAAATGATTCCAATTAGTTAATTGTGATTAACATGAACTTGATCAAGGGTGAACACGATTAAAACACTGATTTAGGACTTGATTGATTTTGAAATTGTCCACAATAATCACAATCTATCTAATTGTTGATTATCTTTGTCTCTCTCCATCATCGACAACAATCAAATTAGATTGATTTTAATTTATGTGAGCGTGAAACAAGAGTTTAAATTGCTGATCCAATACAACAATTAGCACGCTAATTGTTTAACAAAATTAATCTCACAATCAAAATCTCACAATTAATACAAATCAATTGTCAGGTTGACAGTTCAAGGTTGGAAAATACTATTACAATTAACTTATCGTAATTGATAATAATCAAAAAAAGCAAAAATTTATCAAAAACTTAAGATAATAATCTGATCATTCAATCAATTGATTAAAGATGATTATGAACATTTACCAATAATAATAATAAGTTGATCAACAATTAACCTTAAACAACATTCAAAAGGTTGATTATAATGCTGTACAATTTAAGTTGACTAATTGTTAATTTAATTATCAATTTTTAGTTCAAGTTTCCCAATCACTTGAGCGTAAATTATGATTCTGATTTATGTAATTTCATAATTGTTACATGATGAAAATTTGAGATAATCATGATTAGGCTGAAAAAACAACAGTAACAATCAAGGTAATTACTGTTACAATTAGAGTATGATAAAGTTAATTTTTTTGATTATTTCAGTTTTTTTTTTACTGATTCCAAAGTAAATCAATACATTAAATAGCCAGAGGTTGATTTAATTAACTTTAATTGTTGTTGTTGTATTGAGATCAAAGTTAAATTTTTTTTTCGTCAATCAAATTGCTTAATTGGTTGATTTAGTTAATTGTGGTTGCAAAAATTGAAATTGACACTTTTTTGTTATTATTATTGTTGTTGTTACTATGCCGGTGTCACCAATAATTTACTAATTGTTATAGTTAATTATTTGCAATAACAATTTAACAAAGTTATCAAAATATTGTTGTTTTCATCACGATTTGTAATCAAGGTTTGCTTTTGAAAAAATTAACTTTCAATTTGTTTAATTTAATTATGATTGTTTCAAGTGTTAGTTAATTGTAATCAGCTTGTTGACAGTAATTAAGGTGTCACGTTTTTAAATTCAATTGTTAAATACTATCACTTAATTGTCTATGGTTTATAATAATCAAATTAAATCTAATTTAATAACATCACGTTGATAAGTATTAGTTATAAACCTTAATCAGTTAATCAGTGAGGAGTGAAAGTTGTAACTTAATTGTTAACAGATTTGTACCTTTAACAATTACTAAATTGTCATGATAACAATTGACAATTTGTCTAACTATTGTTATTAAGGAAAACAATTGTCACATTAATTGTTTGGGGAAAATTTTGATTGTAAAAAATGAACAATTCAAACAAAAGGGTTAATTACAAAGGGATGGAAAAAAAATTGAAAGTGTAACAATTAAAATCTAGACTCTGAATATTAGTTAGTTAATTGTCATCAGCAACAATCAGTTAACAAATTTCCCTCTTGTATTTTTCATCATTTCAATTAATTAAAATCTTCAACCCTAAATCAGGGTGACAACAATCAGCAAAGTGATTACAATTAAGTGTCTTCAGATTGTCAAGGTTTTAATCAGAAATTAATAATAAATTAGTTGTCACAATTTAACAATGATTAACTTTTGAGTCCATTAATATGAAAATTACAATTTAAAAAGTGAATTAAATTGTTAAAGGGAAAATTAACTTAAATAACTAATCCATCTTATTGATTTAATTGTAATCAAGTTAATGGATTAGTTTAGTTAACTAATTGTTGATCTTATTACTATTTAATTGATTATATATCATCTCTTTAATTTAATTGTACAATCAAGATGATTATTATAACATAAGACACTTAATTATGTTTGAGTTAATCAACAAGATCCAATGGTTAGTTAATTTGTTTACATAACAGCAATTTGATTAATTGTGAATCAGTTAACAAGCCATTTAGTAAATTGCTTAGGAAATCAAATGTAAATTAATCAGCTAACTAATTAGCAAACAATTTGACCCATCAAACAACAATCTGATTAGTTGAATGATTTAATCAAGAGTATCCTGTTAATAAACAGAAAGGTTAACAGTGGTTAGCAATTAGCAATCAGCTAATTGTGTGAGATGAGCTATTCAAATCTAATTAAACTTTAATCTGTCAGTCAGATAATCAAATCAACTTGATGAATGAAAAAGCAAACTTGAAGTTAATTCCGGAAACAAATGATAATAAACTTTTTTTTACTAATCATATTGATTAGATTACAATTTAGAAATCAAGGTTTGATATCAATTGGATATGAAAAAATATGCAAAATAATCAGTTGATTGTAGACTCGCAATTAACATAAAACATGAATCCAATGAACTTACAGCAATTTGTTGTATTGTTGTTACAATTAAAGGTTCAGGTAAGGTTATCAAAAAGGTTGTTGTATCATCAACAACACCTCAGTAGATTTGATTGTAAACATAAATTGTTACCAATTAGGATTAACCATGTGAATCCTAAGTGAAAGTGTAAGGAAGTTTAAAAGGTTGAGGACTTTTTGATTCTATGAAAAAAAAGTTAAGCCACTGACCAGAGGTCAGTTTGTTTGTGGCCGAAAGTTGAAGTGAAAAAAAGATACATAATAATGATGATGATTTTTGTAGTTTTTGAAAAAAAATTTCTGTCAACCGATGTCCAGTTGGAAAAAGCTTTGGTCAAGCAAGTTGAATAACCCTTAGTGTCCATTGAGGAACAGAAAAAAATTTCAAAGGTAAAAATCATCTAATGGTCAAGCAATAATTTCAAA